GCGGCGCGCACCGGGTTGGGTGAATTCGGAAGCCCGAGCTGCCGCCACTTGAACAGCGCCAGCCCCTCGGCGCCATGGAGGCCCCCGCGCACCCCGCGGACCCCACCGACCCGGAGGACCCCACCGACCCGGAGGATCCCGCCGAACCCGCCGAGCCGGACGCGGCGCGCGCCAGGAGGCCGGGCAGGTGGGCGCTCGTGCGCAGCCTGAACCAGGCGCGGAAGACCCACGCCGTCCTGCCGGTGAGGCCCGGGCCGGGGCGGGAGGTGCCCCCCAGACCCTGCTGGGGGCTCGGGAACCTTGAGGATCCCGGAGAGCTGGCAGAACAGGCGCCTCCGTTTCTGCGCGTGGTCCTCCCCAGGCAGGTGCTCCCTGTGCTCGCCGAGATGAATGGCCCCAGGCAGACCAGGGCGCCCCTGTCCGTGCTCAGACCTAGAGCAAGGAGCGCCGAGGTCCCTGGGTGCTCCTCTGCAGACTTTCCCTGACTAGGACCCCAACTCCTGGTAGGGGGGAAGCGTGGGCCACCTGCCCCTCTACCACCCAAGGGTGCAGCGGGGCACTTGCCAGGCTCAGGGGCACCCTGGGCGAGTCAGTGGGCTGCACTTTCCCGCTCTTGAAAATGGGGCTAATAAACTAGTCTTCCGGCGAGTGAGGGGTGGGGAGGTGTCCAGAGCAGACTTCTTTTCATTCTACAATGGGGTGGAAGCCCCAGGTTCTGTCCCAGAGGTGGGAAGAGGCATGAAGTGCTAAAGCCCCATGGCGAGTAAATACTGAGCCCCCGCTGGGCTCCCCCTGGGCTGGAGGCCACAGACGTCAAGGCTCACCTCCGCAGGCACTGACTTTAGACAGGTGGACACTGAGGCCGGGAGACACTGACAGTCTTGCCAAAGCCATGTGGTATTAATGGTAGAACTGGCGCCTGCACCCAGATCTCTTAACTCTGCGTTCACGGTGGGTGCATGCTGGCTCCCCTGGGGAGAGTTTTGGGGGACCGCTCTGAATATTTGGTGCAGTCCATCCTAGGAAATCACTCTGGTATGGGAGCTGCATTGGATGCCCCGCGAGCTTTCCCTGAGACAATGGGAACCGTCCCCCTCAGAGGGTCTCAGGATCCTCCCTGAAGCCCCTTAGCAGAAACCCTTTTAGCTTTTGTTCAAGTTCTGACTTAGCACAGTGACAGTGAAGTCACCACCCTCCAGGCAGCAGTCCCAGGCCAGGAGATGCTCAGTCACTTCCGCTTGCTGTGTGGCTCTCGCTCCTCACTTGACCTCTCTGATCCTCCATGTACTGCTCACGTGAGTTCTTTCATGTTGGTTATTCTCTGTGCGCTGAGTGGGAAGTATTTTCTGTGAGACAAGCCCTGTCCTGGATCAGGTGGCTCAGGGAGACCTCTGATCTCTAGCTGAAACTAGAGAAACTTCCAGCTTGCCTTGTGCGCCGATGGTCATCTATCGCTAGGGTCCCTGTTAATGCGTCCCCTGTTGCTCTCCGGGCTGCCCTCGGGCATGTTTGGAAAGAGTGCTGCATTTGGAGTTTGGGCTCGTTCCTGGCTGTACCACAGAAGAGCTGTGTGGCCTCTCTGAGGAGATGAAGTGGAAACAGAATCCTCCAACTAAAGGATGTCATGAACTCAGTTCAATGAGATAGTTAATTACAGGGAAGCAGCTAAATTGCTACCCGGTCTGTTGTGGGGATACTGCGGATAATAATGTCCTGGTGTCTGTCTGTGTTCATCTCATGCAAACATGCACACACACACACCCCCCTTGTCCATGTGCTCTCTCTTACACCGTCATTCCCTCACAGACACACTCTCTTTCATGGAGAGAAACTGTCTGTGTTTGACTCTGTGTTTGGCTCCAGAGCATCACAGATGAGAAGCTTGCACCCAGCCTGGCCCTCAGAACAGATGGTGGTGGTGGCCTCAGCAGTGGCCCAGCACGGCTGGCTGGAAGGGGCAAGCCCAGGGGTCTTTGAGCCCAAAGGGACGTCTCCATTTTCCATACAGCAGCCAGAGTGAAATTTAGAAAATGCCTCTCAATACGCTTGAAATCCACCTCCTGTCCTGTGGGGCCCGCTGTCTGCTTGTTTCCTCTCCACCCCGCCCCATCCAAATCGTCTCCCACCTGAGGGTCCAGCCGGGGCCTGCCCCCTCTGCGAGCAGAACTAGCCAGAGCGGGTGCGCCACGTGTGCCGCCTGAGTGAATAAACCGACCAGGGCGGAGGAAAGGGGCGGGCCCGGGGAAGAGTCGCCATTTGCTGCGGGTCTGGACAGACCTGTGGGGGTCCGGGTGGTGGGGGCGGCAAGGAGGAGAATAGCCCGAGCGGGAGCAGCAGGTGGCCATGAGCGGGAGCAGCAGGTGGCCCATGGCCCTCAGGTAGGGTGGGTGAGGAGTGTGGCAGGAAACACCGCTTGGCCTTGGGACTAAGGCAGACATGCGAGCTCTCCTCTCCCCCTCGGGTGTGGAGCAGCTGTGCAAACCTCCGTGCAAACCTCCGTGAAGGGAGGGTTCCCAGGGGCAGCTGTGGCTGAACGTGGTTGGGTCCTATGGGGAGAGGCTGAAACAGTGGTGAGTCGACCTTGGGACTCAGTGACCCACCCCTCACTGAGACTTGTAGAAGCTGCAGTTCAAGTTGGTCAGCGACTTGTCCGAGGTCAGGCAGGTCCTGGAACCCAACTTCCAGACTGTAGGGGAAGGAAAAATGTCAGGCTTTTCTGCCCTCCCGCCATCAGGATAGATGATGGATCCTTGCGGTCCTGAATGCATGCCTGATGGCGGCACCTGGAGTAGGGTGTGGGCATAGGTAGATGGGATTCACCTGGGCTGAGACTGCGCTTTTAAGGGCTGCGTCACGGGGACGCCAGCAGCAGCAGAGAAGCAGAGAGCAGGCGAGAGAGCCCAGACAGAGTGAGGATTTGCTGGGGGCTGGGAGGACTGCCAGCCTCCCGACCCCCCAGCACCCCTGCCTGCCATATGCCTGGTGAACCCCAATAAAAGACCTGCAAAAGCCACTGAGGACCCTGACTCCTCCATTACCTGGTCTGCTGGGTCAGAGAACCTGCTCCGTGTCCATTCCTGCCCCGACACCGACTCACAGCCCAGAGCCGCTGCTGCACCTTGTCCCTGCAGGCTGATTTCACTGTGAGTCAGTATTATCAGCGCTTCTGTTTCTAACCACTGCTTGATATTGTATTTTTCTTAAGATGTCTATGTTCGCTCATCGTGCTGGGGAATTTGGGAACCATTCAAAAGGAATGCTCTTAATAGCACTAGAATAAAAGCCATGCTTTCACGTCCAGGTCAACAAGAATCTTTGAGTCCTGGATTTTTTTTTTTTTAAAGATTTATTTATTTATGCATACAAGAGCTGGGGCACAGGCCAGAGGCGTGTGTGTGTGCGGCGGGGGGGGGGGGGGCGGGTGGTGAGAGGATTCAGCAGAGACAGAGTGGGGAACAGAACAGGCAGACTGACTGAAACACACTGCTGAGGGGAGCAGAGGGTGAGTCAGGAGAGGTCTGCTGCGTCATGTGGGTAGCTCCCTGGCTGGCCAGGGATCGAACTCGTGCTGCAGTGGCTGTGGCAGCTTCATAGGTTGCGTCTTAACCCCTTGTGCCACCAGGGAGGCCTGCGTCCTGGATCTTGCCCATGTCTACGACTTCCCTCCCTTTACCCAGGTCCTGCCAACATGGCCTCCTTGTCATTCCTTCCTGCCCCGGGGCCTTTGTACTTGTCCTTCCTCTGCCCTGATTCCTATCTTTGCTCTCTCCATATCTGACTACTTCTTGCCCTTCAGTTATCGGCTCGAGATTTCCTCCACTGAGTAGCCTCCCTGGGGACTGAGTCTGCCGTGGACGACTCAATCCTTCGCCACCACTGGGGTGTTATGTCCTTCCCAGCACTCAGCGCTGTCAGAAACAATCATGCTAGTGTCTCTGCTCAGTTAATTGTGGTGTCCTCCCAATGTGAATGTAGATGCCACAGTCACTGGCCACGCCCTAACATTTAGTCAGTAGGTGCCCAGCACACATTTGTGCAAGGCATCAGTGCTGAAAGTGGTTTTTCCAAGTCCACTTCTCTGACTCTGGGTTTTAAACTTGACTCCCTGGTGCCCTTACGGAGTGTGCAGTGTGAGCTAGGCCCTGTGCCAGAGGCTGCAGGGGGCACAAAGGTGACACCCCTCCCATCTAGGTCGGTTCTCCCGCAAGCCTGGAGGCGGTATGGCTGAGTGGTATCACTGCGAGGAGCTCATAACTCTATGAACATCAATCCCTGGGGTGATGAAGGCTGTTGGTGGAGACACTCCTTTAGGACAGAGAGAAAATGGCTTGATTTCTCCTCCTATGAACCTGTAATGAGGCTGCTGTACGTGTGCTGGGGGTAGAGCCTTGGAGCAGCGGGGCGTAGGCCAGCCTGGATTTGAAGCTGCCCAGCTGTGTGGTGTCAGCTCTGCTCTCTGCGCCTGTGCTTAGTCTGCTGTAAAATGGGGAGATAGGGCCTCCCTGGTGGTGCAGGGGGTCAAGCACAGCACTGTGAAGCTGTGCAGCCTCTGCAGCACGAGTTCGATCCACGGCCAGCCAAGGAGCAACCCACATGGCACAGCAGACCTCTCCTGCCTCACCCACTGCTCCCCTCACCAGTGTATTTCAGTCAGTCTTTCTGTTCTGCTCCCCACTCTGTCTCTGGTGGGTCCTCTCACCCCCTGCACCTTCAGCCTGTACCCCAGCTCTTGTATGCATAAATAAATCAATCTTTAAAAATAAATAAAATGAAATGGGAATAACAGCCACGACAGAGGAGGACATGAGGGCAATGAACAAGTGTCCAGCCCAGGGCCAGCCACCAGACAGTTCCCACAAGCACAATTCCTTCTTCCTCCCCACTCTCCTGTGTTTTCACAAGAGTCTCTGGTGCTGGTAGGGATGGGGCACACAGCTGCCTGAATGGGGTACCCACCCCCCCTCCATACTCACCCAGCCTGGGCTCTCTCCCTTCCCCAGGGGGACTATGTCTGGATGGACCTGAGATCCGGACAGGAGTTCGACGTGCCCATTGGGGCAGTGGTGAAGCTCTGTGACTCTGGGCAGATCCAGGTGGTGGACGATGAAGGCCATGTAAGTAGCCCCTAACACCCCGGCCCTGCCCCCGGGACGACGCAGGCTGACTGGTGACTGGAGGCACAGGCTAGGCCCGACTCGGGGTGGAAGCCATGTTGCGGCCCCATGTTCACCTCTCAGCCATGCCCTCCACCATGGGACTTCCCCCCTACCCTGGTGAGATAGAACCTTCCCTGCTGCTCTAGACTAGTGCTATTTCCACAAGCATTTCAGTCCCTTTGCCTACTGCTGGACAGGTGTGTCCGAGTGTGCTTGTGTGTGCGGTGGGAACAGGAGGTGGAAGGAGGCTGGAGCGCCTCAGCACAGGGGTGCTTTGGATCAGAGCACCTGGATTCACGTCCCACTTATTAGCTGCACACACAACCTTGGCCAAGTCTCTCGCCCTTCCAAGCTTCTGTTTCCTCTTCTGTTAAATGGGGCTGATATTTCCGTAAAATGGGTCTCTCACGGGCTGTTGACCACATGCCAAGGGCACCTCCGCAAAGTGAGAGTTAGTCTGGCATGCCCAGACTCCCCCATGTGACCGTGTGAATTCCTCGCCCACCTTGGCACTGCCCTGGGGTCCTTCTGGTTCACTCTTTATTGCTCGTCATCCTGCAGGAAAGAGACACGGGAAATACAAGTTGGTAGGCAGTGTGAGTGGGCATTGGGGAGGGAAGCAAAGGTCTGCAGCAGGGCCCTGCCTGGAGCAGGCGGGTGTCCAGTGAGGGCCAGAGGGGATGCCAGGCGCCCCAGACATGTATGCATGTGTACTGCACCTGCGTACGCAGCTTGTGGACATGTCATCGTGGTCTGGGGAGCAGGGCTGCAGCTGAGCAGGGACATGAGGCACCATGATTTGGGGTGTGCCCAGGGCTGTGTCTGCCTGGGGACATGGAGATAGGACCGGGCCTGGACTGAGCCTCCTAAGGTGACAGAGGAGGGTGCGGTGATTTGGAGCAGAAATCTTTGCTGGGGATGAGAGGAGGGTTCGGGACCGTGGAGGCTCAGGACTAGACATGGAGGGGTCAGCAGGATCACTGTTAGCCCTGCAGTCCTCAGGAACATCAGGGTGCAATGCCCTTTGACCCCAAGTTCTGTCTCTGGCAACTCACAGCACCTGTGAAAGGCAGGGAGGGCAGCAACCGCTACCGTAAGGGGCAACTGTCGCACAGAGAGGGACCACTAGCACTAGCCACACGGCTGGTCAGTGAGGGTGCTGGGATTAGAACCCGGGTCCTCGGCTTCCAGCCATGTGCTTCCTCTCCCAAGCTCTCAGTGGCAACCTGGGGCTCAGGTTCTGGTAACCACGCCTTTGGTCCCTGGGCTTTAGAACTGGAGCACTTGCAATGTCATTCTTGAGGCTCCAGTCAGTGGACCCCAGAGGAAGCCAGTGTGACGCTGTAGTCACCAAGGGGGCACAGCTCAGCTTGCAGTGCAAACAGGCCCACTCACCAGCATGTAGCCCCCAGGGTGCAGCCCCAGGGCGCTGCCTGCAGGCTTGAGTTTCACCGGGGTCATGTTGCATGTCATGGTGTCCCATAACGGTGTCACCGGATCCCAGAGTCCCCCTCCTACCCACCCCCACCAAGGCCCAGAGAGTGGGGGCTTAGGGGGGCTGACTGGCTGTCCAGAGCAGTTAGGAAGGCTGGGTTTGCTTCAGAGGCATTAGACCCCAGGGGTTCTGGTCTCTTCTTCCAGGAGCTTCCTCTGCTCCCAGGCCCTCCCTGCACTCAAGGCCATCTCCTTTCACCCCTCCGTCCTTCCGGCAGGCTCCTCCACCTGAGGGCAAGCTCCAGAGAGCCGCCTCTGGTTCCCGGAGCTCAGTAAGCTGTGGGCCCAGAAAAGTTCCTCTGCAAAGACTTGCTGAGTGAGTGCAGGGAAAGAGGTAGCCCGAGTCCTCACAGAATCCAGACCTTGTGTTTGCCCAAGCAGTCCCCATTGCCAGAGGGGAGCCCCTCTCCACTGCAGTGGAGCAGCCCCTAGTCGCACAGCTCAGTCATGTGGCTCTTTCCAAATGTGACCCCTTAGCATTGGCTGTGCTCTCTCTCCTCCCGCTCTCCTGTCTCTCCTCGGAGCCAGGCCTCCGTTGACTGCCCTGCTTACACTTTTTAGTACCTGCCCTCTGTGGGCACTGACCTGAAGTGCTAACCTCAGTTTGGGAACCTTTGCTGCAGGAACGAGGTGCGGGGAGGCTCAGGTCCGTCATGTAACTGGCCGTGTCACTTTACCCCTAGAGTGTGAGTCTTTAAAACTGGAGGCCAGTGCTTCTGTTACTGGATGTCGCGAGGGACGAATGAGCGCAGGCGTCTCCTTTGTAACGCTAGACAACTTTTGGGTAATAACACCTGGCACCGGCTGAGCAATCACCAGGCACCAGCTCTTTTTAGACCTGGCAGGAATGAAACAAAGGTTTGTCTTTACTGTGTCAATGAATCCTCCCAACAGCCCCAAGGAGAGACTGTTAGTGGAAGTCCCACGTCATAGATGAGGACCCGGAGGTTCCGGGAAGCAAAGTGATGAGCACAGAGCTGCAGGCGCACGCACAGGCCGGGCTGCCCCTTCTGTCAAGGAGAAGGATTATGATGAGGCTGGGTTGACGGGGGACAGCAGAGAGCCCGCCCAGGGGTCCTCCTCTCTGGCCCGTGCTAGGGCCAAGGACTGACTCAGGGCGCGGGCACCAGGCAGAGGGAATTTTCCAACTGGATCAGCTTGTATCAAGAAACAGGTACCTGGGGGAAAGGAATGTTCCACAAAGGATTGGAAAGTCCAGGAGTTCTTTGATCTCAACACCCACATGGCTCGTGCCTTGAGGAGGGCCGTGTGATAGCCTGACCTGGATGGAAATGCTCCTGGCCTGGGAGTGCTGGCGAAATGCCAGGGAAGCTGGAGTCACAGGCAATGGCTGTCCCTGTCCCTGGTCCCTCTGAGGGCTGTGCACATGCCAGCTACCTTGATGCTGTCTCCTCACCCTCACGTCTTATATGAATAGAGAAAATCCTGAGGATTCCCCTTGGAATAGGGAACCCCTGAGGTCTCTCCACAGACCTAGTCCCCAGAGCCGAGCCCCCATCTGTCCCACCAGAGGTCGCTTGCCTCATCATTTGTGCCTGATCCCTGAGGAACAGGGATGTAGCAGACAAGGATTCTGACCTCCCAGCCTTGGGCAAATTGGGAAGTCAGCGACACAACTGCACTCAGCCAATGGCACCCCAGTGCTGGCCCTGCCTCGCCGTGGGAGGCCCAGGCCACGAGGGAGCCCAGAGGAGGCCTGGGCTATACATGGGGAGCCGGGCTCCTGCCTGGTCCTGAGGCTCCCAGGGTGCTGGCATTTGGGAATGTGGAAGGGCCCAGAGAGTTGAAGGGCCACATCCAAAGCACAGTCCAGGTTCCCACTTCCTTGAGAGGCTGGGATTGGAGGAGGAGGCCACGGTGACCACCAAGAGGAAGGGAGGCTCCCAGCACACTGAGGACGCCAGGGTACCACAAGCCTTTCAAAGAGCCTGTACTGTCGCTCTCTGGTGCAAGAGGGTGCCATCTTGTGGCAGCAGCAAATATTGCAGGGGTGCAGTAATGGGGGCTGGGGGGGGGCAGAAGGCTGGGGATAGCTCCCTCTGCCCTCAGCCCTGCTGGAGCTCAGAAGTTCTGAAAGTTCATCCCTGCACCACAGGCAGCAAGTTCTGTGGAATTCATCCCAGATGGCTCTGCTTCTACCATCTCCACGGCTGCCGCCCTGCCTCTGGCTGTCCTCGCCCACCACGCCAGTCTTCGCCAGCCTCCCAGACTTTCCTTTTGCTCTTTCCTGGGCCCGGGATCCCCTTCCTTTGCCCACCTCTTGCAGGGGTGTCTTCCCATCATTTTGGCTATGCCTGGGGGTGGTGGCCCCTGACCACTCTGTCTGCAGTAGCGCCCGAGCCAATCTGCAGCCTGTATGCTGCTTGGTTTATGCTTGGCACTCCCTGAAATTACATTTTGGGCATTTACTCATCAGAGCCTGGATTTGGAGGCAAATGTGTCTAACTCCAATGATTACACTTCCCGTTCTATCCTGCAAAGTCACGGGAGGAAGGGGTTGAGGGGGTGAGAGAGGTCAGAGCAGCAGGGGAGGTGGGCGGTCCGATCTTCATACTGCTAGGCCCTGAGAGGGCCAAGTCTTTACCAGGATCGCACCCACCCTGGCCCGTCCCTCCCAGGCCCCATCTCCGCCCTTGTGCAGGCTGGACCTCAGGAGAGCCACTGACTTTAGCCCTGGGCCTCCCCACAGGAACACTGGATCTCCCCGCAAAAGGCCACACACATCAAGCCCATGCACCCCACATCAGTCCACGGCGTGGAGGACATGATCCGCCTGGGGGACCTCAATGAGGCTGGCATCCTGCGCAATCTGCTCATCCGCTACCGGGAACACCTCATCTACGTGAGTGCCCTGCTGTCTACAGCCATGCCCTGCCCACATGAAGCCCCCCCCCCTTGGGGTCCAGCCTCCCCCCTGGGTCTAGCCTCCTGGGGGGTCCAGCCTCAGAACACTGCGTGGTCTGCTGCTGGCCACCTGGCCTGGGACTCGCCAGCCCTGAGCTGAGTGTGTGGCTCATACTCTGTTTGGGGCTGTGGCTTGCTTGTGTGGTCTGCGGTTGGCCAGGGGGCAGTTTATACCACTAGTGCTTGTGACGCCAAAGCCCCTGAATCCGCTGAGAGGTCAGCGCCTGTGAGTGGCTCAGCGATCTGCACAGAGACAAGGATGATGGGGAAATGCTGCCTCCCCTTACCCCACCCTGATTTGCTGTGGAGTCGAGGCCAGCCATTAGGTCCTTAAGGTCCAAAGAGGATGGGCTGGGAATCTGTCTCTTCAGGAAGGGGCTGGAAGAGAGAACATGCTCCTTGACCCCTGCTGCCCTTATGGCCAAACCTCGATTTTAATAGCAGTCATACACACCCCACACTTCTCTGCCTCGAAACTCAAAAAGACAAAGTCAGCCTCAGGCAACCATGACAGCTAATCCCAAGACATGGGGTTCGGGGACCATCAGAACAATATGAGAATGTTTAGTATCGAGGTTCTCATACTTTTTGGCCTCAGGGATCCTTTATGCTCTTAAAAATTAATGCAGAGCCCAAAGTTTGTTTGTGTGCATAATTGTTAATGATATTTACATAAGAAGTTAAAACAGAGAGAAAATCAATTCACATAAAAATAACCATAAAAATCAACGACAGTGTAATGTAAATAATATTTTATGAAAAATAACTACTTGTCAACGTTAAAAAATGAATGAGAAGAGTGGCATTCTTTCACAAGTTTTGAAAATCTCTTTCCTGTCTGGATTTTCTGTTTCACATCCAGTCTGATGGGATGTTTTGTTTAAAGTATATGAAGAAAATCTGGCCTCACAGATATGTAGGTGGAAAGAAGTGACTTTGCAAACTTTCAGAAAGAGCCTTGGGGGCCCTCAGGGATCTTTGTAGTAAACTCGAGAACTGCTGATCTAACACCAGGTTCACAAACAAGCCCAGAGCCAAGTGCTGGGGCCACTGCGTGGCTTTGACCTAGCCCCTGCCTCACGCAGCTCACTCAGAAGTGCAATAAGGAGGTGCAGGAGGGAGCCTTCTGAGGCAGGCGCCAGGCCTGAGAAGCTGGCATAGAGGGCTCAGAGGAGGTTGAGGTTCTGAGGGCTTGAGAGAGTGCACAGGTACTGCAAGGTCTATAGGAGTAAAGCATCAAGGTGGGGATAGTGGTGGGGTACCTGGAAGTGGGTGAGGCTGACTGCTAGCAAGAGAAGGACTGCGCCAGGTGAGTGACCGTGAAGGGGAGCCACAGAGATAGGTGTGGAAGAGTCTGCAGGAGCAGGGGACTGTCCCTGAGGAATTAGCACAGAGCTCTAAGGGTCAAGGGTCCATCTCCTCAGAAACCTGGCACTGTGGCCCTCAGATGCCAGGGAAGCCCTCCGCTTCCCTCTCCATCAGCAATTTTGGGCTCCCAAGGATACTCTGTGCCCAGACCCTTGATGTCCGTCCATTGTATAGATACAACGAAGTCTATTGCAGGGACCCCCGAGCACTGACAGAGCCCCTGTCGCTCCCCCTCACCCAGGCCTCTCCTGCACTCTGAGGGCAGGGGTGGCTCCTCCAGATACCATCCGTACCTCCCAGCCAGGTGGGTGGGGCCAGAACCCTAGCCCAGGTCAGAGATACCCCGGAGGGACCCACTGGTGTGCATTCCAGTTCTTGGTGGTTCCTTCTGTCAACTTTGAAATGAAATCTTTAGCTAGTCAAATTGAGCATATTCAGCAGCAGCAGAGGAATTTCAGTTGGGACAAGCAACTCTGGAGAACCTTCGCAAGACCACGAGGGCAAATTGGCACATTGGTCTTGGGAGGCAAATTGGAAAGGGCTATATATATTTTTAAATTTTTATTAATTACATTTTTTTCTTACATCATTGTCCCCATAGTTCTGCCACCACCTCATCACCCATGAGCCATCACCATATTCCCTGCGTTCTTCTCTCCCCGGGTTTGCCACCCCCGACCCCCTCCTTTGCCGTAGGCCGCCTTTCACAGGCAGCGTGCTAGTTTTCACGTTTTCTTGATCTTCCATTTGGTTTCTCTGTAGTCCACATATAAGTGAGTCCATCCGGTATTTATCTTTTTCCTTCTGACTAATTTTGGCCGGCATAATAGGAACGGGCTATTTTTTTTAATAATTTATTTTTTTAGGGCCTCCCCGGTGGCGCAGCGGTTGAGTGCTGGGTCGCAAAGCTGCCCGCAGCCTCTGCAGCGCCGGTTCGATCCCCGGCTGCTCCCCGGCCACCGGAGGAGGGTCCCACATGGCGCGCAGACCTCTCCTGCCGCCCGCTGCTCCCCTCAGCAGTGTACTTCGGTCCTTCTGCCTGCTCTGCTCCCCGCTCTGGCTCTGGTGAATTCTCTCACCCTCCCGCGCTTCTGACTGTACCCAGTGCTTGTATAAATAAATAAATCTTTAAAAATATATATTTTTTTAGTTATAACTTATGGATCATTGTGTATTCCCCGTAAAATTCCCACCACCCGTTCTCGCCACAGTCCCTTGTGCTCTACTCTCCTCTGTTTTGTTCTTTTCCTCCCCCCTCCCTCACAGAGTATCTTTTATTTATGGATGCCTGCTAGTTTTGGTGTTTTGTCATTATTATTGTTGTTATTTTTTCCCCTGATCCCTTATTGGGTTCCCCTATATTCCTGCTATGAGTGAGACCATCCGGTATTTTTCTTTTTCTTTCTGGCTTATTTCGCTGAGCATGATCCCTTCCAGCGCCATCCATGTTGCTGCAAATTGCATGTGTTTATCTTTTTTGAATGCTGAGTAATATTCCATGGTATATATGTACCACATCTTCTTGATCCAGTCATCTACTTTTGGGCATTTGGGTTGTTTCCAAAGCTTAGCTATTGTAAACAGTGCTGCTATAAACATAGGGGTGCAGGTGCTCTTTGGAATGGATGTTTCTGTGTCCTTTGGGTAAATACCTAGGAGTGGAATTGCTGGATCCTGTGGAAGCTCTATGTTTAGTAGGTCCAGAAATCTCCACACAGCTCTCCATAGTGGTTGGACCAGTTTGCACTCCCACCAACAGTGCAGAAGAGTTCCTTTCTCTCCACACCCTTGCCAACATTTTTAATGTGTGCCATTCTCACTGGTGTAAGGTGGTATCTCATTGTGGTTTTGATTTGCATTTTCCTGATTTTCTGTGACATTGAACATTTGCATTTCCTCTTTGGAGAAGTGTCATTTTAGCGCTTCTGCTCATTTTTTGACTGGATTGTTTACTTTCTTTTTGTTGACTCTTGTGAGCTCTTTGTAGATTTTTGTGATCAGTCCCTTGTCAGTTGTATTGTGTGCAAAAATTTTCTCACAATCAGTGAGTTGTCTCTTCGTTTTGGTTAGTGTCTCTTGCTGTACAGAGGCTTTTTAGTTTGATGTAATCCCAGCTGTTTATCTTTGCCTTCACTTTCCTTGCTTTGGAGGGAGTGTCTTTAAAGATGTTACTGACATGTATGCCATGTAGTGTTTTGCCTGTATTTTCTTCTATATATTTTATGGTTTCAGATCTTACATTCAGTTCTTTTATCCGTTTTGAATTGGTTTTGTGCATGGTGTGAGGTAGTAGTTTAGCTTCGTTCTTTTGCAAGTAGCAGCCCCGTTTTCCCAGCACCATTTATTGAACAAACTGTCTGGAAAGTGCTATTTTGTGTTTTTTTTTTTTTTCCTTTAAAGATTTATTTATAGGCAAAAGCTGGGGTGTAAGCCAGAGGTATGGGGGTGAGAGGATTCACCAAAGACAGTGTGGGGATCAGAACAGGCAGATCCATGGAAATACACTGCTGAGGGGAGCAGCGGGTGTCAGGAGAGGTCTACAGCGCCATGTGGGTTGCTCCCTGACTGGCTGGGGATCAAACTCATGCTGCAGTAGGTGGCAATAACTTGCTAGTGCTGTCTTTAACCCCTGCGCCACCAGGGAGGCCCTGGAAAGTGCTATTTTGGATTAAAGTTCAGTGAGCTCTCTAGGCCCCTGGGTTTCTCACTGGCTCTAAGCATTGAGTTGCTTGTTGAGCAGTGTGGTTGCATGAGGTTGTTCCCTCTAGAGCATCCCAACTCCATTTTGAATCAGTTTCCTTTATTCAGCTTCACAACTCCTTGCTCCTCTCCCTGGATGGCAAATGAATACAGGAGTGTCCCTGGGAGGCCTCTGCCAGAGTTGAGGTCAGGATCCAGTCTCCGTCAGGAGGAGCCCAGGGACCCGTTCACAGGGAGGAGCTGGGTAAGATGACATCGTCCTCACCAAGAAGCCTGCAGACCATGCGTGTGACTAACTCACAGGCACGTCGTTGCTTATTTTGCAGGCAGCTTAGTGATTTTGTAGGCAAACTGGTTCCTCACATGGGGCAGCTGATTCAAGGAACTAATGCAAAAACAGGATCCATAGGGAGCAAGAGGAAAAACAGTTTGGGGACATTGATTGTAAAGTTCTGGGGCCTAATCTCAGTAGCTGGCAGCTAGCAGAGAAATCAGCCTAGATGTATGTCCTTGAGTAGGTGTCTAGGCCATCAAAGAAAATAATTCCATAGGTTTAGGAGTCCTCCAGAACCCCAAGATTTGCACCATCTGCCTCATCGGAAGTTGAGGGAGGGGACAGGATGCTTTTCCCTGTGGAGGGATGAGGATGAGGTGTCTTAACTGCCTGTCTGTTTGGGACTCAGTGAGGAATCATAGCCTGGCACCTGGAAGGCCCCCGCTCAGATAGTCCACGGGCCCGTCATTCTGGGTGTCCGTTGGTCTGGAGAGCCATGCTCAGAATTGCTGACTCCATGGCTATGCTGCTGCTAGATCAGGCAGGATTAGAGCAGGGCTTTGAAGAGGCAACCGGGTCATTATCCCACCGGAAACTGCTTCTGTCCCCAACTGTGGCAACCCCTGGTCACTTCATGGCTTGGGTTACCTGGGCGTAGCCCCACATGCCCAGTATTTCCTCAGCTTACCACACCACCCACAGGCTTGGGCTGGGCAGATGCTCTGTCCTGGCTGTGCCCTGGGCTTGCTGCTTGCAGCTGGCCCATCCCCAGGGACTGAGGGACATCCCTGGAGGCACAAATAAGCCCAGAATGGAAGAGGGCCCTGGGAGGAGTCCTGGTAACCCCTTATAGGGTGGTCCAGTCAGGGGTCATCTCTGAGTCCTACAGAAAACAGGGGGCAGGGTAGGTGGGGACAACGGCTAAGCAGAGCTGGAGTCTGGGCTGGGGAGCCTGGCCCAGGCTTAGCAGGTGGCCCTGGAAAGTTCTTCCCCCTTTCTGGTCTCAGCCTTCCTTCTGGCACCATCTGGTACAGTGGAGTCTTCTTGAGTGAACACTTCTGTGGCTCTGGGAAGGAGTGTGCATCTCACCCTGTGTGTCTTGGTCTCTCTGACCTGCTCAAAGAAAGGTCCCAGGGCTGGCAGACCCGGGGATTTCCTGTAGGAGGTGGAACTTGAGGTGAAATTGATTCCTGATCTGTCTCTTATGTGTTCTAGCCTCAGAGAGGCCCCCTGATCTTCCCCTCAGGAACTCGTGAGCTATGTCCATGACTTGGGAATAGTCCTTATTCAGCCCCTGCTACACCTTATCCCGCCCCTTAGATCCATGGGCTTTAGGGGAAGCTGGACATTAACCCTTTCTGACCATGAGACCCTAAGAAGAAGGCCTAGAGGATTGAGGGCCCCTCAGTGAGCGCAGGCCAGGCCTGGGTAGTCAAGCCCCTCACTTTTCTCCTCCTCCCTCACTTCCAGCTTTCCAATCCTGGGGGGGGGGGTGGCAGGGGGGCGGCCTGCAGTGGTTGGCTGAGTGTTGGTGGTGACCTGGACCAGTAGGGGCCAAGCTGATGGAGAGAGGTGGGGTGGCATAAAGAGAGAGGCATCTGGGGCTCCCAGGTCCTGCCGGGGTGAGATATGCCAGTGGTTGTGCTGTTGGCAGGGCTGGGCAGGTTGAGAAGAGCAGAACTGGAGAGAGGGACCAAACCTGGTCTGCAGAAGCTGGTGGACACCATGTGGGGGTGTCCAAGAGACAGGGCAGAGGGGCCTGGTGCTCGGCAGCGCTCTCAGGGCTGTAGGCAGGGCTGTGGGTGAGAGAAGAGCATGGCCTGGGTGAGCGAGCCTTCTCTCAGACCTCCTCTCTGTCCCGCTCCCTGTCCACTGGGTCATTAGGCCTGAAATAGTGTCTGCACTTCCAGGCTCGGCAGACGACTGCTCTCATCCTCCCAGGGCTGGCAGGGTGACCTTTTCCAGCAGACCTTCCAAATGTCCTGCCCTTTCATGCCTGCGCATTGGATACCCGCTGAGAAGCTCTCTGCCCCCCCGTCTCCTGAAACCCCTTACCTCGAGGAATCCATAAGCCCCATCTGAGCGCCCACAACCCTGGGCCTTCCCACCCTGGTCCTGGCCCACAGCTGTTAGGCTCCTGCCTGTTTGGGTGAAGGATCCTTGAATGACTACCTGGAGCCAGCCTCCTGCCACATGGTCATCAGAGGCCAGGGGATGAGCATTTCCTGTTGTTAAGGAGAAAGGAAGCAGTGCTGTGGACAGCCCCTTGATACCAGACACCTGTCAAAGTAACAGGCCCTTTGGTCTTTAGCCACCTGGTGGGTGTGCAAACTGAGGCTTAAATAAGTGGAATGATATGGCAGAGGGGGGTGTTTCTCGTGGCTGACCCCTCCCACCCCTCCACCTAGGACCCGAGTTTCTAGCTAGTTCCCTCAGTGAGGCGACTGTGCTGGAGGGAATGGCCGCCGAGGTGCCCCGGGGTTGGAGGTCAGCAAATCCTGCTGAGTTGGCCCAGCTCTGAACTACGGGGTGCTGGCGGTGGAGAAGACCTCTATGTTTTCATTACCCACTGACCAGCTCCCTTTTCTTCTGTGCCCCCGCTTTCAACCTCAGACCAGCTGTGGAGGGCGGGTGAGTGTGACCAGCTGTGAAGGGTGGGTGAGCTGGCTCTGCTCTCAGCACTGCTTGGCTTGGCGGTTCCCCTCAGCCTCCTTCCCCACCCATTCCACGCCCACCTGCCTGGGCTCTTGTGCATGACAGGCCAGCTCAGCTGCTTCTGTGTGCACTGCTTGGGGGTTGAGTCTGGATGGGAGAGGAGATTCTGGTCAGGTGTCCTGGCCCAGGGGGTACAGGTCAGGATTGGAGCCGAGGTCTGGGCATCAAGCCCAGGCCCGCTTTGTGCAGCTCCCCCTGGCTGGGGGTGGGGCCCTCCCCTGGGCTGCGGCCCCTCAACAGTGCTTTCTCCACGGGGCTCCCTGGGGCTGAGGCTGCTGGGGCATGGCTGTGGCTCTGATGAAATGTCCTGGGCGGGAGGGGACAAGTGGGGTTGTCACCTCTCCTGTATGGTCACATCTTTCTCTGGCCTCTCCAGGCCCAGATGGCAATACATCCATCACCAATTATAGGCTGGACTTGACCTTTTCAACTTGGGCTTGGTATGGGAGTGGTGCGGGTGGGGGGTGTGACCCTGAGTGCTCACTCTGGCCTGGCAGCAGGAGGCCCAGGCTGTGCTGCCCCCTGGTGGCAGGGTTCCAGGCCCATAGCAGGAAATCTTGTGCCCAGGCAGCCAGGCTGTGCCCCAGAGGAGCCAAGGAGGGAAAGTCCCCTAGAAGGTGCTCTGGTGCATCCAACCCCTATGCCCACACACCCCAAGATGACTGGAGGTGCTGCCCCCTGAGCAGGGGCTCCATGCTACAGAAACTGGGCCTACCCAGCCCCCAAACCACATACTCCAGCTCCTTCAATAAATTGTAATTGGTTCCACTCCCTTCTTACCAGCCCAGCTTCCACTCTCGAATGGCTCAATTTATGATGTCACCCCAAATGTTGGGGATGAGGGCTTGGGGCAAAGGGGGGAGCCCACATTTGAGGAGTGCCAAAAGCAAGCTATGAAATTTAAAGAGCAACATCTTTAATTTTCTTAAACATTATATTTTATGCCCATTTTACGGGTAAAGATAAGGAAATCAAGTCTTGGCGTCCCTACTTCCTTCTCTCCCCTCTTCCTTCCTCCCCCCATCAAACACTGCAGAGCAAAGACTCAGTGCCACACCCCAGGCTAGTCTGAAGGCCCCACCTCAACCGCTGGAAAGGCGAACCTCTAATTCCAAGACCATGTGATTCCAATGCAAGTCTCCCCCATGCAGAGGGATGCAGAAGGGCAAGCCTGAGAGCTTTCTAGAATCACAGCCTCCCACAGGGAAGTGGTGAACCCCTGTCTCTTGTTGCCTGCAGACATACACGGGCTCCATCCTGGTGGCTGTGAACCCCTACCAGCTGCTCTCCATCTATTCACCAGAGCACATCCGCCAGTATACCAACAAGAAGATTGGGGAGATGCCCCCCCACATCTTTGCCATCGCTGACAATTGTTACTTCAACATGAAACGCAACAGCCGTGACCAGTGCTGCATCATCAGGTGGGCGGCCCAGCAGCGCTGTGGAGCTCCCGACTTATCGCCTGGAGCTCCGCTCCGTGCTCCTGCTAACACCTCATAATGTAGAGAATCGCCTCCCCTTCCCCAGGGTCTGTGTCTCCATTCATGCTAGCTTTTGAGGCCACCTTTGTTTACTGTTGTCTCCTGTTAAATTCTGATCACTTGGACCTCAGGCTCCTGCCCTCCCTTGGCCAGGGAGTAAAAGGACAAAGCCTTGATCAAGGACTGTGTGTGTCTTACTAGAGCAAGCGTAGATGGAGGAGTGTGTGTCTGCTTGATGGCAAAGGAAAGCAACCTTCAGATGGGCAGAGCCCTGAGTGACTTTGGCCATCCCCCAGCTCTGAGTGGTCCATATAATCAGATGGCGGGGGGGCCTGAAACCCCATAGTATGGGGATGGTGAGCCAGGGCTGTGATGGGCCCTGCCTCTGCCTGGCTCCCTCTGCAGTGGGGAGTCTGGGGCAGGGAAGACAGAGAGCACCAAGCTGATCCTGCAGTTCCTGGCGGCCATCAGCGGGCAGCACTCCTGGATCGAGCAGCAGGTGCTAGAGGCCACCCCCATCTTGGAAGGTAGGGCCAGGCCTAGGGTGGGGCTGGGTGGCTGTGGGGGAGTTGGCCTTGACGGTGACCCCCTCCTATTGCAGCATTCGGGAATGCCAAGACCATCCGCAATGACAACTCCAGCCGCTTTGGGAAGTACATCGACATCCACTTCAACAAGCGGGGTGCCATCGAGGGCGCCAAGATTGAGCAGTACCTGCTGGAGAAGTCACGTGTCTGTCGCCAGGTGGGCCCGAGCCTCAAGGGTTGGTGGGGTCACACCAGGCTGACTAGCCCCCCTGTCTTTTCGCTGCTGCCTGCTTGCTCCTAGCCTGGAATCCCACTGTGAAACCCCGCCCCCGCCGGGGCTTTTTCATAAAAGCCATGTGTTAAAATAGTAAACCATGTCAACAGCCTTCTTGATTGTCTGCTTCCCGATGACCTTCTCCTGCCCTCCTACCTCTGTCCCCCCAATGCCGTGTGCTCACATTTTCAGGCCCCTGATGAAAGGAACTACCACGTGTTCTACTGCATGCTGGAGGGCATGAGCGAGGAGCAAAAGAAGAAGCTGGGCCTGGGCCAGGCCACAGACTATAATTACCTGGCCATGGTGAGGCCCAGGTGGGGCCCCTGGGGAGGGGGACGCCCCTCCCACAAGGTCAGGGTAGCTCAGGCCTGGTGAGTGGGGAACTCTGCGTGGGTTTCCTCCTGTCCTCTCACCTGCCCCAGCACACCCTGGGCTCATATGTGCCCTGAAGCCTGTCCCCCACTTGGTCACATGCCCCTTGCACACACATCTAGGTGAATTCCCTCCACCAGCTCACACATTCCCAAATGTGTGACGTCTCAGACTGACACACGGCCATACATGCATTCTCATAGACCTCCCTGCCCGTGTGCTGCACTAGTTCGGTCCCTGAGAACACAGGGACTGGGACCTTCGCCAGGGCCCTCAGGATTTGGGGTCAAGCTGCTGCAGCTTCAGCCTCGAGGGCTTGCTGAGTGCAGTGTCATGCTGCTGTCTGGCCACCAAGGAGAAGTGGGTCCTGGGGCATTGCAGCCACCTAGCACCAGGTGGGGGCCACATACACAGCAGGCTGGCTTGGGGGACCAACTTCCTTAGCCCTGGGGAGAGCCCATGCCTATTTGTCTGGAGCTGGGCTGGGCTGGACTACGTGGGTACAATATGAGCTATGACACCTGGGGGATGTAGGCCAATATGTGTGCGTGTGCATGCACGTGTACATGCAGTGGTAGGTGTGACAGACCTTCATGGACACATCCTGTATCTGGCTGGCACCCTTGCACATACACACGCACAGCTCCCAGGCACACATGATGGGCAGACCCCTGTCCGTGCCGGTCTCTCTGTAGTTATCCCCCTTCATCCACACCAGGCGCACTGGTGAGGGGTTCAAGTTTCTGAGGGGGTGTGCCCTAGGAGGCGGGGAGAATGTAAAGTATTGCTGCTGTCAGGGTGACTGCCAGGCAGAGTGACTCGGGGAAAAGGGACAGCCAGGGTTCCCAGGTGTAGAAAGTGTATCTTGAAAAGCCCAGCCAGGAACTTTCCAGACATTCTAAGGGAGTTGTAGAGCTCTCAAGATAAGGTCTCTGCCCAAAGCCCCAGGCACTCCGTGACGCACCCCATTCTCCCCCACCCCGCCCACACAGGGTAACTGCACAACCTGTGAGGGCCGGGAGGACAGCCAGGAATACGCCAACATCCGCTCCGCCATGAAGGTGCTCATGTTCACCGACACCGAGAACTGGGAGATCTCGAAGCTCCTGGCCGCCATCCTGCATCTAGGCAACCTGCAGTACGAGGGTGAGGAAGCAGCCGTTCTCAGAGAGGAGACGGAGAACAACCTCTGGGCAGCGCTGAGGCAGGCCCCAGGTCCCCTCCATTCTTGCCCCTGGTGCCCAGCATGGCCCCTGGACAAAGGAGGAGCTCTGGGGAGTTTTCTCAGTGGATAAATGAATGACCCCAGCTCTGAGGAGCTCAAGTTCACGGAGTCTTAGAAGACTAAAGACATGAAGGCTGCATCAGGCAATAGGAAGTGCTTGTGCCAAGGCCTTGAGGCCTTGGGAAAGGCAGATGGTGTCAGGCGCTGAGTGACACACTTGTCACAAAGCCCGAGCGCCAGTCACTCTGGGGGTCTGGGGCGGCGGTGGGAGGAGAGGGCTGCGGGTGTCCGCTGCTGGTGCCGGGGCTGGGCTTGCACGGTGCCTGCCCTCGGGGCGCCCGCAGTACAAGGGGAGGGCATTCCTCAATCGTATTGACCGAGAGACACGTTTAATTGTGCTGCTGGTGCCCTCTGAGCGCAGGGCAGACCCCAGGTTCTCCTAGGCGCTCCCAGGCCCACCCTCCCTGCCTGACGCCCCGCCTTCTCGCTGCCACCAGCCCGCACATTTGAAAACCTGGATGCCTGTGAGGTCCTGTTTTCCCCGTCCCTGGCCACAGCGGCGTCCCTGCTTGAGGTCAGTGCCCAGCTTTCTGTCCCCACAGCCGCTCTGTTCCTCTCGGGGTGGGGGTAGTTTTGACTTCAGGGTCAGAAGACTGAGCTTGTGGGGAACAGGGGGCTGGACCCCTCTGGAAGAGTTCTAGAAATTTACTATCAAGAGCTTACTAAGTGCAGGATCTGGACTGGCACAGGCCCCAGAGGGTGGAGCCCAGCGCCCAGGGGCCTCGCTGCTCATCCCTGGGGATGGTGCCTCTGGGGATGGTGGGGGGCTTGGGGGACCCTGGGCTAGGGCCTCTCAGTGAGTCAGTCTGCTAGACTGTGAGCAAGCACTGGACTCCATTCTGGCTGAAAAACTTGCGTGAATTAAAGGCAGGGACAGAGCCAGTCCTGGGAGGACAGTTGACATGCTGCCGGGAGAGAGAGGTCGTAAGGAAAGAACACCCCCTTCCAGGCAGCTCTCAGGGCTGGCGGGCTGATGGTTGGGGAGGCTCGGCTGTGGGGAAGGGCATTCTTAGTAGAGGCAGCAGTGTGAGCAAGGCCTGGTTGACGAGGCCTGTGAAGGAGTGAGTTTAGGTGTGGGCAGAGGGAGGGATGGGTGGGTTGCCTGACTGAGTACCTGCCTGTTGCCCCACCAGGTGAACCCCCCAGATCTGATGAACTGCCTGACCAGCCGCACCCTCATCACCCGTGGGGAGACAGTGTCCACCCCGCTCAGCAGGGAGCAGGCGCTGGATGTGCGGGACGCCTTTGTAAAGGTGGGCAGTTTGTGGAGTGGACTTTGGTGGGCAGGACCCAAGGGGCTGTTGGTGGGCAGGACCCAAGGGGTCCACAGAGCCAGTGGACCTCTGGGCCCGGACCCAGGCCACAGTGTCTGCTCTCTGGGGCTGGGCAAGAGTCTGCCTCCCCCGAGCCCCTTTCACTGCACAGGAAGCTGGGTGTGTGCCCTCCAGGGCCTGCCAGCTCCGGCCCCCTCAAGCCCTCCCCCTGGCCTGCTTTGATCTCTTGAAACTCAGGCTGGAGTCACCCCTTGAGTCCCTACCCTTCAGCAGGCCCTGTGCTGGCCTCTGGGACCCTCCAGACATGGAGACAAATAGACGGGGACATGGGAGCCCAAAGGAGAGTTCCCTCCCCAGCTTCAAGGTCAGAGAGTTTTGGTGGCGCTGACCCCACACTGAGCTCTGAAAAGCAGCAATTGTTAGGCCAGAATGGGTGCAGGCAGAGAGACCAGCTGGAGGAAAGGTTTGGGGTTTCCAGCAGCGCAGATGGGGCTAGAGTGGCGCCGTGAGGCCGGCAGCCTGGCCAGTCTCCCCAGGAGGGTGTGGCTGGGCACAGTGGCCGACCGGGCGCCTCTCAGGGCATCTACGGGCGGCTCTTCGTGTGGATTGTCGACAAGATCAACGCTGCGATCTACAAGCCCCCGTCCCAGGAAGTGAAGAACTCCCGCCGGTCCATCGGCCTCCTGGACATCTTTGGGTTTGAGAACTTTGCTGTGAACAGGTACCACGTGGCTTTCTCGCTGTGGGCATTTCCTCCCACGGTGCGGACACCGGAGCCGCCATAGCTCTCCCTGGAAACTGCACTTAGTCAGTCCTCAGCACGCTCTGAGGGGATGGAAAATTGCACTTCCTCATCCTGGTGGGCTCTTCCCTTCCTCCCCAACCCTTCCAGTCCCCTGGGGCAGCTGAGGCCAGCCGGGGTGCCAGGGGACGCTCTTACACCATCTCAGACCCTCCGGCCCCAGAGCCCAGGCTGCAGAGAGCAGGTGGCTGGGGCTGGAGGCAGCAGCTCTGCCCTCCTTCCTGGCTGTGGGGCCCTGGAGAGTCACTTCACTTCTTGTAATGTTTGGGTGACTCGGAGCCTTCACCCACCACTGAACACCCACGCTGAATACACAGCGTCCCCTGCAGAGCCCAGAGTTGGTGGCGCAGAGGTGTCAGCCACTAAGGCTCTGCTTGACAAATCCTGCCCGCCCCCGCCCATGTCCTTTGCTCTCTCCTTATGACCCTCCTCCCCAGAGCCTTGGGTTTCCCTTCACAGGTGCTCAGCCAGGGGGTTGGCACCCACTCTTCAATCCTCCCCCACAGGCTTGGTCATGCAGGGAAAATGGTCCTCAGCTGGGGTTCCTGAGCCCCAGATTTTAGCCTTACTCTCCGACCTTTGCCCTCGCTGGGCGGGCATGTCCTCTTGTGTAGATGAAAGGGGTTAGATTTGACAAGCACCCCACTCAGGGGCTGGAGATCCAGCATTGGGAACCATTTGTCCAAAGGTGCGCTGCACACCAAGGCAGCAGAGGGGAGCCCTGGGTGGCCCCCACCTGTGCCCTGCACCCCTCCCTGCAGCTTCGAGCAGCTGTGCATCAACTTCGCCAACGAGCACCTGCAGCAGTTCTTTGTGCGACACGTGTTCAAGCTGGAGCAGGAGGAGTATGACCTGGAGAGCATCGACTGGCTGCACATCGAGTTTACTGACAACCAGGACGCCCTGGACATGATCGCCAACAAGCCCATGAACATCATCTCCCTCATCGACGAGGAGAGCAAGTTCCCTAAGGTGTGCTGCAGGCACATCCGAGCCTCAGTGCTCCTCATTGGCCAAATGGGGTGAAGGATGCCAGCCTCTCAGGGGGCTCCGGGCCTTTCAAAGGCTTTTGTCTGGCCTTTGAGAGTCACCTACAGTCCAGGGGTCCTGGGCCAGATGACGATGATCTAGGCACATAGCTGGCACAGGATAGGTGTTCCAGACACAAACTATGACTTGGAGCTAGAGAGACATTGCTCCCATGATTTTAGTAGACCTTTTATTTAATTTTTTTAAAGATTTATTTATTTATACAAGCACTGGGGTTCAGGCCAGAGACGCGGGAGGGTGAGAGAATCCACCAGAGACAGAGCAGGGAGCAGGACAGGTAGAGGGACCAAAATACACTGCTGAGGGGAGCAGTGGGCAAGACAGGAGAGGTCTGCCGCACCATGTGGGTATCTCCCTGGCCGGCCAGAAATCGAACCGATGCAGCGGAGACTGCGGACAGACTCACAGCGCTGCGCTCAACCGGCTGCGCCACCAGGGAGGCCCTTAATAGACTGTTTAAACTGAAGTGTATTTTCAAGGTTGTGTAACTTCACTCACTTTAACGGATGGGGAACTGAAGGCCCAGTGAGCCTCCGTGTGAGGTATAAATAAAAGAGAGCAGATCCTCTTGGGAAAGACAAAAGAGGAGAGGCAAAGACATGGGCAGGGAAGGCAGTAGGGCCCTGTGGAGAGTGGGGCATGAGTAGGGGGTAGACTTGACAGCCACCCCTTGGTCTCCACAGGGCACAGACACCACCATGTTGCATAAATTGAACTCCCAGCACAAGGTCAACTCAAACTACATTCCTCCCAAGAACAACTATGACACCCAGTTTGGAATCAACCACTTTGCGGGTGTCGTCTACTATGAGAGCCAAGGTACAGGCGGGCTGTCTCTCTCTCTATCAGGCAGAGAAGCTGTCTTTCCTTCTCCAGGCCAGATGGAGACACCAGGGTTCTGGAATACCGAGACGGAGGGCCTTTAGGAAGCCCTGGGCTCAGCAGTCTTTTTTTTTTTTCTTTTTATATTTAAAAAAATGTAAAAGAAATATATAAAATTAGCCAAACAAATTGCTAAACAATTTTTAAGCCTATAATTCAGTAGCACTAAGTTCATTCCCAAGACTGTGGACCTCACCACCATCCACTTCCGTTGCCTTCATCATCCTGCGGGAAAGCTGCACCCATTAAGCAGCAACTCCCCAGCCTTCCACCACTCCCCGCCCCTGGGAGCCTCTATTCTACTTTCCGTCTCTTCATATTTGTCCGTTATAAGCTCCTCATATAAGTGGAGTCATACACCATTTGTCCTTTTGTATCTGGCTTATTTCACTTAATATAATGTCCTCAAGGTTCATATGTGTTGTAGGACATTCAGCTTTTCTCTCCTCTTTATGACTAAATATCATTCCTTATGTGGCATGTATGTGTGCGTATGTATTATGTTACATTCTATTTATCCAGGCATCTGTCAGTGGACATGTTGATGGTTTCCGCCTCTTGACTATTGTGAATGATGTGCCATGAAGGTGGGCGTGCAGGCATCTGGTTGCGTCCCTGCTTTCAGTTCTTTTGAGAGGGCGCAATGCTCTTTTGTACCTATGGGGAAACTGAGACTTCCATGACACGATACAGCTTTTTGGTTACAAAGTCCTGCCTCCTCGGGCCTCCCTGGTGGCCTAGGGATTAAGTCTAAGTGCTATCACCTCTACAACCTGAGTTCGAGCCCAAGCCAGGGAGGGTACAGCAGACCTTTCCTGACTCACCCGCTACTTCCCTCAGCAGTGTATTTCAGTAGATCCACCTGTTCTGTTCCCCACTCTGTCGCTGGTGAATCCTCTCACCCTTACACCTCTGGCCTACACCCCAGTTCTTCTACACACACACACATACACACACACAAAACAGAACCACCACCATCACCCACCAAGACTCAGCAACAAGACCAAGTATGAGCTTCGAAGGGGACATTGATCTTTTTTCTCTCCTGGGATATGCAGTTGGGCTCATTTTGAAGTGAGAGGTGAAGAAGAGGGCTCAGAACAGTCAAGTTCAGCCACGGTCGGAGGCCATGGGTTTCATCCTTCCTGGTGAGGTGGGTCCAGGAGGCAGGAGAGTGGTCAGTGGGTCAGGCTGCTGCGATGCTCCAACTTCACTGGTGAGAAGAAGGAGCCAATGTGCAATCTGAAGCGTGCTGGACAACACTGTTGTTTGGAGTAATAGACGACTGTATTTTTCAATTCAGTTCAATCAGCCTTCACTGAGCATCTATTATGTACCAGGCTCCATGCTGTTCTGAGGATACAGAAATGAAAACTGAGCGCACTCTATGCTGAGTTATAAAATTATAGAATGTTCGATCTGGAGGAAACATAAATGTCATCTGCGTTTATGGATTTGGAAACTGAAAAGCAAAGAGGGAAATGACCCTACTAAGGTCGTGGACTAGGTCTGAGCTACTTTGAACAATTTCTCCCACAAAGTACACTTTATGTGGCATTTCATTGATGAACTGGGTAGTGGTAGGTGAGCTGAAGAGAAACAAGAGCTTTTATTATCATCAGGGATTATTTTTCCCTTTTGAATGATGAGGAAACTGAGACCCAGAAGTGGCCTTCTTAGGGTCCTATAGTGAGCCCCCCAATTCCATCCCAGATGCAGAGCCTACCTTGCAAGTGCCTCCTGCAGCTCACTGTCCCCAGACGCCGGGCCGGGGTCACCACACCACTGCTATGGCAGGGCAGGGAAATTAATTATCCAGTTCCTAATTCAGCCCCTGCACTGGCAGCCTTCTCTGGGGATCCATGTAAGATGGGGGGCCTCCCTGGACTGAGCTCAGCCTTGACCCTTCTGGGGCTGGCTGTGCGGTGTTCGCTGACGTAGCTTCTTTGAGCACTGCCTTCCTGCTGAGGGAGGGGAGAGAGCCCTCACCTTCCCACGTGTCCGGGGGCAGTTGTGCACATCCGTGCTGTGAGGGCACAGTGTGCCATCCAAATGCAAGGTCTTTTTAATTAAGTCCTTGACTGTTGCTGGCACCAGGCCTGCGTATATCCCCTCCCAGGGGATGTGCTTATTTAACAGGGATTTGTGACTTCTTTATTCAAAAGACTAAGGATGGCATTTTAGTCCCTGGTGGGGTTCAGTCAAGAATGTAGCCCTGACTCTCTCCCCAGGAACGAGGCCTCCTGCCCTTCTCCTTGAACAGATCTGGAAGTGGGGGGCGGCTGTGACTGGGGAAACAGTGCAGTCTGGGCTCTGCCCCCCATTTTTTCTGTGATCTTGGGCAGCTGCTGTTCTCTCCAGGCCTTGGTGTCTCCACTATAAAATGGATGCTGATGAACAGGGGAATTTTGAGGGTCCTCTTGGCTTGGACATAGTGGATTTGGGGTGGGGTTGGCTCTCGTCAGGTGGGAGCATGGAGCTGGCCAGGTGTGACGGTTCTCTGCCGCTCTCCAGGCTTCCTGGAGAAGAACCGAGACACGCTGCATGGGGACATCATCCAGCTGGTTCACTCCTCCAGGAACAAGTTCATCAAGCAGATCTTCCAGGCTGACGTCGCCATGGTGAGGGGGGCGCAGGGCTTCGTGGTGGGGGCAGGCCCCTTCTCCCAGCTCCATCAAAGGTAGACCCCCAACCTTGGCCTGGAACTCCAGCTGTGCTCCTCTGGGACAGTGGGAGGGAGCGGGGCGGGGCGGGGAGGGCGGGGGCTGATCAAGATCCTCCCATCCTGTCCTCTTGTGGCACTGATTTGGGGGTGTAGGTGGGGCACAAGCCCAGCAAAGGGTCATGTGAGAAGGCGCAGAGCAGATCCGGACTTGATTTACCATGGAGGTGCCCCCCCCCCCCCAGCTAACTTGGAGCACGGTGGAGGGACACACCCAGCCTTGAGGACACACTGGGGTGTGGATCCCAAGAAACTGGCATAAATGGCAGATTTGCAGCTGTGGACGCCACACATGGGGAGAATTCCCCGCCCGCTGCATTTCCTCTTTTCCTCGGGTGGGAGTCTGGCGGCCTTGCTTCCTGCAGGATTGTGTGCTTTTTATTTCACATTTTCCTTCTGTCCCCATGTTTTCTGGTGGGTACCTGGAAAGGCTGGGGGGGGGAGAGCAGCCCCTGCCCCCTCCGTGCCTGTACTCAAGTTACCCCCAGCACAGGCCCTGCCCCGAGGCGCTCTCCTGAGGAATTGTGCTGATTTGTGACCCTGCCTTCTCCTTGCTTCCCTTCTCCCCTCGCCCTGCATGTGGCTCCTGCTGTAGTTTCTCTGTGGTTACTCGTCAGGCTCTCTCCGCCAGTACACGGCGTCCACGAAGGTAAAGGGCTCTGCCCGGCCAGAGGATGGTGGCAGCCTTGGGACTGAGCTGTGTCTTTGGCCCCCCGCGGCGTGGAGGCTTGGGGAGAGGACCAACATTTTCTTCTTTTACTTTTTGTGGAGTGTGTCTTTTTTCTTTGTGGAGTGGTTTGTGGAGTGGTTTTTTTTTTTGTTCCCTGAGTTGTGTGTATTACAGGTGCCTCCGTTTCTAAAAGAAGGAACTGAGTCCTTGAAAATGGAGGAAGACTTGCCCAGAGTAGTTTGAGAACCAGGGGCAGAGTTAGGACTAGAACCCGTGTCTCCCCTCTCTGCCCCTGCTGAGTTTCTTTGAGGCATCAGGCCTGTTCTCACTCACTCATTCATTCATTCATTCATTCATTCTCAAGTATCGATTGCATGCCCACCATACGCAGACATTGACCCAGGCCCTAAGGACACAGTAGTGACCAAAGCAGAGAACAACCTCTCTGCTTGTGGACCTCCCTGTCTAAGAGGGGGAAGCAGGTGATAGGCAAATTAATACTGACGATATGTAGTATGTCAGATCGGAGCTATGACATGGAGAAAAATGAAGGAGGGTGAATGGCAGAGGTGGTGCTTTGCAATTTTGAATAGAGGGTCAGGAAAGTTCTTAGTGGTTGGCTGATAAGGAGGTGAAGAAGCCAGCTGCGTGCATTCTGGAGGAAAAGCATTGAGGGAAGAGGGATCCTCAGTGCAAAAGCCCCGAAGGGCTTTCTAAGCTGATGGGAAGTGTCTTAGGAAGAACAAGGAGGCTGGAGTGGCTGGAAACAGGTGAGCAAGTTGGAGAAGAGATGAGAGCTAAGTGAGGGCAGAGCCAGTGGGACATTGTCAGTCCTTCTAAGGACCTTGGTGTTCATGCTGAGTGAACTGGGGAGCCACAGAGGATATGCGGGTGTGAGGGGAGACACAACTGGATTGTGTTATAACAGCCCCACTCAGGCTGTGTAGATAGTGGCGTGGAGGGTGGTGTGGGGGCCAGACGCAGTGTGTCCAGTTTGAAAATTATTGCAAGAATCCAAGAAAGCCAGGCTGACAGCTTGGACCAGGCCAACACTAGGAGGAGGTCGTCAGATTCTGCATCTGTTCTGGAGGTAGAGCCAGTAAGAGTTGTTGGCATAGTGGATATGAAAGGAATTGGGGACAGGTTCTGTGGGGTTTGGGCCTGAGCAATTGGACAGAGGATCATTCTGTGCATCCTTGGAAGCGAGGAGCCAATGCAGCCGCACTTCAGCTCAGCGAAGTGTTCATGATTGTTACTCTAGCCAGGCCCCGGGCCCGACAGTGAACAGGCAGACCCGCCTGTCTTCGTGGGGTTCGAGTCCCAGCAGAAAGCTGGGCATGACGATCGAAACCAAGAAGGGTGTCGATTGTGTGTGTGAGACGTGTGCTATTGTTTTGTGTATGTGCTGTGTGTACATTTGGATGAGTCATGTGCTGTAAGTGTTCTATGTGTGTAGGTGTGTTCTGTATGTGTGTGCGCTCTGTGTGTACATCTGTGTGTGTTGTGTGCTGTGTGTAGTGTGTGTGCTACAGCCCAACCTGGGCAGCTCTCTCTCAAGTGGGAGCCACTCAAGTGCTGCTACTGGATCAAGTTCAGGGACAGATGTGGGGGGCTCCAAGCCTGACATTCCCCTCCCCCCAATGCAAATAAATACTCCTCAGCTTCCCTTGGCAAAATCTTAGCAGATACTCTAAACAAAAACATCCCATGGAAAACACTGCAAATTTTAGAATAGTAAGTGTTTACTGTTTCTTGGCAAGTTTTATTTCAATTTGGTGGCCTATTGTCCAACGTTAGTCTGGGTGAAAGAAATACCCATACTAATCACCAAATTCACTAGTAAGAAATTTTCGCCCAAATGAAATCACCAGAAAAGCAATACCGTAAAAATGCCTTAGAACTGGATCTGGTTTCTTTGTCCAGCGTCTGGGGAGCGTCAGGTCCTCCCCCAGGGCCTCGACCTCACTTCACAGAATTCTTAAGAGGGGGATGGAGACAGGGCAGGGGGTGCAGGGTGTCACAGGGCTGCTCACCAGGTTGTGGCTTGGGGGTGGGGTGTGGTGTCCTCCAGGCCTCAGTGCCAGAAGGCCAGTGTGGGCCTTCTCAGGAGGTTTGTCCAGCTGCCCATCAGCCCACGGCTGACTCTGAAGACTAATCCCACAGGGAGGGGGGAGGGACCGGCCCCCTCTCCCCACCACTCCCTTCTCCTCCCCCAGGGGCTCCTGGTTGCTGTTTACCAAGTCCTGCTCTCTGCCCACCCATGTCAGGTAGCGAGAGGGCACCATTCCCATCTAGAAAGCTGAGACACCGCGCTCTGAGTGACCTGGCCAGGACCCCACAGCTAGGAGGTGGTGGGCCGGGTTTGATTTGAGGTCTGTCAAACCTGGATCTAGAGCCACCCCACTATGGAGACCACGCCGGCCCCAGAAGGACCCTTCTGGAACCTCCCATTTACTGGGAGGCAAGGATGGGGTCTCAGAGAGGGGCTGCACCTTGCCCTGAGTCACCCAGCAGCCCAGGGCTCTCCGCTTCCTCTGGAGTGTTCCTCCTGGCAGGGAGCCTGGCCCAGGAGGTTCCGGGAAGCTCCTCAAAGTGTGCCTCTGGGATGGCAGCTCCAATCCAGGCCAGCGGGTCACAGGAAAACCCCAAGCGCCTGACCAGCCAGTTTCCCTGGGTGGCTCTCCCCAGACCCCGACCCTGGGGGCCTCCCTTCCCCCTTCCAGGACTGCAGGGCGAGGTCAGCTCCTCCCACTGCTATGGTCCGTCCCCCCCACCTCCCCTAGGGCGCAGAGACCAGGAAGCGCTCGCCCACACTCAGCAGCCAGTTCAAGCGGTCGCTGGAGCTGCTGATGCGCACGCTCGGCGCCTGCCAGCCCTTCTTCGTGCGCTGCATCAAGCCCAATGAGTTCAAGAAGCCCATGGTGAGCAGTCCTGGCCACGGGCCAGCGGGGCCAGCCTGGAGGGTGAGGTGGAAGGGCCTGGCCAAGGGTGGACAGGGTGGGGGCTGCATAGTGTGATTCTTGCCCTCTTTAGGGCACCTGGGGGGATTTATAGAGCAGAGGCCCCAGGTTGCTGGAGGCAGCAGGTGCCCTGGACTCCGCAGTGGGTCATGTGCAGGTTCAAATCCTAACTTGATCGCTACGAGCTGGGTGACTGTAGACAAACCAGTCTTGTGCCTCAGTTTCCTCACAGAAATGGGACTCCTAGTGGGATTCTGTGCACGAGTGAGTATGCAGACAGCCTGGCATGTAAGTGCTGTTCGGTAAATGGAAGCCGTGCTTCTGGCTGAAGGTGTACCTTTGAAATCCCTTCCCCTTTGGTCCACCTCCTCTTTGAAGCCTTCCCAGATCCCTCTGACTGACCGGGAACCTTCTTAATTTTTTGCTCTTCGGAGTAACATTTGTTGGACCCTTTCTGTGTGCCAGGCACTGGCTAGATTGTCTTTCCACAGCCACATCCAACCTTCCCAAGAGCCCATGAGGCAGGGACAGCGTGGCCCCACATTTACCATCGGGGAATGGAGGCTTATGGAAGACAGGGGGCTTGAGGCTGCAGACAGGACAGAGCCTCACTGGGATCCCTTTCCTTTCACTGTGTTGTTTACCACCAGGCTCTTCCAGAGGCCAGAGGAAGCCAGAGGAAGGCTGGGCCTTTGGGTCTGGGGAGGGAAGGAAGGCAGGAGGCCAGTGCTGTGCTAGGGAAAGTGCCCGGAGGGAGAGGAAACAGGTGACGGAAGCCGGGAGCAGCACACTGACCCTGCCCCTGACCCTGGCCTCTGCCTGGAAAACATTCCCCAGAGGGGCCTAAGAGTCCCCTGGGGCTCAGGCCCTGGTTTGCAGGGTGTGAGTCACAGAATGCTCCAGCAAGCTCCCCCTTTAAGACAGGTCTGGGTCACAAGATCAGGGCCTTGCCAGGACCCATGGATGCCATTTCTCCTGCTCGGAGATGCCCTTCCATCCTGCTGCCCCCAGAACCTGCCTCTGAGGCCTCTGCAGTCCCTCCCCAACCAGAGGCTGGCTGGCCAGGCCCTGTCCTGCTGCCATCACTCACTGACTGTGTCAATTAGAGAAAAGCGCCTCTTAAGGCACTTTACTGCCAATGGCCAGAAAGTTGTCTGAATAACTCCAGCTCTTACAAGGCTGCCGTGTGAAGGGTGCCTGGGGTGATGCAAGGCACACACCACCTGTATGATCGTAATCTTGGCGCGCATCAGCCTTCTTGGTCCCCTTGGAGTCCCCCAACAGGCATGGGCTTTCACGCTTCCACACCTCCGCAGGTGTTCATCCTGCCCCTCCAGTGCCTCTGTCCTGTTGAGGTTAGAGCAAAGACTCAGAAGCCCCCTTGAGCTAGCCCAAGGGTAATTAAGCCATCTCTCCTCTGTGCCCCCAAAGCACACAGCTCACCCTGCAGGAGGATCTCATTTTGGACCACTGTGTGGGTGTGAGCTGCAGATCTGGGACCAGCCCTACCTTTGCTTCTCATCTACTATGTGGCCTTGACCTCTCTGGATCTTTGGGGCTGGGCATTCCTGAGCAGGGCTGGCCTCCTTCAGGAACCTCAGGTGCTGACGACCTTGGCTTTGTGCCCGGCAGCTGTTCGACCGGCACCTGTGCGTGCGCCAGCTGCGGTACTCGGGGATGATGGAGACCATCCGAATCCGCCGAGCTGGCTACCCCATCCGCTACAGCTTCGTGGAGTTCGTGGAGCGGTACCGAGTGCTGCTGCCTGGCGTGAAGCCAGCCTACAAACAGGTGCAGGGCTGGGGGGCATAGATGGCAGGAGGGAGGGTCCCTGTTCTAGGCTTGGCAAGAGCCCTAGTTTTTTCTCATTGGGTCAGTAAACTCGGCAAGACATGAGCTCAGCCAACTCAGCTATAGCTGGGGAAATTGGGGGGCAGAAGTGGGGTGCATCCAAGGTTCCTGTCACCTTATTTGTCTGTGTGAACGTCACACATGTGCTGTGTAGAGGAGACCAGGTCTGCCAAGTGGGTCCTGGAGGTTAAACATTGGAGGTTTTGCAATCATCTGGCTGAGCTAAGGAGAAAAGTGCCAGCAGAGAAGGCAGGGCCCAGTCAGGATCATATAGCCAGTCAGGGACAGAGCTGAAGCTAGTGGCGGCCTCCCGGTCTCCAGGGAGACATCCAGCTGGCCTTCCCACTGGAGAGGCTGCCTGTTCTCGTACACCCCCAGGATGACCTTCGGGGGACATGCCAGCGTATGGCAGAGGCTGTGCTGGGTGCCCACGATGACTGGCAGATCGGCAAAACCAAGATCTTCCTGAAGGTGAGCTCAGCTGTGCACTGCTGACACGGTGGGGATGGTATCCTAGGGGGCGCTGTAGAGGAGTCACGTCATCAGATGGGGCAGAGCTGGGTCTCCAAGATCTTCTTGTCCTGCAGCTGTGTGATCCTTGGTGGCTGAGGGGAAATTGGTACTGAGACCATCTATGATCCCGGTGTAGGGTCAGATTACTGAAGGCAAGAGGCAGGTTGACCAGGGAGGCTTGGATTCATATCCTGACCCTGGGGTTGTCTGTGCTGGGGCTTTGGGAAGGTCACTGGTCCTTTCTGAGTGCCATTTTCCCATCTTTAAAGTAAGATGTGACTGCAAGGAGGGGAAGGGCAAGGGGTCAAAACACGGAGGGGAAGAGCACAAGGGACTGTGGTGATGGGTCACGGGTGCTGTAGTGGTAGAACCACGGGGACGACACCTGAGGGGAGAAATCACATATTATTCAAAAATTAACAATAATATAAGAAAATAAATAAAATAGGATGCATCTGGCAGGGTGGAGGTGGGACATTTTTGGGTTGAGTGCATTTTTGGGTTGACCCCGTGCCATCCCCTTTGCTCTGTTAGTGTTTTGGGGTCTGTTCCTACCCTCTCAGACTCCAGCTGTACCCTAGATAGGACCTCAGAAGTCGTGCAGTTGGGGGCAGGAGGACAGGGCTGGGAGCAGGAAGCTGGACCACTGGGACCCTGGCCTGGAGCAGTGCTTGCTGGGAGATGGCAGTGGCGAGGCAGCTGCAGCAGGAACACTGCCAGCTTCTGCACATTGGCTTCCCCATTTCTAGTTCTGCTGTACTAGATTGCTAGCTGTCCTGGGCACCCGGGCAGGGCTGCTTCCTGTGCATGGGGGCAGGGCTTGCCCAGTCCAGGACAGTGTGGAAAGACAGGCAGAGCCAGCCCTGAGCCGGAGGGAGTCCTGGAGTCTAGTCCAATCCCTGTCTGCCTGAGGGACCGTGACCAGTCCCTTCATCTCCCCGAGCCTACATTTCCTCTTTGCAACAGTGTCACTCTCACCTCAGCTGTACCTGCAAAGCCTGCAGGGTGACCGCCGCGGGCAGGGCTCGCTATCTCTGGTCTCCTAAGTCCTCAAGCAGCCCTGTGAGCTAGGACTATGTGCCCGTTCCAGGCTCAGAGAGGGGGAGTGAGTTGCTGGGGGTCATGGGTGCTGAAGTGTGGTGCTCGGCATCTGGCCTGGGTGGGCCTGAAGCCAGGGAGCTCTGAGAATGGTCATGGCTCCTATCCTCACCTCAATGGGCTTCTCAGAAATGGGCTGTGGCTCCTCATTCATTCAGAAACTTCAGCTGAGGCTGCTCCTCTGTGCCCTGTCCCCACATGATGTGGTCTGTGATTATCTGATGGATGTGGCTCCCTGCGAGGACAGGGTCCATGTCCACTGGACTCACTGCCCACCCCCACCTCGCACAGTGCTGGCACGTGGATATTCAGTGCACATGGACTGAAGTTTTGACCAACTTGGGGATGAGAAAGAGAGAGGCCCAGTGAGGTCAGCAGGGCCTGATCATGGAGGGCCTGAGTGCCAGAATGAGGAGACCAGGCTTGATCCCAGGAACCATGGGGTATCAGTGTGAGGGCACCATCAGATCTGTGTTTCAGGAGAAACACAAATCCCTCTTTAGGGAGGCTGGAGGGGCAGTGATGGGGGTAGGAGACTGATTAGGAGACTGTTGTCAAGATCCTGGAGAGAAACAACAACGGCTGCCTGGCCCAGATGAGGGGCCGCTATCACAGAGATATGGAGGGAGTAGGGGGCTGAGTAGAGATGGCCACAGAGATGAAGCCAGGGTGTGTGCATATGGGGCCTCTGACCCCATCCAGTCAAATTAGGTTCCTCCAGTACCTTCCTGGGCCTTCAGGCATAGCCACCATCACCCTCTCTGTACCCACGGCTGTGTGAGGCTGCCCATGGGGCCAGAGCAGGGCTGGGAGCCCAGTAAAGAAAGAGAGGGCCCACGGGGGCAGCTCAGCCCTGGGACTGAGGCCCTGGCCCCGGGGAGCTCAGGAGCCCTGCTCTCCAGGACCACCATGACATGCTGCTGGAGGTGGAGCGGGACAAGGCCATCACCGACAGAGTCATCCTCCTCCAGAAGGTCATCCGGGGATTCAAAGACAGGTACGTGCCCAGACCATCTCTTCCCCATGCCAGCTTACTCGGAATTGGTCAGAAGATGTGGCACCTCATGTAGCCCCAGCCTCACAGAGTCTCAGATGCCTCACCTATACACTGGAAAAGTTAGTCAGTAATAAGTGACCTTCACAGTGTTCAAAGCTTTTAATCTGTCGTATTCACCACTTGTTACTAATACATTTATTCATTCAATAAACATCTTCTGAATGGCTCCCTTCATGGTCCAGGGGACAGGCCTATGAGGCAGGGCAGGTATATTCTACCACTTTACGATGAGAAAACTAAGGCAGAGAGGTGACGTGACTTGGCCACAGGTCATATAGATAGCCCAAGAGGCAGAGCTGGAACCAGCCTGGCCTCCTGTTCCAAGCCCCACCTGTGCTTTGGCTGCCTCTGGATGCTGTTTCTCTGAGGACCTCCTGCAACATGCTGCTGTTTCAGGTCCAACTTCCTGAAGCTGAAGAACGCCGCCACACTGATCCAGAGGCACTGGAGGGGCCACAACTGCAGGAGGAACTATGGGCTGGTGAGCCTTCTGAGGGAGCTGCTCTGGCCCCATGAAACCTTTGAACCCAGGCCTGTTACCATAGCAGCAGAACTTGCCTGTGCCCTGGTCTGGTTGGCCTCCCACCAGCTCCTACCATTCTTCCAGCCCAAAGTCCAAGTCTGGTTCTGTGTTTTTCCCATCTGGTCAGCAGTGTGTGTGGCTTTTCTTCTGGAATGTCTTGGTGGGTTGTGAGCACCTGGGCTATTTGAGACCTTGCAGAGGGTTGGGAATGGATGGGCCAATCTGTGGAGTAACTGGGCTACAGGGCTGATTCGTGTCTGGGGAGGAGCTTAGGAAGACATGGGCTCCTACTCTGGGGATGGGGCGTCCTTGAGGGAACACAACTCAGGGGGAGTCAAGTGCACACCCTGGGGAAGTTTCATCAGAAAGGAGACAGGGAGAGACAGAGTAGGGCCCTGGGGCAGGCGGGTGTGAGCATGGAGCCAGTGAGTGATGCTTCCCAAGGTGGGGCCAAGCTGGAACTGGGGCAGCGGCTGAGCAGGTGGCGGTGTTTGCAGATGCGGCTGGGCTTCCTGAGGCTACAGGCCCTGCAACGTTCCCGCAAGTTGCACCAGCAGTACCACCTAGCCCGCAGGCACATCATCCAGTTCCAGGCCCGCTGCCGTGCCTACTTGGTACGCAAAGCCTTCCGCCACCGCCTCTGGGCCGTGCTCACCGTGCAGGCCTATGCCCGGGGCATGATTGCCCGCAGGCTACACCAGCGCCTCAGGGCTGAGGTAAGGGATCCTGAGTCCACTGCACCCACAGCCCCAAGCCCCATAGGGGGGTGAGTCCTCTGAGGGGGCTGCTCCACCTCAGGCAGAAAATCACCCCCACTTGTTGGCTGAGGCCTATGTGGGTACCTATGCCCTCTCTGAGGACTACACAAAACTGAGGCCACAGCCCTCATTTCCATCCTCTCAGCCAATGTCAGGGCCCCAGTCACTTATGATTCTGTGGGATGCTGAGGCAAACCTGGTTTGACTTTCGGATCAATGGTACCCTGTTCTGCTCTGTGGCAGGAAGAATCTCTGAGATGCCTGCTTCCCTGTGTGCCAAATTATTGGCAGAATCACCCCCAGTCCCAGAATTCAGTCAGGGTTCGGTGGGCCAAGCTGGTAGCAAGTGCCAGGGCCGCTCCATGTGGTTCAGTGCCCACCCACACCACCCCCAGTACCTGCGGCGCCTGGAGGCCGAGAAAATGCGCCTGGCAGAGGAGGAGAAACTGCGGAAGGAGATGAGTGCCAAGAAGGCCAAGGAGGAGGCGGAACGCAAGCATCAGGTGAGCTGACAAGGCCAGGCACCTCGGTGTTGTTCACGGGTTCGGTCACTGGCTGCTCATCCCCAGTGCCCCAGGGGCCTGAGCCTGCTGCAGGCTCAGGAGAGAGGGTCCATGCCCTTGGGAAAACTTTCGAGCTGGGAGATGGTGCCCAAATTAAAAGCCTCAGCTGGCCAAGCGCACCCAGTGTGGGAGCCCCCAACCTTGAGGCCGCTGAGCGCTTGAAATGACAAAGCGCCATCAGTGTAAGGCACACACTGATCTGCAGATTTGGTACAGGAAAGAGAAATATAAAATATCTCAGTACTATTCTTAATAATTTTGTGTTGAGATGTTATTTCAGAAACATTGGGTTCAACAAAATACTGATTTTTTTTTAAGATTTATTTTTTATTGGGCCTCCCTGGTGGTGAAGGGGTTAAGTCTCACACTATCAGGCTATCACCAACCACTGCAGCCCAGCCAGGGAGCTACCCACATGGCGAGGCAGACCTCTCCTGTCCCTCCCGCTGCTCTCCTCAGCAGTGTGTTTCAGTAGATCTGCCTCTTCTGCTCCCCACTCTGTCTCTGGTGAACCCTCTCACCCCTACCCCCCGCACCTCTGGTCTGCACTCCATTTCTTATATGCATAAGTAAGTAAAAGTGGCTGGCGGTAGCTTGATAGCATGAGCGATAGCTTGAAAGCCACCAAGGAGACCCCAAAATATTGAGATATTAAAACACACCCATTTCTTTTCACCATTTTAAACAGTCACTCTACACATGGCTCAGTGTGTATTTCTATATCGCAGTGCTGGAATAGAGCCTCAGAACTGCAGCTGTGGAATTTCTGGGCTGGTGTGCTCTCCTCCAGCTAGGGAGGCATGAGTGGGCTTCCTGGAGGAGGTAGTTCCCGGCTGTGCCTCGAAGGAGGTAGCTCCCGCCTGTGGCACTACTATCTCAGCTGTCTCGAGGCTTCCCTGTGGTTCAGAGCTGGGCGTCTGTCTGCATTGGACTGTGAAGAATGAGCTGGGCAGGACCCAAGATAGAGAAGCTGGGGGCTCAGGACTTCCCAGCCAGCAGGAGGCCTTGGGGGTGGCTGGGACTAAGACCTGGCTGCTGCAGAGGCTCTTGACTTGCTCCCTGAGGCTGTGGCATTGGGGGCAGACACCATCTCCTCCTCTGTGTCACCCCAACCTCCCAGGAGCGCCTGGCCCAACTGGCTCGTGAGGATGCAGAGAGGGAGCTGAAGGAAAAGGAGGAGGCTCGGCGGAAGAAGGAGCTGCTGGAGCAGATGGAGAAGGCCCGCCATGAGCCCATCAATCACTCGGATATGGTGGACAAGATGTTCGGCTTCCTGGGAACTTCCGGTGGCCTGCCGGGCCAGGAGGGCCAGGCGCCTAGAGGTTTTGAGGTACCAGGCTGGGGACAGGGTCTCCAGAGGTCCCTGGTGAGATGACCCTCAGTGCTCTTGTGCTTCTCTGCGTTACAGTCCACCTAGTACCCTCTGAGCAGAAGCGATGACCTGGGTCAGGGGCCATAGGTCCCAGGCCCTGCCCAGTCACCAGCCTGCCAAGTGACCTTGCTGTCCATCTCCAGGGCTACCCATGAACTTTTATTCATTTATGGAGGAGACCTACTGTGGTCAGGTCCTGCCTGGTGATGAACAGGATGAACACAGCCCTACCCTGCGGGGGTAGATCAGGCCTGCAGGGACAGGTTGGGGGGACAAAGCCTAGTCCTGAGTCTGTCCCATGGAAGGGAATCCCCTGTCTCCTCAGGACCTGGAGTGTGGGCGGAGGGAGATGGTGGAGGAGGACCTGGACGCGGCCTTGCCTCTGCCCGACGAGGATGAGGAGGACCTCTCCGAGTATAAATTTGCCAAGTTTGGTGCCACCTACTTCCAGGGCACAACCACGCACACCTACACCCGGAGGCCCCTCAAGCAGCCTCTGCTGTACCACGACGATGAGGGGGACCAGCTGGTAAGGGCAGGGCCCATGCGTGCCGAGGAGGCAGCCGGGGTGGGGCAGCACCAGGGCTGACTTCATTCTGCAGCAGTCACCCCTGCTGCAAATCCCGAGCAATGCCCCTCACATGCTCAGCTCAGTGGCTCTTCTGTGGGGTTCTCCAGCTCTCCCCAAGCCCCCAGGTTATTTGACGACTTTGTAATACCCTGTGCTCACTCTCGTGCTTGGGGTCAGACTGCTCTGTCTGCCCCCAGGCGGCCCTGGCGGTCTGGATCACCATCCTCCGGTTCATGGGGGACCTCCCTGAGCCCAAGTACCACACAGCCATGAGTGATGGCAGCGAGAAGATCCCCGTGATGACCAAAATTTATGAGACCCTGGGCAAGAAGATGTACAAGAGGGAGCTGCAGGCCTTGCAGGGCGAGGGCGAGGTGAGGCCAGGGTTCCCTCTGGTGGATGCCCTCCCCAGGCCAGTGGGCAGGGCTACCCAGCTCCCCCCAACTAAGGGTCCTCAGCCAAAGGGGAATCCTAAAATTTGTCTCTGCCTCTCCACCCTGCCTCCCCGCCCTCCTCTGTCTACTGGCGGGAAAGTAAACTTGCCGAAGGCCACCGGGTAGGCCTTGCGGCACCAGGCTGGCCTTGCCGTCAGCCAGCTCCACACGCTGACTCCACGGGAGGCCTGGCAGGCTGCGCTACTGTGCTTTTCTGGGTCTCCGGCTTCCCATCTCTCACTGCTGGTGGGAAAGCTGGGGGAGCACAGGTGGGGGTGGCAGTGTGGTACACCTGGTAAATATTGGTGTGGTGGGGAGACAACCCTCTAGACACAGTCCTGTGGCCAGCTTGTCTCGCCATTACGTTCAGCCCCGTGGCTTGACCCTCACCCCATTGGTCCCGCAGACCCAGCTCCCCGAGGGGCAGAAGAAGAGCAGCGTGAGGCACAAGCTGGTGCACCTGACCCTGAAGAAGAAGTCCAAACTGACAGAGGAGGTTAGATCCCCAGGCTGGGGCAAGGCTGAACTCAAGATCATGGGGGGTGCCTGTCCCCAGGGCCCCAGCTAGCCAGCGACTGGCCGGCAAGGGGAGTGATAGAACAGAGAGGAATGTGAGGAACAGGCTGATGAGCTCAGGCTTGGGCCAGATCAGAAAGGGCTTCCCAGAGGAGGCGTCCCAAGAGCTGGGAGGGCTGGATTGCAGGTGGGGAGGGAGAACATTTCTAGCCAGGTGATTGGCGAGTTGCATTTGATCCAAGGACACTTCAGATGCTGAGAATTGTTTGGTTTGTGAGAATGCCCTCGGGGCATTAATACTATGAATTTGTTTGAATTTGCTCATTTAGTTACCTCTGTGTTCTGAGCACCGTCCTGCCCTGTGCTCCAGGATTGCCCAGGCTGGGAAGGCAGACAGACTACCAGGTCATTTACAAATCAGGATGACTGGCTCCCCTGCGACCTTACATTTGCACACAGCAATCCCTCTGCCTGATATTCCTCCTTTCTCTTCTCTGTGTGGGTGTCACCGCCTCCTGGATGCTTCCTCAACCCCTCTACAGCAGTAGACTCCTCCCCTGGGCTTCCACTAGCCTGCTTTGTCTCTACTCTTGTGCTGTTCCCCAGCTGAGGCTCAGACCCCAGCTTAATGTCACATGGTCCCAGGTTTGAATTCTAGCTCTGTCTGCCATTTGGAATCTGAGGACCCCAGGGAAGAAATACCCACTCATGTCTTCCTGGGAAGATGGTATGTCCCCAGTGGGTGCTCAGGAGACTTGAGGACCTTCTGTGTCCATCCTGTCTACAGGGGTGATTTCCTGTTGCTCACCCCCTCACTCTGCATCTCTGGGTAGAACTCAGGCTGGTGTCTGGCCATGTGGGTCCAGAGAGAAGCACATCTGTGAGAATCCAGGTCTGAGTCTGCTCCCCAGGGCCCAGTGGTGCTGCCTCTGACTGGTGAAGGTGACTGAGTCATTGGAACCGGAGTATACTCCGGGTGTCAGTTCTGTGTGTGGGCCCACCCCAGAGAGACAGGGGGCCACTAGGAGTCAGAGGAGCTGGCCCCTGGTGTGGGGATGGGAGTGTTAAGGAGGGTTATATGTGGAAGTGGGTGGTACCAGGCCAGTGGTCCGAGCTCTCTGGGCCAGTTGTTGCTCCAATGTTTGCTATTCTCAGGGCAGGGGTATGACTGGAGTGGAAGCCCCACTCTTCTGCATCTCCCAGGATTCTGCTCTGGGAGGAGTGGTGGACTCCACCACCAGGCAGGCCCCTCCCTTCATCCTTCCCTTGTAAAGCCTGGGTTCCTCTATCTCACCCAGGTAACCAAGAGGCTGCACGACGGGGAGTCCACAGTGCAGGGCAACAGCATGCTGGAGGACAGGCCCACCTCCAACCTGGAGAAGCTGCACTTCATCATTGGCAATGGCATCCTGCGGCCAGCTCTGCGGTCAGCGCCTGGGACGTGGGGCCAGTACCCAGGGGTGGGGCCAGAGCCAGAGGGGCGGGATCAGTACCTGGGGGCGGGGCCAGCACCAGATGGGTGGCTTCAGGGAGGCTGTTTCCCAGAGCGGTCCTGGAAGGTTTTGGTGGCTGAGTTGTGACTTTGTCACCTTCACATTAGACTAAGCCATACAGGCCTGCATTAAGCTCTGCTGCTAGCTAGCGGTGTGACCTTGGTAGAGTTATTTATCTCTGTAAGCCTCAGTTTCATTGTCTGTAAAGGGGGAATAATAGACTACAGGCAGATAAAACTGGAAGGTGTGTGACAGGACCTAAGTATTACCCTGTTACGTGCGTTTCCTGGTTTACCCCCATCCCTGCCAGCTGTAGTGTAGCTCAGTGTAGCTGAGCCAGGCCTGTGGGGACAGTTACAGAGCTCAGCATGCCTTGAAATCCTGCAGGGGCCTCCCTCCCCCACCTACACCCGGGAGAAGCCCACCTCAGTTTCCTGGGGTGTCATGAAGGAGACAGGACGATTCAGGAATTACCAGAAGCAATTCAGGAATCAACCTAACTGGTTGGTGGAGGGCAGACAGGGCTTTTCAGAGAGCTCTGTCTGCACAAGACAGTCAGGAGAGCTGATCTCATGGACTTTGTGTTGGCTGGGAGGACAGCAGGATGGGGATGGGCATGAGCCCCATTTTTCCAAAGGGAAAGCTGAGGTCCCATAGAGAGGGCAAAGAGACCTGCCCAGGGGTCACTTGCCTCCCGGGCACCCTGCCTTCCACTGAGGCCTCCTTTAGTTGTTCCTTGAGGCCATACACTGTCCCAGTAGAGATGGTTACAGCACCCAGGCCCCTGCCACCAGGAAGAAGGACTCAAGGTGTGTTTAAAGAGCAACAATTTGCCTCCCAATTATCTCACTATCAGACTCACTTCTAAAGAACAGTGTCAGGAGCCTTCAAGAGTCAGAAGGCTGAGGGGCCGGCTCCCCGGGGAACCACCAGGATCCCTTTCCTCTCTCGGCCTCTATTTTCTGTCCATAAAGTAAATCAGTCAGGGGCTCCCAGCTGCAGACAGAGCTCTCTGAGAAAGTTGTCACTGGTCTGTGATAAGCTGGGAAGAATAAGGATGTGCTGAGGCTAAATATGATTTTATTTAAAGGATCGCTCTTTATTCCAAGATTTCAGCTTTCCAACTTTTTGGACATTAAAATTACCTTTGTTTTATGAAATGATTGTAGTATAGATTGTGGACAGGTTATTATGTGTGGTGTGTATTTTATTTTTTTAAAAGATTTTATTTATTCATACAAGCACTGGGTACAGTCAGAGCACAGGAGGGTGAGAGGATTCACCAGAGCCAGAGCGGGGAACAGAACAGGCAGGAAGACCAAAGTACACTGCTGAGGGGAGCAGCGGGTGGCAGGAGAGGTCTGCGCGCCATGTAGGACCCTCACCGGTGGCCGGGGATTGAACCGGCGCTGCAGAGGCTACATGTAGCTTTGCAGCCCAGCGTTCAACCACTGCACCACCAGGGGAGGCCCTGTGGCGTGTATTTTAAATGTCTTTACTTATGATTGTAGGGGCAGGAAGACCACAGTGCAGGTTTTCTGACCAGCAGACCAGGTAAAGGAGGAGTCAGGGTCCTCAGTGGCTTTTGCAGGTCTTTTATTTAGATTTACCAGGCATATGGCAGCAGGGGTGCTGGGGGGCCGGGAGGCTGGCAGTCCTCCCAGCCCCCAGAAAATCCTCACTCTATCTGGGCTCTCTGGCCTTCTCTTTACTTCTCTTCTCTCGGCTTCCGTTCATTCTTGGCTTTTGCTGGTGTCCCCGCGACGCCGCCCTGATAAACTCAGTCTCTCAGCCCGGGTGCACCCACTTCAGGTGCCGCCATCAGGCATGCATTCAGGACCACAGGGTTCCCTCATCTATCCTAATGGCAGGAGGGCAGAAAAGCCTGATACTTTTACCTTACCCTACAATGATAAAAAAAGTTAGCCACCTTCATATTTTATTTAGAAGTTGCACTGGCTTGTGAACTCTCAAAATTGGGGAGCCGCTGAATTAGTTCTTTCCTCCTTCCTGCCAGCGCTGCCCTTTGTGGGAAGAGCAGGGGTGAGTGCCCCCTAGTGGTCACTTCACCATGGTGCGTCCCCCCCTTAAGCAGTGTCAACAGGGCAGCTAGCATTCATTTAGACAGGGTTTGCTGTGCTAAATGCTTTATAAGCTTTGGCTCATTATTCTTCACAGCAGCCCTATAAGGAAGGGACTATCATTTTCCTTTAAAATGAATACATCAAACCTATCTTCATTGCCTTCAACTGATTTCAACAGTAATACAGGCCACTTGGTACAGAAATATGTGAAGAGAAAGCCAAAGTCCCTACTCATGCCATCCCCCGGAGAACTCTCCAGATGTTTTGCTGTTTCTATTCTGCCAGTTGTCATGACTATGCACTGGGCTCAGAGAGGTGAACTCAGCTGCCGGCACCACCCACCTGGTGGTGGGAGACCAGGCAGAGCCTGGGGGGGGCTCATCAGTGCGGTCACCAGTGGCCGCTGTGCCCGCACCACACTCTGGTGTTAATTCTTCAGTAGCAGAGGGGTTGCCCTGAGGACAAGTAACTGTGAGGAGCCTCGGGCAAGTCCACGAAGGGAAGGTCCGCTTTCATTAGGCTTTAAGAGGGAATCAGAAAGGGCAGTTTTGCATTAAGTTCACTGAGTGTTTGAGGCTGTGGTGGTTTCTCACTGGCTGCAAGTGGTGGGCAGTGCTGGATGCTGGATGAGTGGCTTCCTGCCAGGTGTTGGAGCGTAAGGAGCGGCGGGTGCCTGACAGCCCTTCTCTTAAAGCTTCCTGACTCCATTTTGGGTCAAGTTTCCCTCATTCACTCTCCCTCCTCTGTGGCGTTCTCCCTCCTCCTTTCCCTGCCTCCCCAGGGATGAGATCTACTGCCAGATCAGCAAGCAGCTCACTCACAACCCTTCCAAGAGCAGCTATGCCCGGGGCTGGATCCTCGTGTCTCTCTGCGTGGGCTGCTTCGCCCCCTCAGAGAAGTTTGTTAAGGTAAGGGAGGCATCTGACCACCTAGAGTGGGGGGGAGCTGGGCCTCTCCCCCAGCACTGAGGGGTGAGCAAGGGGAAACAGCTCGCAGTGGCTTGGCAATGAGGCCCCGCCTGGCCGTCTCCTGTCAGGCCTGAGGTCCCCCTGGGCCCGTCTTCCTGACCCCTCGTCTCAGCACTTCACTCTTTCTCCCTTCAGCCCCATTTTATTTCTGAGGCAGCTGAGTCTGATGGCGCAACCCAGTCCCTCTCCTCTGCATGCTTCCCATGGAGCAGTCACTAGTTCAGCTCAGGCCCCTTTCTTGACGGCTCCTCAGGGCCCGGCCCTGGGCACTGGGGATGCAGAGGCAGCGCAGGTGACAGAGGACAACACTGGCTGGTGGGTGCTATGGAGAGAAGGCTTCTCCAGTTGGGTGGAGTCAGAGAGGTGGGCCTGGATGAAAGCAGACAAGCGCTAAGCTAGGCAGAGCGGGGTTGCCGCTGAGACTAGGCAGGGCTAGACTGTGGGGCCTTTCTGCCAAGCTGAGGCCTGTGGACATGGTCCTGAGGGCAGCGGGGGGCCATGGAAAGCAGAGGAGCGGTGTGGGCGCACCTGAGGGGCAGGTCTGTGGCGGGAGACCTGGTGAGGCGGGTCTAATGGTCCAGGGGAGGGAGGCTGAGAGAAGTCAGAATGGGGGTTCCCTCACCTCGTCTCTGTCTGCAGTACCTGAGGAACTTCATCCACGGGGGACCTCCTGGTTACGCCCCATACTGTGAGGAGCGGCTCAGAAGGACCTTCGTCAATGGAACGCGGACGCAGCCACCTAGTTGGCTGGAGCTGCAGGTGCAGCCCTGGATCCACCAGGCGTGTGTGTGTGTGTGTGTGTGTGTGTGTGTGTGTGTGTGTGTGTGTCTGTCTCTCCAGTACCCCAGAAACATTTTTTGCTTTGGGCTCTTTAAGTGCCCACCCCCAGGTTCTGGAATCCCAGACCTACTGAAACAGTAAAGTCTCCACTAGACGATCGACTCCCATATTCTGGCTTTTTGGTAGCAGTGCCCCGGGCAGGGACTTCCCTCTGTCTCCATGGCTTCATCTGCAGCACGGCGACAGTGACACTCATCTCACAAGTTCTTGTGACGGTTACATGATGTGAGGTCAGAAGCAATGCCTGACCTCTCAGCCCCAACTCTCAGCTCAGGGGTCCTGGAGGGTCAGTGGGGGGACGGAGCACAGCAGGCCTCCCTGGGCGCCTGCGACAAGGCACAGGCAATGTCCCAATGGGATGCTGGGGCCAAGAGGGGGCAGCTCCGATCGCAAAGGGAGCAGGGAGCCAGGAGCCCGGGGGACTAAGCGGGTGGGTCAGAAGTGGAAGGATTCCCACAGACCCTCTTTCGTCACTTCTAGGCCACCAAGTCCAAGAAACCCATCATGTTGCCAGTGACATTCATGGACGGGACCACCAAGACGCTGCTGACAGACTCAGCAACCACAGCCAAGGAGCTGTGCAACGCGTTGGCTGACAAAATCTCACTCAAGGACCGCTTCGGGTTCTCCCTCTACATTGCCCTGTTTGATAAGGTATTTGGGCCTTGAGGCTTCCCTCCTGTCCCCCACAGCTCCAACTCAGTGCTGCCCACTGCCGGCTCAGGTGCCTTGTGCAGTTACTTGCTTCCGAGGCCTGTCAGTAGGCCAGTGACCCTGGCTCGCCTGACTGTAGGATTGCGGGGAGCAATTAACCACCTGCATCCGGTACAATGTAGATTGAACCCCAGATCTCACTTCAGCCTTGTGTGCCCCGCCTGAAGCAGTCCTCCCCTAGTGCGCAGAGACAAGGAGGGGTGTGCTGCCCTTGACTCTGACATTCACTTTCCAATTTGCAAATGGGAATGTAACTCCTGATCAGCTCGCTAGGGTCGTTTCTTCTCCAGTTTAGTGACCACCTGGTGTGCGCATCTCCTGGGCTCATGGCTGAGTCTGGAACCTTCTCTGCTGAGCTGTGGAGGGGTGGGTGGGGTGGGTGGGCAGGGGAGGATTTTGCCTCCACACCCAGCAACATCACCAACTCCAGGGATAGAACCCTGTCGCCAGAGACACTCTGCCTGGATTTTTCCCATCTACAGAAACCTCCTCTGTTCTCAGGGACCCTTTGTCCATCAGGCTTCATGACTCTTACACGAGAAATAGGAACTCCCACATGGCTGCGCCAGTTCAGGGCCCACGGCCGGGACTCAAGCTGGCCTGCCTCTCTCAGAGCCTCAGTTTTCTATTCCAGCAAGAGCACTGTGCGGTCAGTGGCGCTTTTCCGTCCTCCCCTGCCTGCTGTCCCCCGGTGACCTCCACCCTGTGGCCACAGGTGTCCTCTCTGGGCAGTGGCAGTGACCACGTCATGGACGCCATCTCCCAGTGTGAGCAGTACGCCAAGGAGCAGGGCGCCCAGGAGCGCAACGCCCCCTGGAGGCTGTTCTTCCGAAAAGAAGTCTTCACACCCTGGCACAACCCCTCGGAAGACAACGTGGCCACCAACCTCATCTACCAGCAGGTGGTGCGAGGGGTCAAGTTCGGGGAGTACAGGTGTGAGAAGGTGAGAGGAGCTTCTGGCTGAGCTTGCCTGGCTCACAGCGGCCTGCTTCTGAGGTGGGGCTGAGTGTTACTGTCGACGACCCGCCGTCAGCCTGACGGAGGCTGGGCATAGGCAGGCTTCTTCCGGATCTAACGCTCCTTTCAGGCAAGGATCTTGAAGAGCAGTCTGGCCTCTGCCGGTGGAGTCATCCCAGCCACGCAGTCCCTGTGCAGTGTTCAGTGGGTGTGTCAGAACTCACAGCATTGCTCTGAGTTCACCTAAAAAACTTCTCTAACGGAGGAAGAGAGCCCCTTATTTAGACCAAGCTAGCAAATGCCTATCCTTTTCTCTCCTTCTGAGGACAGGAATGACATGGTGGTTTTGTATTTGATGATGGCGTCCATGGTTCTCACGACCCTTACGATTGTGATGGTAATTATGGTGGTGGGATAAGGATGGAGATGATGGAAGCCAAGGGGATGGTTGGCCATGGCAGCGGTGACGGAGGTAGTGATGGCCTAGGTGCTCCTGATGGTGGTAGTGACAGTGGTGGTGGTGATTGTGGCTTTAGTGAAGGAGGTGGTGATATTGGCAGTGGTGATGCTGAGTGGTGTTGGTGTTCGAGTAGAATGCATAGTATAGTCATATCTGTTGCTAAAATGGAAACACTTTGAACTTACTGGAAAATGTCTGCTCCCTTCAAAGTGCCCAAGAGCCTTTCTCTATTGATCCTGCTGCCAGGAGAGCCTCAGGGGCTACCGCTCATCCACCCCAGGCAGAGCCCACCCGGGCCTCTGAAGCCTCTTCAGTATAGCCTTTTGGTTGTTCATCGCTTTCACTGTCCCTCGGCTGTGTGGTGATGTGGCGGGGATGCACTGTCCTCCCTGACAGTCACCTGGCAAGCCCTCCCCTTCTGTTGTCACCCCTCGTCCATCTCCCTAGGCTGGGAACAGAGTGGCTGACCCATTTACCCATAGACTAGCTGATCTCCTGGGTCAGCACATGTGTTCCTGGGCAGGACCCAGCTCTGTTCTAGTGCCGAGGGGATCTGGGGGAAGGCAAGGGTGTGGACCTGAGTTTAGGGAGCACAGGGTTCCACCAAGTACACAGGAGTTCCTGGTGAGTCCATGAGAACACAACTTCCCAAAGGCCAGGGTACAGGAAGCAGGGGCCTGGGGCCTTCAGCATTCCAGAAGGCCTTCCTATACAGTGTGACTGAGACATCCTTCCCCACCCAGGAGGATGACCTGGCTGAGCTGGCCTCCCAGCAGTACTTTGTGGATTACGGCTCTGAGATGATCCTGGAGCGCCTCTTGAGCCTCGTGCCCACCTACATCCCCGACCGCGAGATCACGCCCCTGAAGACATTGGAGAAGTGGGCCCAGCTGGCCATTGCTGCCCACAAGAAGGTAGGAGGGTTGAGAGACGATTGGAGGAGGGCTCTCCGGTGACCCAGCTGAGGGGCCCGGACCCAGGCAATCAGAGGGGTCACACCTCTCACCTGACCTGTCGGGCCAAGGGAACATGACGTATCCTAGACCCGTCTCCCACAGCCTTTCTCCATCGTGGACCTCTAGGCGTTCACTTGCCTTCTGCCATCTATACTGGGCTGATGCCAGGCACACAGGCAGATTGAGTCCAGCCCTGCAGTCTCAGGAGGAAACCAAGGGCCCAGGGTGTTGGGGTTAGGTGGTAGAGTTATGGCTCAGGGGCATTGGAGGAGCTTCTAGCAAGGATAACCTCATTTTCCCCTAAAAGAACCCTGGCCCAACTTCCTTCCTGGGCCATAAACCAACCATGAGTAGCTCCCTTTCAAGCTAAGGGGTCTGCCCCTGGGAGAAGGAAGACACCGGCTATGGGAGGAGACCCCCAGGCCTCTCACCTGCAGGCCTTGGTGTGTAAGAGCACAATCAGCTTTGTCCTGAGTTGCCAAGGGCTCCAGAGTGGCAGTCTCTTATCTCAAATGCTTTGTGGCCTCTTCCTAATCAGGGAACCCCACAAGCCCTTCCCACTCAGCTTTTCCCCTCCCGGGTGAGCTGCCCTTGAGCCTCCACGCCCCATCCCCATCCCTTCCACTGCGACGCTCAGCCCCTCCAGAAAGAGCGATGACCTTCCTAACGCCCACATTCACCTGCCAGTTTCCACGGGAAGCTCAGCTGGGTGGTGACCTCGCCCACAACTCCACTTGGCCGGACTCCCCTACCCTCCCCGTGCCCTCGCCCCAGTCTGATTTGGCCTGCACACCCTGCTCAGCCAACTGCTCCTTTCCCCAGATGCCTCCTGCCGATCCCTGCCTTTGAGCTGGGATCGTCTGCTTTTCTGTCACTCTGCTTGATTAGGGGCTCTGTGGGAGGGGGCCCTGCTTTCTCTAGTGAGTGCTCACTGATGTCCCTGCTAAGAGGGCCGTGAGCGATGGGGTGGCTGTGACCGACGGGGTGGGGTGAGGCCATGGAGTTCTGGGGCCACTCTCGGCCTGGGTGCAGGGACACTGGATTTTCAGGCAGAGCATGTAGAGTGTCTTTTGTCCCTGTCCCTCCGTGTCCCCCTCCAGGGGATCTACGCCCAAAGGAGAGCTGATGCCCAGAAGGTCAAAGAGGATGTGGTCAATTACGCCCGCTTCAAGTGGCCCTTGCTCTTCTCTAGGTTTTATGAAGCCTTCAAATTCTCAGGTACCCTCAGCCTCCCCGCCTCTGTGCCCTTCTCCCTGACCAACACCTCAGGGGAGTGGGGGGTCAGAGGAGGCCCGAGCCAGACTCTTGTTGGCCAGGCTTCTGCCTGTGGGCTGACTTTGTCTTTCCAGGTCAGTGTATTGAGTGGGTCTGGCCCCTTGTAGTCCAGTAGGGCTCTGTGGCACACAGTAGGTGCTCAGTAAAAGGGTTTGAACAATTGCCTGTTGAGGTCACCTACTGTGTATAGAAGAGGGTCACCCAGAGTTGTCACTGCTGGGCCTGCTCTGTGAGGCTGAGAGTGGATGTGGCCATCGCAACCGCACATTGGCCATCTGCTCAGCCACCGCAGGCCATCATTACTGGGCATCTGCTCTGTGCCAGGCCTTGTGCTGGTACCGGGTTTCCTAGGAGCACCAAAAAGCAGGCCAGAGGGAAGCTAGTCCTAGTCCAACCCCTCCCTGCACCCCACCCCACTGCAACGTAGGGGCTTGTCTCACAAAACCAGTGCAGGGATAGGACTCAAAGCTGCTCCCTAATTCAGCACTCTTCCCACTGCACCTTGGATTTGAGCTTATAAGGAGGTTGTATCCTCTGAGCCTCAGTTTCCCCATTTGTAAAATGGGCTGGAGGTTGCGAGATTTGGAGGGGATGGGTGTGGAAGCAGGGAAGCCGCCCTCCCAGTGCCTTGATCTCTGCCCCAGGCCCCAGCCTCCCCAAGAACGACGTCATTGTGGCCGTCAACTGGACAGGAGTCTACTTCGTGGATGAGCAGGAGCAGGTGCTTCTGGAGCTGTCCTTTCCCGAGATCATGGCCGTGTCCAGCAGCCGGTTAGTCCATGTCTCCCAACACCCCACTTTAGCGCAGGGCAGGGGCCTGCCCAAAGCTGCGTAAAGACCAGTTGCAGCGCTGGGGTGCAAACCCAGAGTCCTGATTCAGTACTCTCTGCAGTGTGGAGGGGAAGATGGAGGCGCAGACAGACAGGTGGGGAAGAAGGGGGTTCCCAGGGCTTTGTGGGGAGTGTTGACCTGGAGAGATGCACTCTGAGCACTTGTCTGCATGCACAAGACCCCTCAGGCAACTCCCTCCTGTGGAGGTGGGGGTGGGGGTAGGGGTGGAGTTGTGTTGAGATGGGTGTGGGTGGTTAGGACAGCCAGGGCCTGCCAAGTGTGTACAAAATGAGTCTGGCCTGGAGTTCAAAGCCTGAATGGGACTCACTTCTATATCCTCCTCCCAAAAATAAAATAGAGGTTCTTTTTTTTTTTTAAGATTTATTTATTTATGCATACAAGAACTGGGGTACAGGCCAGATTTGTGGGAGGGTGTGAGGATTCACCAGACACAGAGTGGGGAGCAGAACAGGCAGACGGACTGAAATACACTGCTGAGGGGAGCAGCGGGCCAGACAGGAGAGGTCGCTGTGCCACGTGGGTAGCTCCCTGGCCAGGGATCAAACTCATGCTGCAGTGGCTGTGGATAGCTTCACGGGTTGCATCTTAACCCCTTGCGCCACCAGGGAGGCCCCCAAAATAGAGGTTCTTATACTTTCCTTCCCTGAAAGTGATGAGTGCATTTATTAATGCAATCGTTCCCGGGGGAGCTCTGTGTAAGCTGAAAAGCGCAGTGCAGTGCCGTGGGAAGGGGTGGTGGAGCCGGGGTCCTGGAATTGAAGGGCTTCTCAGCAGTGCCTCCCTCCCCCTGGGGCGTGCAGGAGTGCTCTGGGCTGGGTCCCGTGTGGGCCAGGGCTGGACCATATCCAGCTCTGAAGAGGCACAGGGTACAGTGGGGACAAGATAGTCCTCACCCTCTTGCAGCTTCAGAGACGGGAGATGGACATCGAACAGACCATTTCAAAGGGACTAGTGTGATGAGGGCTGTGAGAGGTCAGGGAGGAGGTGGGATGTCACTAAAGATGGAGAAGGAAATAGCAAAAGGGATGAGCTGGGCCACTGCAGGCCTTCCTCGGACCATGTGTGACTTTGGCTGGGCCATGTCTGACTTAGGCTGAGACGTGTCTGGCCTCATGCTGGCTGGACTAGCCTCTTTCTGGCTGGGCCACGTCTGACTGAGGTGGCCTTGGTCTCCTTCAGGGAGTGCCGTGTCTTGCTCTCGCTGGGCTGCTCTGACGTGGGCTGGGCAGGACTGACCCCGGCTGGGCCCTGTTCTCCGTGTTGGTCCTGCAGGGGAGCGAAACTGGTAGCCCCCAGCTTCACCCTGGCCACCATCAAGGGCGACGAGTACACCTTCACCTCCAGCAACTCCGAGGACATCCGTGACCTGGTGGTCACTTTCCTGGAGGGGCTCCGGAAGAGGTCTAAGTATGTGGTGGCCCTGCAGGACAACCCCAACCCTGGTGAGTGGCTGCCGACATGCTGCTAGGCCCTGGGGGTCAGGAACATTAGGTAGATCACAGGCCTTGGCATTCCAGGCTCTAGTGCCTGTTACCTGTCCTTCCCCAGACGCCTTTGGCTCCAAGTAGACCAAAGAGCTTCAGTGCCCTGTGGAGAGTCTTCCTCTCCCTGCTGCCCTCCCCACCTCTCCAATTCTTCTCTCTGTCACTCTCTCCAGGTGAGATCAGGGGTTCTTCCTCAGTGTCCTCCAAATACTCACCATCTTCAAATGATGGCAGCCATAGCACCTACCCTGAGCATTCCCCTGGCCGCCTCTGGGCAGGGCATGGACGAAATAGATGCAACGGATCCCAGTTCTTCCCTCAGTGGGGAGAGGCAGTGGAAACACAGTGCAGTGATCTGGGAAGGGAGATCACCCAGAAGAGAGACCCATGCAGCCTGGGGTTCAGGGATATGTGAGCACAATGTTTGGGGCAGAGCGAGAACACGAGTAGAGGCAGAGGCTGGAGAAAGCAGTGTCTGGGAACTGTGGATGGTTTGGTTTGGCTGGAATGGACGAAGTGAGGTGAAGTCAGGAGAGTCAGCAAGGCCAGCTCCCAAGGCAAGTGGGCTTTCTTCTAAGGGCCATGGGTGTTGAGCCAGGGAGGGGCCACTCTAACAGCTTTGTCTGTTAGGAAAATTGTGGAGAGGTATGGCAAGGGATGGCAGGGTGCCCAGTGAGCAGACAGAAGTGGGACAGGGCCTCTGTCCTTCAGCAGGGAGGGTCAGCTTATCGGTCACTAACCCAAATAAAAGTACCAACCCAGCCCCTCTCTGCCCCGTGTGGCCCCGCGCACATCTGCCTCCCAGCGGGTGAGGAATCAGGCTTCCTCAGCTTTGCCAAAGGAGACCTCATCATCCTGGACCATGACACAGGCGAGCAGGTCATGACCTCCGGCTGGGCCAACGGCATCAACGAGAGGACCAAGCAGCGTGGGGACTTCCCCACCGACTGTGTGTACGTCATGCCCACGGTCACCATGCCACCAAGGGAGATTGTGGTACGTGGTCTGGGGTGGCCAATGGTGGGAAGGCTCCCCTGAACCCTTCATGTCTTCTTTCCATGTCTGTAGAGTGGAGTGAGGGACACTCACTGGCCTGCCACTTCTGAGATGATCTGGAAGGCTCGTGGACTGCAGGCTTAAGTCCTGTGCTAAGTGAAGAGAATGCTAGAAACCCTCAGAGGAGGAACGTCCCAGGGACACCATGGGAGGAGAGCGGCCTCATGGCGGGGCGTCAGCTGCAGGGAGAGCACAGGGCGGGCAGACCTGAGGAGGGAGGCCCTGGCTCTGCTCACACAGCCCAGAACTCAGCCAGTTTTTCAGGCAGCTCCTGAGTCAGACTGTTGAGTCAGGCATTTCTTCCACTGATTTGTCCCCCCACCCCGCCCCGGTCCCACCTTTGTAACTGACCCAAACTCATTCAGACACTGTCCGGAGGGAAGGGTCATGAGCCCAGCCCAGGAGGCAACATTGACTTCCAAGATGCCAAGGAGGAAAGGCCCCTGGGGTCCAAAGGGGCACAGGGTCCCCCTCCATTGAGGTGACCTCCAGCCTCAGTGCAGGGAACTCTGGGCTTTGCACTATTGGTCCCCAGGGACCCCAGGTGGACAGCTGACCTTAGCCCCGTCTCTGGACCCCTAGGCCCTGGTTACCATGACCCCAGACCAGAGGCAGGATGTTATCCGGCTCATGCAGCTGCGAACAGCGGAGCCTGAGGTGCGCGCCAAGCCCTACACGCTGGAGGAATTTTCCTACGACTACTTCAGGTGACGGAACGGGGATGCTCAGGATGGTGGCCGCAGGCTTCTGCCACTCTCTGGTGGATGTGTGGGGTCAGGTTGTGAGTGCCCCACCCACGAGCATGCTTGGGTCAGAGAGTGCCAGGGAGGGTAGTTTCTGTCCCCTGAGACGGCCACTCTCGGGGTGTGCCAGCTTACCCTTTAGGAGATGCTGACTGTGCTCGGCCTGGTGGGTCTGGGTACTCAGGTGGGCCTGTGCCTGGCTTAGTCACGAGGGGAGACAGGCAGATGTGATACTGTGTGCCCAGCTTTTGTGATGGAGATGCTGGGGGCTGGGGGACAGACTTTGGGGAGGAGGTGGCTTCAAGCGGCATGGTGCAGGGGTGACCGGGGTGGACGGGCGCTACGGGCAGCACTTTCAAGACAGGAGCAGAGGGGGGGGCCCTGCTCTGGGCGGGTGGGCAGGGCTGGCTATGTGAGTATCTCTGTGAGGCCCAGGGAGGCTGGTGACCCCTGCCAGGTCACATGGCACCGCAGGAAAAGCAAGGCCTGTTCCCGCCTCTCGGCCTCTGATGCTGGGGGCGCTGTGGATGGGGTCTCCTGGGGATCGGTGCTCACTGTTTCTGTTCCCTGCCAGGCCCCCACCCAAGCACACACTGAGCCGGGTGATGGTGTCCAAAGCCCGAGGCAAGGACCGGCTGTGGAGCCACACAAGGGAGCCTCTCAAGCAGGCGCTGCTGAAGAAGATTCTGGGCAGTGAGGAGCTGTCACAGGAGGCCTGCATGGCCTTTATCGATATCCACACCCACGGGGTGGGGGACAGGAAGGGTCAGGGCAAGGGCCCTAGGAGGGGGATTTAGGTGGACTGAGTCCCTCTAAGGGGACCGGTTGGGATCCGGGAGGGTAGGGAATGCTGAGCCGTGTTCAGCAGATAAAGGATGAAGTCGGTCCATCCATGTGCCTGGCTGCCTCGTCTGTTGTCTCCTCTGACCCTGTCATTGGGTTGACAGATGTGTATTGTACTACATGCTGAGTCAGGCGTGATGACACAGCCATGATCAGACCCAGTTCCTCCCCTCATGGTGCTCACAGTTGAGAGAAGACATGCTGACTGGGGCTAGTGCTGAGATGGGATGGACAGCACAGTGACCTGATTTGGCCTTGGAGAGAGCAGGGAGGGCTTCCTGGAAGAAGTAGGAGCTTACCAACCAGATCTTTGAGGGTGCTCTGAAAACTGAGCCCTTCCAGGATAAAGTGTCCAGGCAGATCCTGAAGCAACTGACACAACCACTTCATATCTGAAGTCTGAGTAGGCCTCTGTTAGTCAAAGGGGAGATGTGTGGGGAGTGTTCTGGGGGGCGCAGCACATGCAAAGGCCCTGAGGTAACAGAACAGGGCTATTTCAGGGGTGAAAGGCAGAATTTAACAAGGGAATCTGAAGACATGGCTGACTGTTTCAAGCCTGCTAGGAAGCTTGGACTGGGTCTCACAGACCCCAGGAGCTACTAGACACAGGGTGGCCTGGTCAGATTTTTTTATTTTGAAGGTCCATCCTGGTAGTTATGAGGTCTTTGGGTATGGAGTTAGAAGCCTGAGGCAAGGACCAGCTGTGGAGCCACACAGGGGAGCCTCTCAAGCAGGCGCTGCTGAGACGGCCGATGAGGAGGCAGCCAGAGGAGGTGGGAAGAAAGGGTGGGTAGTGGGCATGGAGATCATGGTGGGACGACCTGGAGCAGCCTGAGGCCCAGGGCCACACAGTTGGGGGGAGCAGACCTTGTTGAGGAGAGCAGCTTTCAGCCTGCTGGCTTCCCTCATTGGCACAAGTCCTTCCTTGACAGCTCCCCACCCATGCTCAAGTACATGGGTGACTACCCATCCAAGAGGATGCGCTCCGTCAATGAACTCACTGATCAGATATTTGAGGGGGCCCTGAAGGCTGAACCCCTCAAGGATGAGGTGTACGTGCAGATCCTAAAGCAGCTGACTGACAACCACATCCGGTGAGGGAGTTGGGTGCGGGTGGGGTGGGGGCAGGGTGGGGGGTTGCGGATAAGGGACTGACTGCTCCCCTGGTGCTCAGGGCTAAAAAGAATCTCCTTTGTCAGGTGTGTGTGCCGACTGGGAGCCGCCTCCCTCCCCAGGCAGCCGCTGGCTCTGCCTGTGAACAGTCTGTCCTCACGCAGAGCAGAGCGCTCCCCTCAGCTCTCTCCAGTCCTAGCTCTGCCTCCATCCCGGGCTCTGGTGTTGGGCCCCAGAGCTTGTTACCTTTTCCTCCTTGCTGGGCCAGCCCAAGGAGGGGTGCTCATCAGCAAGCCTGAGAAGACCCGCCCCCTTCCCTTACACTCAGAGCCCCAGTCCCGCCCCAGTTTTGTCACACTCTGCACCTCTTACTTTACCATCAAATGTACATGGTATCTTTTCACACGACATACTTTGTGCCTGCAGTGTCCACAGCCAGGAAAACCTTTTCTCTTTTTCTCTACATATCAGAATCTTCCTCATCAAATGTTCCCTCCTCCCAGCAGCTCTCCAAACTTCCCTATCAGGCCCAAGGAGCTCGGGGGGCGCCTAACTGCACGGTGTATATATCTAAAAAACAGATGAGGTGAAGAGCTTCTGCCAGAATACAAATCACATTCAACTTCCTTCAATAGGAAGGTCTTACTATAAAGAAAAATCCTTAACTGAGCCAGAGTCCTTGGCGAGATCATAGATTTCCATCCTGGCACAAGCCCCTTATCAGACTGATAACTGTGTAGCCTGCCGAGGCTGCCAACACACCCTGTGAGCGGCACTAATTAATCTGGCTGTCAGGGAGCTGGTCCTCAGAGAGGGGTGGGGGTCAGGGCAGGCCCGTGCTGCCACGGTGAAGACCCGAGGGGCGTGAGGCTCAGGGAGCGTTCTGGCGGGGGCGGCTGGTGGGTGCCGGTGACTGGCCCGTGGTGCCCATGCTAGACACCATCTCTTCCTGCAGGTACAGTGAAGAGCGGGGCTGGGAGCTGCTGTGGCTGTGCACGGGCCTCTTCCCACCCAGCAACATCCTCCTGCCCCACGTGCAGCGCTTCCTGCAGTCCCGCAAGCACTGCCCGCTTGCCATTGACTGTCTGCAGCGGCTCCAGAAAGCCCTGAGGTACAGCAGATGATGGGCAGGGGCAGGAGCTTGGGGCTGGTGCCGGGATCAGCTTCTGGCCACGTGGGCCTTGCGGGATGAGGATGTGGCCACGTAACAATTGGGATCTGTCCTTGGGGTACCACAGCTGCCAGCTTGACAAAGGTTGCTGCATCCTGTGCCCATCTGGACAGTTTGAGAATCTGGATGCTCAAAAGGGCTTGGCTCTGAGCATCAGGTGTGCTGGGGAGAAAACCATCTGGACCATTTGTACTTCACCAAGTCCACTTGCTTCCTTGGCTTCATTCCACCCCCCAGAGCCCCCTGGCTGTCATCCCATTTTACCGATGAGGAACTCGAGGCTCTGAGAGGCTAAGCGACCGTCGCTGGGCAGGAAGTGGTGGACAGGACTCAGGGCCGAGGTCTGCCTCGGTTCCCCACCGCCCCGTGAATTCACCTATTCTTGACTTTCCTCCCTTCCCTGGTTTCCAGAAATGGGTCTCGGAAGTACCCCCCACATCTGGTGGAGGTGGAGGCCATCCAGCACAAAACCACCCAGATTTTCCACAAGGTCTACTTCCCCGATGACACTGATGAGGTGAGGGCTACCGGCTTCTTGGCCCATGAAGGGCCGGGCTCCCTCGGGGGACATGGGCAGTCCTGACGGCTCCCCTTTATTCCCACCTCGCTCCCTCCTCATGCCCCTCACGGAGTCAGGGCTCAGCCATGAGGCCATGGACTCCGTGGGGGGGGGCGGGGCGGGAAGAGGAGGGGTCTTGGGTTCCTGGTCCGGCCCCTGCTTTCCCGAGCAGCCTCCTAGAAAAGGTCACCCCTCCTGCCTTCCCGCCCTCCTTCCTGTGAAAAGTGCTTCTGCCCTCTGAGTTGTGCTCTGTGTGGGCGCCACATCCCTGACGCCAGCCTTGTTCCTGGGCACACCTCTCTGGGGCTTTGCAGCCCATTTTTCTGGAGACCCTCCCTCCTCCTCACCTGGCCTGATCCCGGGCCCCTCTTCCAAAAGCCCCGATTGTCTTTCTGTCCTACCACTCGGCCAGGCCGTCTCCCGGCCCCGGCCCTGTCTCGGCACTGCCTCTCGTCCAGATAAACAGAGTCCAACATGAAACTCGCAGTTTGAAGGGCACTTTAAGAACCTGTCCAGAGACTAGAGCCTCGGAAGTGCCACTGTAAGATTCTAGCCACAAGGACAGGCAACTTCCCAAAATCCTCTCTTGTCCCCTCCAGTGGAAGTTTCCATGGAGTCATCACCTAAATCATGATCCTCCCTCCACCTAAACCCTCTAAGGATCTCCATTCCCTCTGACCCCCAGCCTGGGCTGCTGCCCCTCTCTCCTCTCCCTCTGGATGGGTTTTGCTTTCTTCTTCCTCTAGTCTCCCTCCTCACCCCATCTCCCTCGTCCTGGCCTCTGCCATCACGCATGCCTTGACAGCCAGGCCCAGAGGTCTGGAGCCAGGCCCACTGGGAGGGTTGCAGAAACTGAGATCTGGGAAGACCCAGACAGAGTTGTTTTTCCCTTTTTCTTTAACATGCCCGGCTCCAGGCCCCGGGCAGCGCCCTCGGAGAGGGAGGGTGTCCTGCATGGGAGGGGACTTGGTCTAGTTGGAGACACAGCCAGTGATGCCAAAGGCCTCCAGAAAGGCCCTGCCAGACAGAGCCGAGCAAGCCTCCCTCCCTGCCCCCAGGCCTTCGAGGTGGAGTCCAGCACTAAGGCCAAGGACTTCTGCCAGAACATCTCTGCCAGGCTGCTGCTCAAGTCCTCCGAGGGGTTCAGCCTCTTTGTCAAAATTGCGGACAAGGTGGGTTATGGGTCATTGGTTGTCTTATCTGCCTGCTGTGGCCTGTTGGGAAATTTTGTGAGGTCTTAGGAGCTGGTGGGGGCGGCAGGGGGAGGGCAAGAGGCAGAAAGGAGGGAGGGAAGGAGTAGGCTCTGTTACATGCTCACCTGCTTCTCACATTCCTGGAATAACCCCTTATATATTGCAACTACTCCTGAATCTCTCCTCTGAGACACTGCACGACAGGCCTCGGACCCCTTGGGAACCATGTGGCTCCTCACCCTGCCCCAACACACATGAACTTTCCAGATTTGTTCAGACTGATCCCTCAGTTGCCATTAGGAGGCCAATTAACCTCGAAATAACCCTGGAAGGGAGGGTGATCACCCCTACCCAAGAAGACACAAGACCTGGGCTCAGAAAGGTTCCATCATTTATTCAAGGTGACATAGCAGAGACCCAGATCCAGGTTTGACTCCAAAGCACATGCTCCTGCCACCACGCCACATTGCTCTTCCCCACTTCTCTGTCCATGGGAGTCTTTGAGGCCCAGCCTTAAAGCCCCCTCCTGTGGGAAGGCTTCTCTAGCCGTCTCAGAGAGCAACATCAAGTACCCCTTCCTGTTGCCCACTCAGTTTTGTGGGCACCCATGTCTGTCTCTTCACTTCATGCTGGTCCCTGTACCAGATACTGGGGACCCAGACGTGACCTCAATGAGATCCTAGATCCAGGGGAGCTAAGGCCTCGAGAAGAACAGGCCACGGATGCTAAAGAATATCCAAGGCTGGGACTGGGCCTTGTTCTTAGCCACTTTGGGGGGCCTGAACAGCAATAAGTAGGTCTTTGCTCAGTGACTCTCCCTCTGGACAGGAGATAGGTTGTGTGGCGGACACTAAACAGCCAGTCAGGGCAGAGTGGGGCTGACATACACCCCTCTGACTGTAAGTAGGAGTCTTTAGGAGAAGAGGTCACCAGGAAGGCCTTGGGTAGAAGCTCAGAAAACTTACTATTGCTCAAACAAAAATGAGCAGACTACAATGGCCATGTCCCTAGGTCATCAGCGTGCCCGAGAATGATTTCTTCTTCGACTTTGTTCGACACCTGACAGACTGGATAAAGAAGGCGCGGCCCGCCAAGGATGGTATGTGAGGCCAGGTCCGGGTCCTCTGAGGTCCAAGCAGGGCAGGTGCTGGCTCGAGGCCATACCTTGAGGCCCACCTGCATGGGATCTGAGCTCAGGTCTCCTCTGAGGCTGGTGCTAGGAGCCCTGGGATGATCCGCTGCCCACCCTCTGTGCCACAGGAATCTTGCCATCGCTCACCTATCAGGTATTCTTCATGAAGAAGCTGTGGACCACCACAGTGCCAGGGAAGGACCCCATGGCTGACTCCATCTTCCACTATTACCAGGTAAGCACCTCTGTCCTTGTTGCCTCTATGTGCTGCCCGCCTGGCTGTGCTTTGACTGGGAAAGCAGAGCCCTGGAACAGCAAGGCCTCAAAGCAGTTACTTCTGGGGCCCTAGGGAGTGTCACTACCTCAGAGCCGTCTTCAGGTTAACCCCCAGCCCTTGGGGGCTTGACAGCTTCTGAATATTCAATTCCCACCTTCTCAGCTCCTTCCCCAGGTGAGGCGGCTGTCCTCCGAATTCAAACAGCTACGCCAGGGCCAGGGCGTAGCCAAGCCCTTGGTGTGAGTCTGTCAGCACTTCCAGGCAGATGCATGTGCCTGCAGAAGTCCACATGCTGAGCCTCTATAATGTCTCTGGCCCTTGTCTCTCATTCTGTCTCCCAAGAAACTTCAAGAAGTAGTGTGTTCCCATTTTACAGAGGGAGAAACCGAGACTTAGAGACTAAATAATAGAATAAGCATCGCGTGGCTGGTGGAACTTGGGTGTGGTGATGCAGATGCTGGCTCATGCAGACTCTGCGCTCTTCTGGGCTAGCCTGTTTACCATTCTGTGAGAGATGCGAACCCAGCTGCTGGGAAGGAGGGAGGCGGGGTTGGCAGCGGCTGTGATGGAGGCCCACCTGGCCTGAGAGTCAGAAGCATTGCCCTCATTCAAGCCTGGGGTCTGCCTCTTCTCCATGCCTCCTCCCACCCTGACCCCGGGTTGCCCATTTGGTCACTGGCACCATCAACTACCCCAAGGCAGAAACCCAACAGTCAGCCCTGGCATGTCCCTTCCCTCATCTCCTATGTCCCAAATCATTCATCTAATGCTTTCACCTGCTGACTAGTTCTAGACTCTGTCCCTCCATCACACTACCAGCCTCTGCCGGATCACCATCTTCTCTCACCCAGATGAAGCCCTACCTTTCTGTCTCCCCCACCTGTCTTTGCTCCCCTTCAATCTGTTCCCACAGGGTGGCCATCCTGTTTTCCAGACCCTCTCAGTAGCTTTCCATTGCTACTAGGGAACCCCAAATCCTGACCTAACCCTAAATGGGGAGTGCACTACCTATTTCTGCTGCCTAGTCTTGTATGTAGCACCCCATTGCTTGGTTCATTCTAGCTATAGGTTTTTCAGATTCTCATGCCAGCCACAGGGGCTCCGGAATGTTCATTTGAGTGTTCTTCAACTCTTTCCTTCACCTCCTAAGCTTTTAATTCAGTCACCTTGTCATAATGGAGGTCCCTCCCTGTCCCACAACTGTTTCGGGTTACCCTGTTATATGTTCTCATCTTCAGAGAACAATCCCTTTGAACACTGTAATTATATATTGATTTGGTATGATGGTTAATGTCTACTCGTGCCATGACTACGAGTTCCCTGACAACAGGGTATGTGTTACTGTTGAAAGGACCTGACTCATAACAGTTACTCAGTGAGTATTTATGGGATCGCTGAATGGGTGTCTAGGGGATTGGTGACTCGATGAATGGATAGGTAGGAGATTGGAAGGTGAATGAATTTACGAATGGGTATTAGTGAGTGGACAGGTGGAAGAATAGGTGCACAGGTGGGTGGATGGACTGACAAATGGGGAAATGGATTGTGGGGGTAGGCAGACCCAATGGGTGGGGTGGTGGATATATGAATGGGGAGAAGTGAGTAGATAAAAAGGTGTGTGGATAATAACTGGCTCATAATTATATATAATTGTGTGATAATGGCAAAAGTCAGGTTTCTCATCTACAGTGTCCTCGAGCCAGCCTCAGTTTCCCTATGCTCCAAACAGTGGGTAAGACTGTTAAGGCTCCAGAAGCCGGTGGGAAGCACTGGCTCATCAGAGGCTTCTCCTTACCTCAGCTACTCTGGTTCGGTGTCTGGAAAGTCAAGGTGGGGGACGAGTTTGGTGCTGCAGATGAAACCAGACCATCTTGGGAACACAATGGGAGGCGCCAGCCTGACAGGCTTTTCCCAAGGAAGGTCAGGCCCAGGAGGTTCAGGCGATGGAATAGTCTCAAGTTCACCAGCTGGTCACGCTGAGCACCTTCACCTTTGAAGTAGGACTGCTCACCTCACTGGACTGTTACGGGAGGAAATAAGATCACATTCCACATGGTTATGCTTTTCAACATCTCCTGCTGGGTCTGTGCAGGCACAACTGCCGTCTCCCTAAGCTTGGTCTCCGGTCCCTGGAGAGCAGTGTCAGCTAAGGCCAGAGAAGCGGGGAAGCCCAAGTGCGGGATAAGACGGTAGACCAGCCTAAGGTGATCGGCTCGGAGCCTGTTCCTTCCAGAACCCTCCACATCTGTGACCTGCTCTGTGTCTGGCAGGAGTTGCCCAAGTATCTCCGAGGCTACCACAAGTGCACGAGGGAGGAGGTGCTACAGCTAGGGGCGCTGATCTACAGGGTCAAGTTCGAGGAGGACAAGTCCTACTTCCCCAGCATCCCCAAGCTGCTACGGGAGCTGGTGCCCCAGGACCTCATCCGGCAGGTCTCACCTGACGACTGGAAGCGGGTGAGCATGGGGAATGGGCAGTGGGGACAGGGAGCCCCCCCCCCAGAGGGCCTCTGGGAACCTCAGGGGTCAAAAGGGCAGGTACTGACCAGCAGCCCAAGCCCAAGGAAATTCCTCTGTGGCCCTGTATATGAGAGGGTCCCCCTCCCCTTCTCCCCTCTATCTGCTTTACTTTCCAGTCCCTCAGGTACAGGATTCAACTGACGACTTGGCAGTAATCTGCTCTGTCCTGGTTACCATGGTGACCTATTTTACTTGCTACTCTTGGCCTGCCTGGTTGGAGGAGGGGAGGGAGGTCAGGAGTCCATTAACTGGAATAAGTGGGAACCCCTCCTGGTCTCCAGGACCCCCATCCTATGCCCAGCCCTCCAGGGTCCATGACAGCTGCTAACAGGGCAAACGGGGCAGGAGTGGCAGGGGACAGGCCTCTGACCCACCCTCCCCCTGCAGTCCATCGTCGCCTATTTCAACAAGCATGCAGGGAAGTCCAAGGAGGAGGCCAAGCTGGCCTTCCTGAAGCTCATCTTCAAGTGGCCCACTTTTGGCTCCGCCTTCTTCGAGGTGAAGGTATGCTATGGAGATGCGTCTCGGAGGAGGAAGAGGGAAAGGAGGGGACAAGAAGTCACAGAGAGTCCTCCCCAGGACCGTGGGAAACAGCAATGGTTTGTGCCACCCTCTGGCAAGGGAAGAAGGGGAACATTCTCAGCCTTGCTCCGAGCTAAATGTCTCGGCTAAGTGCTGAGCTCCGGGATGCAGAGGGTCCTGAAGCTCGGCATGGCAGGGGAGGGCAAACATGTAAACTGGCAAACTAATGGAGGATGATCTGTGCTGTGGCAGAGGGTCCCTCATCTGGGTAGAGAGACCTACCCAGACTATGAAAGCTGGGAAGGCTTCCTGGAGGTAAACACCTGAACTTTCCAGGGACACCCTGAGGGGAATGTTCCTGGCAGAGGGTCCAGCATGAGAAAAGACCCAGCGGTTCAAGAGCATGGGTTGGGCAGGATGCACCAGTGGTTATGGGTTTAGGGTCTGAGGTGAGCAGACCAAGGAGAGAAGCAGATCAGTAAGCCGGGTTTCCTCCTGTAGATGGCAGCAAACCTTGGAGAGTTCTGAACAGGGGTGATGAGGCCAGAAGCGCAGTCTGACTGCAGGGGAGGGTGGATCTGAGGCTCACGAAAAGGCAGGAGAATGGCGCAGAGGCTGCTGTGAGAGCACGAGGTCAGGAAAGAGGGGGGTGGGCTAGGATGGGAGGCCTTTAGAGAAGTTTGCCTGTGCAAGGAAAAGAGAGGTAGGTAAGTAGCAAGAAGCACATTCAGGTTCAAGGAAGGTTTTTAAGATGAGACATTGGAACAGAGTCCTAGAGAAGCAGGAGAGAAGGAAAGGAGCTGCTACTGGAAAGACTGGGCCAGGGGGTCGGTGGAGACCCATGAAGGGATGTGGGGTAGCACGGAGAGCCCAGCAGAAGTGGAAACCATGAGGTCGTGGAAGGGCTGCCAGCACCCCTCGCACCACTAGGCAGCAGGAGAGGCAGACTTAATCCCAGCTGGGTGCAGTCTGCTCCTGTCCCCAAATGCACAGAGCTTTCCCTGCTCCGGGCCTCCCGCCTGACGGTTCTGGCTTTCTTCACTAGCAAACGACAGAGCCCAACTTCCCTGAGATCCTCTTAATTGCCATCAACAAGTATGGGGTCAGCCTCATCGATCCCAGAACTAAGGTGAGCGGTGACAGGGATGGACAGGGACTGGCTTCTCTGTCTGCATCTCTAAAGGCCGCTGGGCCCCAGCCCCCAAAGCTCCTGCCAGCCACCCTCCTCACCTCATTTGGCCTCTTGGCCACACACCTTGAGAGGTTGTCTGTGTTTGCGCTGTCCACTTCCTTACCCCTCCTCTGTTCCCTCAAAACTTTCCCCTCCAGTAACTAACACCTTGCTGCTAAATCCAGCGAGGTGCTTTTTAGTACTTGGCCATGCAGCATCATTGGACTGAATGTTCCCAACTACACCTTCCTTCCGAACACTTTGCCCACACTGTGAGGCTGGCGGGCTGTGCTAGGATACCTGCTGCTTGTATTTGTGGACCAGAGCAGCCCCGACCAAGGGGGCCAGGAAGCACAGTCCTACCATGGACACAGCAGGGATATGACTGGACCTTTGGAAAAGGGCACCGGTGACACCCTCTTTGCTTCATGTGCCCACTTCCGTTTTTCCTCCTAGATCTCTCGGTCATTCCTCTTATTTTTTAAGGGCTTCTCCACCCAAGTCATAGTGTCCCCAAGGCTCTGTCCTGTTTTCTTGTCCCCCTCCTCAAACTCTCCCTGGATCATCTCGTCCAGGACCACAGTTTCAGTGCCTTCAGGTCTTCCAAATTTTCCAATACTGACCCCAAATACCCAAAAGCCTACTGCACTTCTTGGGTGGCCCACTAGCTGGTCCCAGCCGAGGCCTGGGGCGGGAGGAGACTGCCTGCACAGCAGTCTCACTACACAGCTGGCTGCAACCCTCTCGCTCCTTGTGCCCTCCCAGGCCCCAAGGCCTTTCATGAGGGTTGTGTCTGTGGTGGGCTGGGGTTGAGGGGAGTGAGGCCAGAGGGTACAGGTTGTGCAGCTTCACTCTCTCTACTCACCCAGGACATCTTGACGACTCACCCCTTCACCAAGATCTCCAACTGGAGCAGCGGGAACACCTATTTCCACATCACCATCGGAAACCTGGTGCGCGGCAGCAAACTGCTCTGTGAGACATCACTGGTGAGCTCTCTTCCTTCCAGGCCCACCGGGCTCCGCCTCATCTGTAGCTTCAGCCATCCCCCCTGGAACACACACGAGACGTGCACAACTTGGCCTGGGGTCAGGGTGAAGGGTCGGTCTGGTTGGGGTGAAGAGGAGGTCAGTTTGAGGTTTTGAGGCCTGGCTTAGGTCTTATTCAACAACTATTGTTTGAGTGTCTTCAGTATCTGGGGGTTGAGCCTCTAACCCCTGAGTTCGACAGGAGAACCATTAGCAATGAGCTCTTCTGGACTGAATTTGACTTCCACGTCTAGCTCAACTGGTAGAACTTTCAGTCACTCCTGGAGGTAGACATCCAGGATATGAGGGACCCACAAGCTAAGATCTTAATATGGGGTCATAACTGCTCTGAACCTTAGACATCTGGCTGGGTGAATCCAACCTTTCAGCAGCATGAGTGGGGAGACTGAGTCCAGAGTGAGACAGGATTTGCCATTATCCAGAGTTTTGCCCACTGCAAGGTCCCAGGAACTGTGTTTTGGATCTGGGTGGGCTACCTCTGGCCTACTTTGCACTCTATCTTCTCTCCATTGTTTCCAGGGCTACAAGATGGATGACCTCCTGACTTCCTATATTAGCCAGATGCTCACAGCTATGAGCAAACAGCGGGGCTCCAGGAGCGGCAAGTGAACGGCGCAGGGGTGGCACCAGCACTGTGGTGTCTGCTTTCTAGGCAGCAACCAGTTCAGGCCCATCAGCTCCCCCTGCAGCTGGTGGAGGGCCTCTGCCATCAGGGCTGGGGCACTGGGTAGGCCACCACTAACTGTACCAACTTAGCCTCTGATCCTTTTTCCAGTAAGGGAGCCTCAGGGGGGTTGCAGAACCCCTTCCCTCCACCGAGAGACATCTGGGTTGATTCGAGTCCTGGCTTGCTGTCGCCTTCCCACTTACAAGATTCCACAGCCACTTGGATGCCTTTTCTTACTTCAGACCAGTCCTATCACACAACCTCCTTCAACTTTCTGTGTACCACTGGGACAGGCAATCAAGAGTATGGAGAACCAAACAAACCAGGAATATTCTGAAACTTAAGGGACTGACTTAATTCCCCAAGCCCAGGACCCTCGGCTGGGGTAATGGAGACAGACTGCTTTTATATACTGCAGTGTGTGTGCCGAGCCCCTGCTCCAGTCTCCCCTGGTGACCCAGGGCTTTTATAAAAGCATGTGTTTCAGTTTCTGGCCCTATAGTGTCTTTGCTGGGGGAGGGGGAGGCAGAGGGGAGATTTTGGGGTGCCAGGTCAGGGCCCTGTAGCCTGTATAATTGGTCTGTGCATGCAGGGCCAAACTAGTCCAGATTTGTGAGCTGGAGTGTACCTGAGTCCAAGCTGTGTTAGAAAAGGGCTTAAAGGGACTGGCTGCGACCAAGGCAGATTGGGGAGACATGCCGAACATCAGTCTGGGAGGGGGAACTAAATGCTTATGAGCTGGGGATCTGGAGGGGGTAACTGCTTCTGGGCCTTAACTAGGGCCAGTAGAACCAGAGTAGCCTTTGCATTTTTCCAGAAACATGTCCTTATCTCATTAAAACACCTCTAAGAACAAAACTGTCCTGGGTTAATCCTTTTATCCAGTGAATGCCTAAGAAATGTCACTTTGTGGCCAGGATGAACAAGTAAATTTGGTCACAACCAGGGTGGCTCTTGGGGGGTCTTCAGCTAGGGAAGTTATAATTTGGGGTAGGGCATCCTCCTGGGTGTGGAATGGGTGCCTGAAGCGGAATGAGTGTCTAAAGAAGTGATAGTGGAGAATCCCCTTAAGGTGCGCATGTTTGTGATCTGCCCTCAAGTTGCCCCTGGCACTCTGACAGAGCCAAGTCCTGCTTGCTGGCACATACTCAAGAGTTTGGGGACATCTGCATCTAGATGCCTGTGAGGGAGGGGAAGGGGCTGGTTGTAGAAATGGAGGCCCTAAACCAGTTGCCCTGCTTTCTGGGATGACAATGTGGCTGAGACAGCCCTGACTCACCAATGTTTAAATGATTTCACAATCAACCCAGGATTAATCTGAGCCAGAAGGAAGGTGCTGGTGGTCTGCCCCTACACCATCCTCATACAGATCTAGATGCTGAGACCCAGAGAAGGAGTGTGAAGAATGCAGACCACACAGAATTCAATTCACTGCTTATAACACACAGATTTTTGGTTCCAGATATTTGCCCTAAGCTCTAAGGTAGGCATGGGGTCATGCCCAACATTCTAATATGAAATCTGCCAACAAAGAGTTATTAGGAAGCATCCCCCTTCAGGGTAGATCATAGAATGTGCATGTGGGATGAGATCTTTGGCTCAGACTCCTAGCCATGCCCAGTCACCTCTGACTCAAGATGCCATCGCTCATCGCTTAGGCTCTTTCAGCCTGAGTGATCACAAAGGGATTCAGAGAATACATCATTTTTCTTCTGGGTTCCTCAGAGGTTGCCTTTATTTACATGCAGTCAGTCCTTTAACAGGGAATAACATGAAATGTCAGGATGAGGCAAACTCTGTGACACCCAGAAAACAACCAGCTCCAGCTCCAACAGCACAACTGTTTTTCCTTTACCTATCCCCTTGGGGTGCATTTTTTTTTTAATAGAATGATCTATCTATAAGAGGAGTAATGTATTGTATAAAAGAATTCCTGGGAGGAAGATTCAACCATGGGGGTGTCTCAGTGTTGAGATTCAGAATAAGGGCCTCCTTGATGGATACTGTGGGTCTTTGTGGCAGGTGGCCAATGTGATTCAGTGAGGGGAAGGGTCTGCTTAATGACCCATCTAGCAAGTATGGTACTGGTGGATACCATAATTGCCAGTTCCCTTTAATTTCCTGGCTAGAGGGTGAAACACCATACACCAGCCCTTGTGTCCTGACGAGTCAAATGCCCCACCACTAGTGGTCAGGCACCCCAGGCCATGATCCTGTACCCACATGTTTCCTTTCTCTGCTGGCCACCAACCTCACTGGCTGGGCCTATTGGCACACACAACACATAAAGGAAATGTCACTTTAGCAAGATTCTGGTGACCAGGTGGTATGGAGAATGTTTCTGAGTCCTACAGATCTGAAACAACTGGAATGCCAGCTCTTGGTCACTTACCAAGAAAGAGGGCTGATGCAAGGAACACAAAAGTTCAGGAGAAAACCAAGACCAGGCAAGCTTGAATGATACAGTTCATCACAAAAACAAGGCCAATCCACCAAGATTGGGAGAGATAACCACTTTGCCTAACACAGAAGCAAAACACAGAACCAACAAAATGAGGGGAATGTGCCCCAAATGAAGGAACAAGATAAAACCTCAGCAATAAGCCTAACATATCGACGCAAATTACCAGATAAAGACTTCAAAGTAATGGTCATAAAGATGCTCACTGACCTTGTAAGAATGGATGAACAAAGCTAGAATTCCTAAAAAGAGGGAGAAAATTCCTGGAGCCCTGCACTTGGGGTGGCTCTCTCTCTCCACTTTCCTGGCTTGGGGAACGTTAAGACTCAGCTTCCCTTACTGTTGCCAGCCAGTAGTGAGCAGGTGCTTCAGGCCGCGCAGTGTGGGAGGCTCAGTCACTTGCACTGACCTCAGTAAGAGATGATGTCACCAACCTCAGTGTGAGACCAGCATGGGAAAGTCCCGTCTCTGGTGATGAACTTTTCAAAATCCCTTTGATCTGTTCTTCATTAGTTTTTCCTTTTTTTTTTTTTTTTTTGCAAATGTCCTGTTTCTGGGAGTTGATTTGACTTATTCCATGTTCAAATTTGTGTATTCAGAATCAATGACCTATTACAACTGCAAACCCTGTTGACTTTACAGGAAAATGCTCTAATTTCTCCCATGAAGAGATGCTCACAGTGGGCTGTCAATTTCACTTTGCATTTAGTTGTTTTTTTTTTGTTTATACATGCACTGGGTACAGTCAGAAGCACGGGAGGGTGGGAGAATTCACCAGAGCCAGAGCGGGGAGCAGAGCAGGCAGAAGGACCGAAGTACACTGCTGAGGGGAGCAGCGGGCGGCAGGAGAGGTCTGCGTGCCATGTGGGACCCTCCTCCGGTGGCCGGGGAGCAGCCGGGGACCGAACCGGCGCCGCAGAGGCCGCGGGCAGCTTCGCAACCCAGCGCTCAACCGCTGCGCCACCGGGGAGGCCCAGTTTTTCCTTTTAGTTATGCTTAGGGGAGTGGAATTTCCGAATCTTCCCATTCCACGAAGTTGTGGGTTGAGTCCCATCTGAGAATTCCCTTAACCTAAGGAAAAAAACAGATATTAACATTCAGGAATTTCAATGAGTTACAAGTAAAATGAACCCAAAGAGACCCACACCAAAATACATATAATTAAAACAACAAAAACATCTTACTAATCTCATAAGATGATTGGTGTTTATCTCATCAGAAACCTGGGGCAGAAGGAAGTAGCATAATATATTCAAGTGCTGGTAGAGCTCTCCATCAAGAATTCTTTACCCAGCAAGGTTATTTTTCAGAGTTGAGGGAGAAATAAAGAGCTTTTCAGACAACAAAAGTTAAAGGTTTTCCTCACCACTAAAATGGATAGAGGATTTCTGAGGTGTTTAGCTGTGGTTTGGCATAAATTTTTGACTCGTTAATACAATCTGTGATGGTATTTCATGTCATTTGCACATGTTATTCCTAGTGACTGAGGAGAACCTGGAGCTGTTTTCAGATTGAAAGGATAAAATCCCATAACTTAATCTGGTCTGTTCCTTGAAAGGGGGACACCCAACAGGGGAGCCCTGAAGTAGTGGAACAGGGCACAGGACCGCAAACCCAATAGGAGGTTTGACAGTTTCTGTCTGCACTGAGCCCGTCCGAGAAAGCTGTTAATCCCTGGTTTTGTCAGGGACAGAAAGAGAGCTATGAGTGAGGTTAGCATCAGGATTGACATTATTCCAAGCTGGAGGAGTCTAGTGAGCTTTAAAGTTAAGTGAGAGGAAGGAACTGTAGTCTACTCTTTGAAGTGGAATGTTTTTACCTGAGTATGGTGAACCCAAAATTTTATGCCTTTTAACGTTAAGGCGGGGGATGAGAAAGACGGTATAGGGTCTCTTCCAGGAAGGTTGTAGGTGGGCCTCAGGATGACAACTTTTCTAGATCTTTAGAAGCACCTGATTACCAGAGTATTACATAAAGGGATATCAACTGGACGCTGCAACCTGTCAGAAGCAAGCCTATGTAAAATAGTGACTTAGGGAAACAACATAGGACTTAACTTGATGAGGCCATTATATTAATATTTCTGAGCTCAAAACTTCTATAGGTGCCACCTAAACCAATTTTAATCTTCCAGAGGCCAGAACAGTTAGACACAAGGGGAAGACAGGCAGACATACATCATATGGACACAGGTTCCTTACTTTTCAGTTAACCCACATGGAATATCTTATGCAACTGCAGTTTCACTCATATTTACAAAGACACAGAGCTTTTTCTTTGTTTCCTTACAAAAACAAACTCTTCTTACCACTGTCTGATGAAAAGGGGCCACAGTAGTCACCTTAACCACCATGTACTTGGGGAAAAAAAAAGTTTGCAAGGAGACAATGGGAAAATAAAAACATAGCCCACGTTCAAAATGTTACAAAAAATCAAAATTGTAAAACAAAATTAAAAAATCTAAAGCCAAAAATCACAACCAAGTTCTCTCCATGGAGTCAAAATCAAATTCCCAAAACTGGAGAGTGCTGACAGAAGAGCGCTCATGGTCTCAGATGCCATCATACATACCTTAGACTTCAGAAGGAGAAAAGCAGGTTTAGTTAGAGCAATTACTTAGGAAGGGTGATAGCCTCATCCCCCATCTATCCATTAGGAAGTCAATCCAGGGGTATCTTGTAAGAGTATCTGAAAGAGAAAAAGAAATCTAAGTTTCTGTCTTTTTCTAAAATAAGTATCTCAGGGCTTTGACAGGTACACAGAACCAATGGGGTTTTGTCCACAGGTCACTGAGTTCCAAGGCTTTCTTCTCTCTGGAGTGATACACCCAGGGTTTCATGATTACAAATTTCAAAGAATTGTGACTTGTCTGATTATGGAGAGGCACCACCATCAAAAGGGGAGATTCCATGTTCTTGCCCCACCTAATGAAGGGTAGAGCTGAGGGATGAGGAGAAGCTAGAGGAGACTTGGAGAACAGACCTGCAGAGACACAGGAAGGCTTGGAGGAGGCACCCAGAACAGAGACACGTGAAGGAGTAATCCCACTTGCTTCTCAATTTTTGACTTACACCACCAGGATTCCAAAAGGATGGCTATTTTGTTTACCTCTATTTTAGCCTCGTATCAGCCTACCTGGGTGGATATATAATACATATGCTATTAACGTCAGATGAACAGTGAATGGCTTTAAAGAAGGCTAGTGATGAAACTCATCGCCTCCACCATGAAGACCCAGAAGATCCAGAACCAGAGAGCCTGCCTTAATAGTAGACCCTAACTGAGACCGTAATGAAGGGGGACTGGAAATGGTGCCTATTTAATGCTCTTCCCCCTTTCAGAGATTCATCTGTAATACAAACTCATGTAAGTATAGAATACAAGTATAAACACCTAATATTATAAATTAAAGACAGGAGAGGCACTGACCTCTTAAAAGGGATCCTCCAATGGTAATTTCAAAATCTCCAGTAATTGGTGGTTCTCTTCCTCCTAATTTCCCTTCCCTTTACTGCTACCAGTGAAAGGGAATTTTGCTTTTCCCTTCTTTGTGCCATCAAACAGGTCTATGTCTTTACCAAACATAGTTTATGGAGGGCAGTCAGAATTTGTCCAAGCAGACTCTTGGTTGATGTAGAAGGCTTGCCACCCCTCAAAACAAAACACACATACCCCCCTGAAAGGTCCACCAATAAAAAATTTTAAGTTGGAGGTTGAAACTGAGCCTAATACATATGCCCACAGGATCTTTCACAAAAACAGCTTCCACACATTTTACCAGACTTAACCAGATTACCCAATCTAAAACTTACAGAAAAATAGAAAGAGGAAGGAGAACTGCCTGAACTAAAGGTTGAACCCACATCTAACTCAAAACACACACACACAGAACCATGCTGTAGTGAAACCAAGCTCCTCTGAATTAGAGACAGAAAAATCCCACCACCTGTCCTGCAATCGCACATACCTATGTGCACTGCCTTATATTGTACAGTACATTATAAAGTAAGCACAATGATTTCTGGGGGCGGGGGGGGGGCGCTGCCTATTGAGTTTGGCAGGCCCTCTGGATAGCTTGAGTTAGTTCAGTTGTAATCGCTTTTGCCTGCTGATTATTTGATGTTACTGGTTACGAAAAAAGTGTAAGTCATGCTAGTCAAATGTGAGCTGAGACGAGTGAGTGCCCTTTTAGTTTTTGGAGTTTATCTTGTATATCATGCATACTTTGAGTGATAAAGGTCATATTGATTAGTTGAGAATTGTTAGGCTTATCCAGGTCTATATTAATATAGTGGTGATATGCGTCCAGTATTTGGTCTAAAAAGGCTGATGCATTTTCATTTGGGTCTTATTTTCATGGACCTTTTTTTTGCTCATGGACTTTGATAACACTTTTTTTGTTCTTTTGCTTGGGGACCACTTATCTAAACCCAGCTAGGATGTAATCCTGGTAGTGCTGGATCCTACCTTTCTCACCACATTAGGATCCCACTACCGGTACTGTAGCAGCACGAGTTGGGTTGCTTTCTGAAGAACAGATCCCAGGGCTTTATGATGTATGTAGGGCTTTTCAGCACTATTCTTTTTTTCTCTGAAACAAGAGACTAGGAGGCTATATATATATATATATATATATATATATATATATATATATATATATATTAGCTCAAGCTGGGCAATAAACACCTAAAAGAGTCAAACAAGTCAGTCATTTTGGGGGACTTACCCTGTAAGTGGGGTTATGGTCTTTCTAACTATATAATTTAAAAGTGGAGAACTGGATGTGGTCCCACATCAGGTACCTCACCTGGAAAATTACCTATCAGGGATGCTCCTAATAATTGTTTCCCAATAAAACCCCCCAAACTCCGGGGGGCATGATGAGATTGCCTGGGACCCTGTTCTTCCTATTGGTCAGTGGGCCACTTGGGTGCCTTGTCTTTAGATTTTGGCCACAGGCAGAAGCCCCAGGCCAAAAGAGATCTTGGTTAAGTGAATCAGATTCAATAATTTGCAACATCTCAGGTTTAAACTTCTGAGGCTTTTCCATGAAAATCTGGCAGCCCTTCAGCTTCTCTTGATATATTATCATAAAGGATTAGACATAGGGATTTCCCTTCCATTTTTGTTATCTTTGACACAGGCTGAAAGCTGAAAAATTCTTTAATAGCTTAAACCTCCATTTATGGGTCACTTCTTGACCAATCTCAAATCATACTGTAAGCACAATGAATTACAGGAGGGGCTAAACACATTTTTTTCCTTTTTTGCGGTGGTTCATAGTTATGCTTTTACCAATTATTTAAAGAATATCCAATTGGGCTCTGAGCTGGTATTAAACTTGAATTCCCCATTACAATATGAGCCTTGGAAATAAAGTAGAATACAGTGGGTGGAGGGTAAGTAGAAACAGGCACACAAAGGAAATTGCCTCTGAGGTTCCATGAACTGGAGTCCACATATGGTATGAGTAGATTTAACCAAGAAGACTTGTACATTGAAAGACATGTAAACCACAAACTATCCACAAAATGTTGGAAAAAAATTAAAGAAGACATAAATTAATTGAAAGCAATCCCATGTTCATGGATTGAAGGACTTAATGTAATTGTTAAGATGATAATACTATCCAGAGTGCCCTACAGACTCAATTTAACTTTTATCAAGATCCCAGCTGCATTTTTTTCTATCTTAAAACTCATATGAATCTCCAAACAATCCCTTGAAAAAAAGAAAGACGGAGGCCTCATACTTTCTGATTTCAAAACTTACTACAAAGCTACAGTGACCAAAACAGTATGGCACTAGCATATCCTATCCTAAAGTATAGGATAGAGACCCTAGAAACAAACCCCTGTATATATGGTCAACTGATCTTACAATGGTGTCAAGACCATTCAATGGGAAAAGGATAGTCTTTTCAATAAATGGTACTGGGAAAGTGGATACCCACATGCAAGAGAATATATACTATATACAAAAAAGAACTCAAAATGAATCAAGACCTATAGGTATGAGCTACAACTATAGAACTTTTTATAAGAAAACAGGGAAAAATCTTCATGACATTGGATATGGCAATGATTTCTTAGATATGACACCAAAGGCATAGGCAACTAAAGAAGAAATACAGTAATTGGAATTCATGAAAATTAAAAGCTTTTGTGCATTAAAGGACACTAGTCAACAGAAAAAAAGAGACAACCCAACCAAACACTGGGAAAAATATTTCCAAATCATATATCTGACATGAGGTTAATAGCCAAGATATATAAAGAACTAAAACAAAACAATCAGGTTAAGAAATGGGCTAAGGACTTAAATAGACCTTTCTTCAAATAAAATATACAAATAGCCAATAAGCAGGTGAGAAGATATTCCTTATCACTAATTATTAAGGAAATGCAAATCAAAACCACATGATATATCACCTAACATCCATTAGGGTAGCAATTATAAAAAACACAAAAAATAACAATAGTTGGTGAAAGTGTGGAGAAAGTAAAACCCTTTTGAGAGTCTGGGGGTTCAAACTGGCAGACTTCCTGGGTTCACTTCCTCCCCAGAGACAATAAACCTATAACTATATATGGAGCCACTCCCTTTGAAACAGAACTGAGGTTAGAGGATCAGCATCTCCACAACAAGTAAAAGACCTCCTATGGAAAGGGTGGGAATGAGGAGGACACAATCTCACCAGGAACATCACCCCGCACATCCATGGTCAGGAAGGATATCATAAACATGGAAGTTATCCCTGGGGAGTGAAGGGCTTGCATCCCACATCAGGTGCCCCAAACTCTGGGAATGGCACTGGAGATGCAAAGACTTCCAGCTGTGGAAAACAAAAGGGCTTTCCTTAAGGAGAACTATAAGAGTATAGGGGAATAGAGATTTTACTTTTAAAGGGCTGAGCAGGGGTCATCCTGGTGATGCAAGGGGTTAAGATGCAACCTATGAAGCTGTCCAAAGCCTCTGTAGCATGAGTTCAATCCCTGGCCAGGGAGGAGCAACCCACATGGCACAACAGACCTCTCCTGACTAGTCTGCTGCTCCCCTCAACAGTGTATTTGGGTCATCTGCCTATTCTGTTCCCCACTATGTCTCTGGTGAATCCTCTCAACCCCACACTTCTGGCCTGTACCCCAGCTCTTGTATGCATAAATAAAAAATCTTAAAAACAACAACAACAAATAAAGGGCTGAACACAGATATATTCATGCTGGGGAACCAACACAAATGAACAGTTTGAGGGTTATTTAGACCATACCCCAAGGGGTTCCACTTGCTAAATTTAAAATGTAAGCCACAGTAATAAGATAAAGGGCTAGCTTTCTGTGAATGGAGACAATGGTGAGTGCCCTAATTTCCTCTTTGTACAACTAGGTCTTGAACTAGCATGCACCATACTTGCAGATTCAGTCAAGGTACCAGGGCAGGAGGGCAAAACACACTACCTCTGTCCATGGCTTGTCCAGTTTCCAGGGCAGCTCTGACCCACAGTATCTGCCTACAACTTAGGTACAAAGCACCCAAGACAGTTCACATCACACAGTACTTACCATGGCTCATGTCCATGGCTGCTAGTATAGTTCATGTCTACAGTATTCTTCCTTGCTTACAGCTACAGCTTCTAGGACAACTCAAGCCAACAGAAATAGTTCATAATCATGGCTCCAGGGTCAGTTTGTATCCATAGCCCTTCCCTAGGTTTTTGCCCACTGACTTCCCAACCAGCTTACACCAGCAGCTCCTGAAGCAGCTCACTCCCATGGCTCCTGTTGCTCCAGCTCCCAACACTGTTGACAGAGCTCTCCAAGCTGCCATCTTGTGCCTACTCTTTTGTACCAGCTGTTCCAGTCACCAAGGCCTCAGATGTAGCAGTCGTTGTCCACCAGGTACTCTGGGCTGACATTCTGTAATCTTCATTTCTAATACAAGCCCAAACCTTCAGAACTGGAAGAGATAGCTGTTTATCCTAACAGAAATAAACACAGAGGGTCAATCAAAATGAGGAGACAGAGCAATATACCCCAAATGATAGAAAACAAAACCTGAGAGGCAAAAAACAAATCAAACAAAAATAAATGAAGTACATGGTGAAGATTTCAGAGAAACAGTTATAAAAATTCTCACTGAATCTGGAGAATAATGGATGAACAAAACCAGAACTACAACAAAGAGAAAACAGGAGAAAGTTCCAAACAGCACCACAACAGATGAATCAAAAAATACAACAGACAGGCTCATCAGCAGTCTAGATGTAGCCAGAGAGAATCAGTGAGTTGTAAGATAAGGTAGTGGAAAACACCCAAGAGATCAGTATAATGCATAGAAAGCAACACAGTGAGTTAAGGACAATAAAGAAAGAGAAGACTATGAAAGAATGTGAAATGAAAGAGAAAGATGAAAAGCAAGATAAAACCACAGAAAAAGAACTCATGGAAAAAAGATAAATGACTTGTCTGATAAAGAATTCAAAATAACAGTTACAGATGTTCCCCAAGGCCAGGAAAACAATGTATGAATAAAGTGAGAATTTCAGTAAAAAGAAAATGAAAGAAAGCACAAAAACAAAATCACAAAGATAAAGGATACAACAATTGAGCTAAAAAATTCAAAAGAGGGGTTCAAGAGCAAAATATATGAAGTAGAAAAAAGATTGGCAAACTTGAACGCAGGAAAGTTGAATTCTCCAAATAAAGGAGTAAAAAGAATGAAAAATAATGACACCAGCTTCATAGACTTATTGAGCAACAATGCAAACCAATTTCAGGTTGTAGGGGGTCTAGAAGGAAAAATCAGAGGCAGAAAATTTATTTGAATAAATAATGGCTAAAAATTTCCTTTATCTGGGGATGAAACATATCCAGATGCAGGGCCAGAGATTGCCAAATGAGGAATCCAAAAAGACCCAAACCATAACTCATTATAAGCAAACTGTTGAAAATTGAAGGAGAGATTCCTAAAAGCAGCAAGAGAAAACACACCCATAAGACTACCAGCAGATTTTTCAGCAGGAACTTTGCAGAGCAGGAGGGAGTAACACAATATATTCAAAGCGATGAGAGAAATACCTCTTCACCAAGAATGCTAAGTGATATTTTTCTTTTTCTTTCTGGCTTATTTCACTGAGCATGATCCCTTCCAGCTCCATCCATGTTGCTGCAAATTGCATGAGTTTATCTTTTTTTGATTGCTGAGTAATATTCCATGGTGTATATGTACCACATCTTCTTGATCCAGTCATCTATTTGGGGGCATTTGGGTTGTTTCCATAGCTTACCTATTGTAACTAGTGCTGCTATGAACATAGGGGTGCAGTTGCCCCTTTTGAATTAATGTTTCTGCGTCCTTTGGGTAAATACCTAGGAGTGAAATCGCTGGATCATATGGAAGCTCCACCTTTAGCAGGTTGAGGAATCTCCACGCAGCTTTCCATAAGATAAAGAGACATAAATTATGACATCAAAAATATAAATGTGGTGAGGGGAGAGTATAAATGCAGGGCTTTGAATGTATTCACCCTTAAGTTTTTATGAACTTAGCAAAAATAAATGAGTGGGATTTGAGAGTTAAAGAAATCTAGGAGGAATCAGAGTGAGGATTTGAAGATTGGATAAGATTTGGAAAAGGAGAGGGACAAAGAATGTATAAATAAGTTTTCTGCCTCTCACTCCTTTATTTTGTCCATTACAAATACTAGGTGTATCATATAAGTCTCATGGTAACCACAAAGCCAAAAAAACCATAGTAGATATGAAACAAGGCTCCTCAGAGACAGCCAAAAACCAAGCGCCATTGCTCCATCTATACAATAGGGTGCAGCAGGTCAAAGGACAGTGCCCAATATAGGACAGGTCACTGTCTATGGGTTCTTGCTTGCACACACACTTGCAAGATACCTCAGGTTCAAAGAACAATAATGGGCTATTTTACAACGAGCGGAAACAAAGAGCTTAATGTAGCCACAAGTGGCCAGCTATCTTAACCGAGTGTCCACCAGAAGTATAGATGTAAGCAGAATGCTGATCACCTGTCAACAGAGCTGGACAGCACTGGCCAGTAGTGGTCATCACTACTGGTCACCAGCAGCAGTGTCAAAGACATCAAGTGTTAACAGCTCTCTGTGAGTTGTTGACCTGTATCAACAACAAACAGCTTTTTGAGACACCAGGCCCAGGGCCTTTGGTTCTCTTCTCAGGCAATGTCAGAGACAAGACTGGCGGCAGGTATGGTGGCCTGGTCTCTGCAAATGTCTTTGGCTTGTCTTCTTTCCATGGAGGTTGGCTGCTGGATGCTGCTTCTTTCTTTAGAGGCCAGGAACAGAGTCTTCACAGCTCCCTCCAGCCTTGCCTTATATCCTCTTTCAGGGTTCCCCACCTACAAGTCTACAATCCTATGGCTGATTGGAAAACATTTAGCACCAATCAGTGTGTAGCTCACATCTTATTGGTCCATTCTATAATCCAGGCACCAAGTTCAAAAGGGAGGCTGCTGGGCTCTGAAGAGCCACAGCCAGAGCTGGCCTGTAGTGGAACAGACTGCCACTGCTCCTGCCAGCTCCTGTCATTGAGGTGGCTCCTGCCATTGTTGAAATCGGGTTCAGGTTTCAGATACACAAAAGAGAAAGGAATGTAAGCACACCATCACAGAAAATCATCAATTGCAAAGAAAGATAGAGAAATCAGGAACAAAGGAATTACTGTGAGCCTCAAGGGGGGTCTGAGACCTGGGACGCTGATTGCGAAGGACCCACCAGACGGGGGACTGCTGTCAGCTACAAGCAGTGATTATTTTTCTCAACATGGTTATATAGGAATTGTGAACAAGGACATCTCTGTTTTATTGTAAGTCAGAGAAAACAGAACGACCTTGCCTTGCACGCCATGTACGTGAGCCCAAGCATGCTATGTACATGAGCCCATGCATGCCATCTGCTGCACTAAGTTACAACTGAGGGGACTTCCAAGGACGGCACAAGTACAGGACGTCCCTCCCAGGAGGTTCGTCATCCTGGCACACTCGATTCTGCTCAGCGTTTCTGTCAGCCCTTTTCCTTGCCGTCCTCAGGTCACCTTTCAATCATCCTTACGCAACAATTACAAAACAGCTGGAAAAAGTAAACAATGGCAATAGTCCATACTTATCAGTAATTACTTTAAATGTAAATGGACTATCTCTAATCACATAGTAGCTGAATGGATTAAAAAAATCAAGACCCAACTATGTACTACCTACAAGATATTCACTTCAGCTCTAAGAACACACACAGACTGAAAGGGGTGGATGGAAAAAGATAACCTACGCAGATGGAAACCAAAAGAAATTTTTTAGAATTCCATTTTCTTGATATATATACCTGATATCTATACTAATATAGATATAGGAATATATATCTGATATATATATAAAATATTAATGTAATGATTTTTTTCTTTCAGATTTATAATGGAATTTTATGTAATACATATTATAATAGAATTATACATATATTCACATATTTATCCATTCTTCCATTGCCAGACATTTGGGTGTTTGCCTATCTTGGCTATTGTGAATAATGCTACAATGAACAAGGGATTGCAAATACCTCTTTCAGAGACAATTTAATTTTCTGCCCTGGAGTTGGATTGCATATTCATGCAGTAGCTGTATATGTAACACTTTTAGTAATTCCCATACTGTTTTCCATAATGGTTGTACCAATTTATATTCTCACCAAGTTGTTTTCTCACATTATCACCAACACTTTTTAAGTAACAGCCATTCTAACAGGTGTGAGATGATTCCTCTTTGTCATTTTGATTTGTATTTCCCTGATTATTAGTGATGCTGGGCACCTTTTCATGTATCTGTTGACTATCTGAGAAATGTCTATTTCAGTCCCTCTCTCATTTTTTGAGTATGTACGTACGTATGTATGTATGTATGTATGTATGTATGAATACATGCATTGCCATTGAGTTGTGAGTTCTTTATATATTTTGGATACTAATCCTTTACTATGTGTGTGGGTTGCAATTATGTTCTCCCATTATATAGGTTGCTTTTCACTTTCTTGATTGTTTCCTTTGCTAAACAGAAGCCTTTTAGTTTGATGCAATCCCACTCATCTATTTTTTGCTTTTGTTGCCTGTTGATCTCATTCCTGAGATCAACATTCAGGTTTTTCCCTGTTTTCTGATTTCAGGTCTTAAATTTAAGTATTTACTCTATCCAGAATTTCTGTTCAGAAATCAGAACAGACTGATGAATTGTGAAAGTACTTAATGCCACTGAGTTGTACAACTAAAAGTGGTTACAATGATAAATTTTATGTGTATTTTATCACAATTTCTTAAAGGACAATAAAAAGTTTGACTGCTATTAAAGTTTTGACTATTCTCATCTACTTAATATGCACTCTGTTCCTCTCCTTTTCTCAAATCTTAGTTCTAATTCCTCCTACATTTCTTTCAATCTCAAAATAATGTCACTTTCTTGTCTAGATTCCAAGAACTACTACTGTCTGGTGTAATTCTCTACCATAACCATGAAGAATTACTTAAATATTTATATTTACAGTCACAGTTATCCTGTTTTCTATACTAGTTTGAATCCTATGTGAGGGAAGTAGCAATATCCTGTTCAGTCAAAAGGACATGATTCAACAATTTATGCCTGGGTTTGATTAATGAAGTATTTTTAAATATTCCATTTTGATTTCATTTCACTGCTTCTTTCACTTGGTAGATCCCAAGCTTCCTTCTTTGCAGTCATTCAGATTGATAGGTCCAGATACTTGGCTGTTCCCACTCGAGGCCCAAGGTTATTGGACTGTACCATCATCCCAATGGGAAATCAGTCAATGAACCTATTAGGACGCATCCCACTTCACAGGAGATGACAGAATGTGGACGTAGGATGAGATGGTTGGCCCTGAGTTATAACTATGCCCAGCTACCTGTCATTCTGTCTCAGGCTCCATCACTCATCCCTAGCCCTTGTCAGGCTGAGTGATCACAGGGGGATTTAGAGAATACATCGTTTTCCTTTGGGTTCCTCAGATGTTGCCTTTATTACAAGCTGATGTTCACCCGTCAGTCCTTTAACAGGGATACTATAAAAAGCCAGAAGAGACAAAGCCTGTGACGCCCAGAGAATCAGCTCCCGCTCTAAGATCATTTCCCCCCTGCCCATCCTCTTGAGATGCATTTTTAATTAAAAAGAAAAGAAAAAAAGCTAAACCAGAATGGTACCCCTGAAAGCCTCAATGGCCCCACCGCACAGCTTTCTTGACCTCTCCCCACCAGCACCACCCTCGGGCACAGCGAGGAGGAGGAAAAGGGGGCAAAATGTGGCTATTACTTCTTCGAAGATGACAACCAAAAAGAGGACAAGCTCAAGCTGGAAGCACTGGAAAGCAACACATAAGAGGATTCTTGGGAGGGTTCAGTAGAGACGTTCTTTGTGGACTGTGTTGCAGAATGGAAGACCTCTGTGGAGGAAACTGATGGTTCATCTGCACTCACGATGGGCAATGCATCCGGGTGGGTGGCTGCCCACGAGGCTGACTGGGTCAGGTCAAAGACAGTCCTCATGGGAGCTGTTGGTCTAGAACCACCCTGGGCGTGCGTCAGTCTGCTCATATTTTCCTTGACAGGCTCTGGTTCTATTTTGGTTTTCTTCTTGGGAACTATTGAAAAATGGCGAGTGCCTGGATAATTTTTTATATCCTGGGTTAAAGTTGGATAGAGGGATGCTATAGTCCAAGGGATTTCCCTAACTCGGGATGGAGTTGACGTTTCTTGGTTATCGCTTTTTCCCCTTTGGAGATTTATACTCTGAGTATCTGTGGGATAGAAAAGACAAAAACGGATTCCTCAAATGTTACTTCTCCAACCTCTGCTGCTGCTGATTTAGCTGATGCTAAATCTTACTTATCTTTAAAATGTTAGTCCCTCACTACCATCTCAGTTTCTTTCATCCTACGTTTCTCCCTATCCCAAATTTGTGCAGACTCTATTATGAGCCTCTCATTCAGCATGGTGCTAGAATTTTACAGTCTATTGCATAAGATTCTAGCTCACCATGGAAGCCCTCTGAAGTAGAAACTAACATTTGCTTAAAGATCATGCATTTTACAACCATTACTTCCAAATTAATTTGAGCAGGAAAATTAATACATCCTCAATTTGAATGGGAGGGTTCCAAGTGCCCAGATCTTGTCTTGCTTGCACACATAATGCTCAGAAGTGTATGCCATATAGTAAGCATTCAAAAAATAACTTGATAGAAATAAAATAACTGATGGAAAAAAATAGATGGAGATGTTTCCCAATAATGGAGCTAAGAAAGTAACTCTTACTGAAAGACAAGTTAAAAACTGAATAATACAGAAAACAAAGTTTCCCAAGAATTTACTACATGGGACCAAAATCTAAAAGAAAGTGAGACTCCAAAGAAGTAAAAAACCATGAACTCAGTTATTTTTGCCTGGAATGCAATTTTAATCTTAAAGAAAAGTTGCATTCATTTTTTTGTCAGTTTCACAGGAGGAAGGGGATTTTTATTGTATCTGAGTTTAATCTGCTGGTCAATTTCTAACATCTAATATGACATGACAACTAATACCTTTATGATACTACATTTTAAATTTGTCAATGTGGTACACTGCTCCATTTATTTGGGTTTTCTTTCTTTCAGTAAATTTTTGTAATTTTCAGTGTCCAATCATATATCTTCTTTGAAAAGGATTCAAACATATTTATTTATGTCGTTACGGATGATGCTATTTAAATCATCTGAAATTTCCGATTATTCATTGCTTAGACATGGCTGATTTTTCTGTATGTTGATTTTGTAATTCAAGATACTGCTAACTTAACTCACTTATTAGTTCCAGTATGTTTGTTTGCTGACTCCTTAAGCTTTTTTTAATATTAATAATCATTCTGCAAGTCAGGGGTTTTATTTCTTCCTTTAGGCCTTTTATTTATACTATTAAACTGGCCAGGTGCTCCAGTACAATACTAAATAGAAATGGTAAGAGCAGATGTCCTTACCTTATTTCTGATCTTAGAGGGAAAAATTATTTCATCATTAAAAATCATACTGACTGGGCCTCCCCAGGCGGCGCAGCAGTTGAGCGCTGGGCTGCGAAGCTGCCCTCAGCCTCTGCAGCACCGGTTCAATCCCTGGCCACCGGGCGAGGGTCCCACATGGCATGCAGACCTCTCCTGCCGCCCGCTGCTCCCCTCAGCAGTGTACTTCGTCAGTCTGCCTGTTCTGTTTCCCGCTCTGGCTCTGGTGAATTCTATCACCCTCCCGCGCTTCTGACTGTACCCAGTGCTTGTATAAATAAATAAATAAATCTTTAAAAAAAAAATTATACTGACTGTAGATTTTTTGTAATTATCTTTTGTCAGATTAGGGAAGTTTGTTTTTATTCCTAGTTTGCCCAGAGGGTTTTTTTTAAAATCATAAATGGGTATTGACATCTGTCTAATATGCTTTTTCTGCTTTATTTTGTTAGCCCTCTAGAATCCACATCTAGCCTACACTTCCAAATTTCAACTTGGTCCCTTCTTCCCATTTCTCAGATAACCTTAGCTCTTGTCAGACATGAGAACTGCTTCTGTGTCTTGAAAGAAAGGGTAGAAATAAAGATATAGCAATGGCCTAGGCCTCTAACTTTACCTATGCTTGTGCCGGTGGCTTTAAAGAGTTCTTTTTTGCTGTTTTTCCACCTGGAAGGAAACAGACTGTAAGTCTCATAGGCCTCTTCCCAAAAGGAGAATAATACAAAGCAGTGGCCAGTAAAGAAACAAATTCTTACTTTCTAAATGAAAACTCACAAAGGAAGAAATTATGGGTATAAACAACATTGATTTCCTCTAGCTAAAGCTCTTCTACCAGGCTGTTCCCTATTTCACCTGAATCCTGCAACCCTGTTGCATTTTCCAGGATTCTGACAGTGAGATAAAAAGATTATGATCTGGAAAGGGGTGGTGATTTCTCCCAAGATTACTCAGAAACCAAAGCCAGTAGCTAAAACCCAGGTTTTTCAACTTGTAAGTTTGCTCTTTGCACAATACCCTACTATGTCAAGTTTTGTTGAAGATGGAGGCATTTTATTTTGGACAACCTTTAACCCCTGTCCTCTCCCAACTGATCCATACTGAATCTGACTGAACTTTAGTGAGAGTCCTATTCTTAGAAACTCTCTTATACTGGGGAGGTAGAAGAGGGATTAGAAGCCATAAGCAGCATGAGAAGAAATGGGAGATTCAGATTATAAACTCTATCTTCCTGAGAACTTGCCACGTGGGAGTACAGAAATATGTAACTTTTTTCTCAACATTCCATAAGAACCATTTATACTTTGATTTTGGGAGTCATTCAGAATTATAAATACATGCTTACCAATGATAATAAAATATGGCAATAATAGAAATTACAGAAATGCTATCCAGCAAAATCCACCAGAATCTATAGTTGCCTGGTGTCTGAAAAACAGAAAACAAATCATAGTTAAAGAAGTTTACACTTGGGGCCTCCCCGGTGGCGCAGCGGTTGAGCGCTGGGCTGTGAAGCTGCCCGCAGCCTTTGCAGCGCCAGTTCGATCCCGGCCACCTGCGAGGGTCCCACATGGCGCGCAGACCTCTCCTGTTCTGCTCCCTGCTCTTGCTCTGGTGAGTTCTCTCACCCTCCCGCACTTCTGACTGTACCCAATGCTTGTATAGATAAATAAATAAATCTTTAAAAAAAAAAAAAAGAAGAAGTTTACACTTGGAAGGGATTTTTAGACCACACAGGCCTAGTCTGCCAGGGCTGGGGGAGGTGAGGAGAAGACGACCAGGGGAAGGAACTTTGGTTGACGAGGTAGTCTCTGACACAGAAAGTACCTGCTGCATGCTAACAATCACACCTTACATGTGTAAGGGGGCTCTACAAGCAATAAAACACTTCAGATTCTTCATCTACTTTGACCCTCACGGTAGAGGTGTGAGAGAGCTCCAGAGAAATTACGCAGCAAGCTTTTTCTGGATCCAGGACCACAGGCCAGGTTTCATAACTCCCAGTACACTATGTTTTCATGGTATGATTTCCCAAACCTGACTGTTTAGCTAAGTCTCCCTGGATAGCTTTCAGTAATATAGGTATTATATTAGGAATCAGAATTTTTGCATTTTTTACAAGCTCCCTAGGAGATGCTGAAGCGACTACTCTATAAATGATATTTTGGAATCATTGTTCTAAATCATCACCATGCTTCAAGTTAAGTATGCTAAAGTTAAAAGTCCTCCTTATCTAGCATACCTCCTTCTCTATACTCCTTACACGAGTCACCCGTTTCCCAGATCTCCATCTCCCGGGTCTTCCCCTGTGAGCTTCATTATCTCCAGGTTTGGTCCTCCCTTTCCTCTTCCATTATTCCCCCTCCAATGTTACTTCATGCAAGTGAGGCTGGCGCTTTTTATTCTTTCTTAGGTCACTCTTCACCCTGTCCCAAGGTCTTCCCTTAGACTGAGTAATAATGTTAATAACATTGATGATCACAACAGTGATAATAACAACTGATAATTAATGAGCATTTATAGGAACTAGGGGAGTATTCTAAGCACTTTAAGGATATTTTCACAATCACAACAGCACTACAAGGGAGGTACAGTAGAAGTTCTTAAGCAGCTTCCACTAAACTAAGGCTCTTAACCCCCTCTTGGAAACATACTGACTAAGATCTGGGCCTCACCTAGGATGCCCACCAGGTGAGGTGTACAGTCATCAAGAATAAGTTGTTCTTGCTTCCCAAATGGTTTAAAATAGTTGTACTTGTTATAACTATGCAGTGTAATTAAATGTTGCTTAAATCTGTAAAAATGTGTGGGGGAAAAAAGTGTCGTTTTCATGAAAATAAAGTCAATGCTTTGAAAAACTCAAGAAAGACAAACTAAGTCATTAAAATATCTTCAATTGAATTAAGTGTAGATGAAACACTAAAAGATTGGGGTAAGAAGATTATAAAAATCTGTTTAGATTCAGATTCTCTTTCCCAATGACTTTAAGTTCTTGTTCTGCTTTAAAGAACACAACTTAGAAATTCATTTGGATATTTAAATAAGCAAGAAAATACAGAATTCAATCAGCTCAAGTATCCTTAAAGAACATGACTTTTGTTAAACAGTGAATAAATATTTTTTATATTAAAACAAAGTGTGTGAGGTTTGTACATGATAGATTATTTATTAAAATCACCACAATGTTTCTCTCAAACTGCAGCCTACAGGCAATGTGACATGGCTATTCCTACCCATCCAGAAGTGAAGTCTGTTTCTCCCCTTTCCCACCTTGAATGGACTTGACCACAGGCTTTTCTTTGGCTAATGGAACATTAACAAACATTACACGGGGAGAACCTTGAGAAATGCTTGTGCTCTGTGGCTTGAGCTCTCTTGCAGCGAGGAGCCCACTGCCACTAGGGAACAGGCTCAAGTTGGCCTCCGTGAGGATGAATGACTACACGAAGGGAGACCCTCTCACTGCATGGGCCTTGCTTCCCAAATGGCTCATACATGAATGAGGCCACCCTCACCCATCCTAGAACCACCTCAGCTACCACACAGAATGTGAGAAATAAATGTTCGTTTTAAGCCACTGAGTTTAGGTGGTTTTTTTTTTTTTAAGTAGTAAAAGCTAATAGAATGTATACAATTTTTTTATTCCCCTTTTAACTATTTCCGTTCACAGGGAAATGATCAGGCTGGATTGTGTTGGATAAAAGTTCTATTATATTATTGTTATCCCCAATTTACAAATAAATAAACTGTGCCTCATTTGCAAGTTCACACAGTAAGTGGAAGAGCTAAGATTTGAATCTGTACATTCTAACTCCAGAGTGTGGGCTACCTGGAAAAGCCCTTGGGATTCTGACCCCTCAGTAAACTGACCAATTGAGTCCTTTAAAAAAAACCCAAGCCAAAGGATACAAAATCAACACGCAAAAGTCAGTAGCCTTCCTATACACAAACAATAAATCTGAAGAAGAAGAAATCAAAAAAACCACCCCTTTTATTATTGAAACAAAAAAAATCAAATATTTGGGAATAAATCTAACAAAAGAGGTAAAGGACCTATACAAAGAAAACTATAAAACACTGTTAAAAGAAATAGAAGAAGACACAAAGAAATGGAAAGACATCCCCTGCTCATGGATTGGAAGAATAAACATTATTAAAATGGCCATCCTACCAAAAGCAATATACAGATTCAATGCTATTCCAATCAAAATCTCAATGGCATTCTTCAAAGAAATAGAACAATTATTGATGAAATTCATATGGAATCACCAAAAACCCCGAATAGCCAAAGCTCTACTGAAAAAAAAAGAAGGAAATGGAGGCATCAAACTCCCAGACTTCAAACTCTACTACAAAGCCATAATCATCAAAACTGCATGGTATTGGAACAAGAACAGACATACAGACCAATAGAATCGAATAGAAAATCCAGAAATAAACCCACAGATTTATGGTCAACTAATCTTTGACAAAGGAGCAAAGACTATGCATTGGAGCAAAGAAAGTTTGTTCAATAAATGGTGCTGGGAAAACTGGGTCGCTACATGCAAAAGAATGAAGCTTGACCACTACCTCACACCATACACAAAAATCAACTCAAAATGGATTAAAGAACTAGACATAAGACCTGAAACCATAAAATACATAGAAGGAAATATAGGCGAAACACTACGGGATTTGCACATCAAAGACATCTTTACAGACACATCACCCAAAGCAGTGATAGTGAAGGCAAAGATAAACAGCTGGGACTACATCAAATTAAAGAGCTTCTGCACAGCAAAAGAGACAATAACAAAAACAAAGAGAAACCCCACCAACTGGGAGAACATTTTTGCACCCAACACTAATGATAAAGGACTGATCACAAAAATCTGCAAAGAGCTGATGAGACTCAGCAACAACAAAGAAAATAATCCAGTCAAAAAATGGGCAGAAGAGCTAAAAAGAAACTTCTCTGAAGAGGAAATGCAAATGGCCAACAGACATATGAAAAAATGTTCAACATCACTTGCAATCAGGGAAATGCAAATCAAAACTACCATGAGATACCATCTCACACCAGTGAGAATGGCACATATTAAAAAAACTAGCAACAACAAATGTTGGCGAGGATGTGGAGAAAAAGGAACTCTTCTGCACTGTTGGTGGGAGTGCAAACTGGTCCAACCACTATGGAGAGCTGTGTGGAGATTTCTGGACCTACTAAACATAGAGCTTCCATATGATCCAGCAATTCCACTCCTAGGTATTTACCCAAAGGACACAGAAACATCAATTCCAAAGAGCACCTGCACCCCTATGTTTATAGCAGCACTGTTTACAATAGCTAAGCTTTGGAAACAACCCAAATGCCCAAAAGTAGATGACTGGATCAAGAAGATGTGGTACATATATACCATGGAATATTACTCAGCATTCAAAAAAGATAAACACATGCAATTTGCAGCAACATGGATGGCGCTGGAAGGGATCATGCTCAGCGAAATAAGCCAAAAAGAAAAAGAAAAATACCGGATGGTCTCACTCATAGCAGGAATCTAGAAAACTTAAATAAGGGACCAGGAAAATGAATATAAGAAAGTGAAAATCAAAATCAACAAAAAACTATGAACCAGAGACACTTTTTGAGGGGTGGGGGGCGGGAGGGGAAGGATTGGGGTCAGAATGGGGCGTTTGCAATTGTATGGGGGAATATAAAAATAAAATTTAAGATTAAAAAAAAAATAAAAAAAAAAAAAAAAAAAAAACCCAAGCCAGGTGTAGAATTTTTATACTTTTTTGAATTTTGAATCACATGAATTTATTATAAATTCAAATATTGTTAATTCAAATACTGAATGTAATCACATTTTATATAATAAAGTTTTATTTAATATATCTAAACAGACAACTTTGAGACATTATTGATGTAGGAGTATAGGATTATAGGGGGGCTGCTTCTAACTTATGCATTTTTGTAATGATTAAATCTTATATAACGAAGAAATTTACTCTTGTCATCAATTTTTAAAAAAACAAGAGAAAAATATGCAGTACCTACATGAAGGGAATTGTATTAGGATAGACAAGTGGAGAGGCTTTATCTGTGCTAACAGGTCTACCTCTAAATGTTTCCCAAAAACTCCAGAAAGCTGCCTAAGCCACTAGAGAAAGGAAGGGTCAGAAATTTTGCACTGCCATCAGAGGGCCTCAACAGACTACTGGTTTTCTGAGATTGTCCCCTTGACCCTCATCACCTTTCTCCTGGTCTTGACTGTGAGCATATCAAAAACAGGGGCAAGTGAGGCTGGAGTTATTGAGGTTTCCCATTTAGACTTCTGTGCCTAAAGGTTTAACTTTCAAGGCAGTCTGGAGTTTGAGTTATTACCCTAGACAGGACACAGAACTGAGACTCTTTGAAGTGAACTTCAAAAAAAAAAAATTATCTTAGAATGACCATAAAAGTTATAGGACCTGAGTAAGGTTCTACTCAAGGAAAGACCAAAATCACAGAGTAGTTTAAAGAGTCAGTGGAAAGAAATTAAGCTGTTTTCTCTTGTACACTACTCTGTCACACTCAGTCAACCTACTGTGTTCTACACCTATAAGGAAAACAAGGTCTCTAGGAGTTGACTGGTACACTGGGGCTCCCTCCACACATAATAAGTAATGGGATTTAGTTGGGATTGTAACCCAAGTCTTCATAGCACCAAGCCTCTGGCAATAAGCAATAGTGAGACCAGAAGGGGAAATTAAGCTGGGCGACTGGATACTGACTCTCCTCTTTAAAAGCATTTTGTTCAGGGCACACAGACCACTTTGGAGTCAAGTCCACTTGGCTTTCTCCCCACACTCCATGCCTTCATCACTGTCACCATGCCGCTAGGAAGGTGTGGCTGAAGGAACATTGAATCTTGTATCATGCACCCATATGCACCCATCTTCATGGTACAGTTTCCTCAAAGGAATAATAGTGACTAACTCAGAAGGTTAAATTACATAAAGCATGAAAAGGATGTTGTGAAGATTCAGTAGACTGTAATTATTAAAACAATACTGATTTCTCCCTGAAAGTCATAAAGGACCTAGGCAAGAGTGCCACATCTCCAATATCATAGAAGTCCCTGCTTTTAAGTAGCTGCTCAGGGACTACACAGTGGGTTATGAAGTGGGTAGGCTGAGGGATGGAGACTCCCATTATACCAGACAGAGAAGAACAATCTGTACAACCAGCTTACCATGAAGAAGTAAGGATCCTTTATGTGTCTCAGATTCTGAATGTTATCTGTGGTCACTGAGTGAATACTGGAGCACCAGGCCAGTGAGTAGAGCCAAGGCTCATTGACGATGTATAAGTTGATGGTAATGTTAGCTTCTTTATAATCTCTGAAACAAAAAAAAACCCACAAGGGATTTAGACTTAATCTCATTTTTCACCACTTAAAAGAGGAACAGCCACTACGCTCGTGAAAGGTTGTTGCCTGCATCACCACAAACACCTAGTACTGGAACAATTTATGATGTGACATGCAGAATGGGCTCATTTGCTATTAGATAATGCAATGGATTTAACATCTCTGCTCTAGTAACAACAGTGGTATCTCAGTAAATTGGATGTCTCAGGGGAAAAGGAGGCGGGGAGAAGAGGAAGAGAGGGAGGGAGAAGGAATGAGATGAAAGGAAGAAACAAAAAACGGAAAGCCTATTTGCGGGCATTTGCCAATGTCCATGGTACAAACACCTGTACCACAGCTAATTTCAGATTACCACTGGTAAAACAGGTTTGCAAAATTTCTGAATATTTTTATTTTTTATTTTTTGATCCAGATATTTATTCATCCATTCCATTACCTGTTCATGAATTTAACAAATTTTGTCTGTTTATTGAAGTGCTACTTGAGTATAGCCGCTGACTTACAGAAATAATAATCTAGAGATCCTCATATATAAATCCAAAGGGCAATTACTGCAATTCTAGTTCTTTCTGAACCCAAATGACCATTTGTACAGATCTTGGGCTGATACGAATCTGTATTCCCAGATAAAATTAGAATCGGCATAAAACATAGATGATTAGAAAACTATCCAAAGTCATATGTGTAGGGAGGCAGGTAGACAGGTAAGTCAGCATTGAAACAGGGCCTGTGCCCACCAAACACAAGCACCAACACATAATAAAGGTTCAATAAATGGAAATTATTATAATTTTTCCCAACCACTAGGTTAATCTAAATTATGAGCAAAAGAGAAAGAAATCATGTTAGAGCCATTTTCTATTCAGAGAAATGTGCTCAAAATAGAGCAGCAACTAGACAAAGAGAAATATTCTGACTGGGAAAGAGGGGTAAAATACATAATTTTCCAATGCTGAAAGAAAAAAGACAAAGGATCAAATACCCGTGGCCAGAGAAACAGGAAAAGCAGGATCAGAAACAGAGGTACGTGCATCAGACTAGTTCATGGTTTGAGATGCAGAAAGGTTATCTAGGGGGACTTTCATTAAGTCCAAGGAAATTCTAAAGACCTACAGAACTATAGATCTACATCTGTATCTCCAAGGAAAAATTTGTCTCTGAAGCATTTAGAATCATCTGGAAAATACTACTTTTAAATAGAAGAGAAAGAGAAGATGGATTATTAAGTAATAAATAATTGTCAAGTTTCAGAAAGTTACCATTTTATTCCCAGGTACTATTAAATCGGAAAATTTGTACCTACTTATATATTTATAAATATGGTGGGTAATAATTTTAGTTTCTTCTCATGCTTGGCTATTTTAAGTTATATACAGATATAGATTTAGCTATGTTCTTAATTTTGCTTACAAGAAATCTGGCTATCTGGTCATAACACTATCATGAGGTACTGCGACCCATCTGGTAATGACAGGAGGATATAAACAACTGACTTTTTTATGACCATATTATATAAAAATAAAAAACACAAAGGATAGAAAAACATGAGCTGAATAATGAGAGACTGGAGCATAAAGGAGAAGTGGCTGAAGACTATGTTCCAAGGAGTCTACGCTTGATAAAAGTTTGTTGGCAGAGGGAAGGTGCAAGAAAGAGAGGGAAGGGTAAGAAGGGGGAAATAGAGGATTCAAAAAAAAAAAAAACAGCCACATATAGAAATCCTGAGACAAAAGGGGAAGCCTTGTAGCTCAGCTGGAGTGCAGATTTTGTGCAAGTAAGGCAACACATGCCAACAGAGGTGTAGCCAAACACTCACCTCAAACCATTAGAGAACAATCTCTTATAGTCAACATTTATTATTCTTATCTTTTGTTTTGCAAGGGCTTCAACTGGGATGAACCGGCCCACCTGCTGAAAACCAGGAGCTTTGTTCCTGACATATGTCCTATCCAAACCTGGTAACCAAAAAACCTGTAAGGAGAAACAAGAGGTCCTTCAGTGGATAATCCAGCTGTCTAGGTGCAAACAGCCCTGTGTATTTTGGATAGAGCCCATTTCAGCACTGGTTACAGTCTACAGGCAGTAGAGAAAGAGTCTAGCCCTCGGTGATAAAGTCAACCTGGTCTAGTATCATCTAATTAACTCTTATAAGGAGTTTTCACCAGGGTTGCTCCAGACTGGAATTTTCTCAATTAACATGTACCAAGGGCCTATTGTGTGCTGACAGTTTCATATTTACCGAAGTAGATAAGGAATTGGTAGATGCAGATGAGAGGTGGGAATCAAACATCCCCTGGCTAGTGATCCTAAAAGTCACCTTTGAGAGGAGTCATTTTCTGCCAATAAAGAATGCTGTTATGAGTCATCTGTTGAAACAGCTCTATTTGCAAAAGGACATGTACCATTTGCTTTATTACTCATTCTGAAAATATGAGATTTGAAATGATTAACTGCCCAAAAGCAGAGCTGCTTCTACAAAACATGATGAACAAATCTCTGCTCAAATAAGAATCAGACGTCCTTTCTGTATTATTGATTGAAGCAAAATCCTCTCAATCTTATAGTTCTCCAGGCTTTTCTAATATCTCTATGCTGGTGATGAGGCAGGTCACATCAAATAATCATTACACACATTCTTTTTTAACAGACTGCTGATATTGTATTTGGTGTGAAATAGCAAACAGCCTCGATTTCTCTGCACTGAAAGAAATTTAACTGGGTCATGGCCACATGTAACTGTATAAGGAAAATTTCTATACGGAGCAAAATTATTGAAGGATCCAAGGGAAGATGTGCAAGGTAGGTCAGATTGAACTGCTATGCTCCTGGGACATGCTACCCACCCTCCCAACTCTACCATAAATATTGAGTTAGACATACCAGATGTTGCTCAATTTTAGAGTCAAGGATCACCTGTACTGTTTCACGGATAAACCTGCCTCTGAAAGGATGTTTTACTGGAGGATGATGAAGATCAAACATCACAAATTTTTTTTCCTTCCGTGCAAGTTCCAAAAATTCAGATAGCTTTGGAATCGTCTGGTTTCTAGCTTTTTCACTATCAGCCTCTGATAGGGGTTCCATATTGTAAAATGGCTAAAAATAAATATATCAGAGAATACATTGGCTCCTATCAAAAGAATTTTCCAGTTCTCTTGTTACATATCCCACACCCAGCCCTACTTCCATGTTACTCCATTACCATTCAACCAACCAGTTCCTCTGACATACTGGTCCTGGAATAAGAGATCCCAAGGAGGGAAATTAAACAGGTAATTATGATTTTTTAAATGATTTCTTCTCTATCACAGAAACTGTTATATTGTACTGAAAGTCCCTTCATGTTCTTCTCATGAATTTCCTTTTTAGCTTTTTTCCTGTATCTCAAAGTAACAAAATCCTTTTTTAGTCACACTGGCTTCCCACATTTGCTCTTAGTATTCTAGTTTTATGTAATGCAAAGAACATAGGTTTTGACTTCACAATGAATTGGATTCAATCCCAATACTCCCGGAATATGGCCTTCCTTGCCATATTCAACTGTTTAAAATTTTGTCCTCAACATGCAAGTTCAAATGCTACTAACCTTCAGGAACTCGTCCTTAAATATTTCTGAGCTAAAGAAATTTCAATGACAGTAAACATCAATGGCCATTTGTCTGCCTTTGTAATTCTATGTCTCATTATGCCTTCTTCAGTTAGTTACCTACATCTTAGATCAGATTCAAATCCTGGCTTCACATTCATCTTGCTGGCTAACCTTGATAAAAAACCATTTAAATTCTCAAAGTCTCTACTGCCCAATTTATAAAATGGAGAAGGGATTATTTTGAATACTGAATGATAAAATATTTACAAAGATCTAGGAGCATGTGTGTAGAAAAGGCACAATTCACTTGCATTCCTTCACTTCTTACTGCTTCTACTGGAGTGAATTCCCTCATGGCAGAAACCGTCATATTTTATTTGCAATACACAGAATTTCATCTTATATTTCAGTCCTTATATATAAACACACACACATATATTAACTACTTTCATCATCATTTGTCAATTTTAGAGAATTATGTGGATGAAGTCAGTGATAAAAGGCTATCGCTCAGGAGAAGGAAACACTAGCTTCTCACATTTTCTTAAGATTCAAGTAATTTCTTTCTTGATACTTTATCTTCACTTTTTTTTAAAGATTTATTTATTTATGCATACAAGAAGTGGGGTGTAGGCCAGAACTGTGGGGGGTGAGAGGATTCACCAGAGACAGAGTGGGGAATAGAACAGGCAGACTGACTGAAACACACTGCTGAGGGGAGCAGAGGGCAAGACAGGAGAGGTCTGCCGTGCTATGTGGGACCCTCGCTGGCCAGCCAGGATTGAACCTGCGCTGCAGAGGCTGCGGACAGCTTCACAGCGCAGCACTGCAGCACTCAACTGCCTGCGCCACCAGGGGAGGCCCTACTCTTGCAATCTTTAATACGTGGGGGGGAAAGGTTTTTTGATCATAACCTAGGACAAGGTCAAATATTCTGTGAAGCTGTTAGACCTCTCCAATTATAGGTCTCCCCAAACCCTCAACAGACAACATCTGCTTATAGTGTAAAGGAATAGCATATTTCCTAGGAAACAGCCTTCTAAGGATATTGAACCCATCAACAGGAACTGAAAATTTTGAGGTGATTTTCAAAAATGTATCTTTCATTTTGGCTGGTGTGGTAAATAAAATAGCCCAAGGCTTGGGCTAGAAATTAATGGTTTAAATCTCTTAATCTGAGTAATTTTGGAAAACAGAAAAGTTCTGATTTATTTTTGACCAGCTAATATATAATGGCTAACACTTTGTGTAGAACTTAATCAAAGAAATATTATGGCTCAATTAGGAAGGGGTTTATTAAATGCAGGGACAAAAACTGGCACTGGACTCATTTTTGTGGCAGTAAATGCTACTTGCAATACTGTTTCAGGACAATTAACTTACCAATGCCATAAATTGCACATTTTCAAGATTTCAGAGTGGTGGTTTGCACTGTGATTTTAGTTCTCTAATAGAGCTAGGAAAAATGATGGGTTTTTAATTTGTTTGGCTTTAACTTTATTTTAAGGATGGGAGTAACAACTCCCAAGTATACATTGGAGCTGAAACCGGAAGTACTCTCCAATTGGACTGTGATACAGCCTTGCACTGTCAGGATAAAAGTACTTTGATTATAACATAGTATAAATTTATATGATGCTGGATACAATTTGTTAATATTTGCTAAAGACTTTTGCAATATTCATGAGGAATACTGTTCTTGAAATTTTAAAAATTTTATTGAACTACCATTGCACTATAATACTACATAGGTTTCAGATGTGCATCATTATAAATCAACAGCTAAATATATTACCTTATATTCACCACTAAAAATTCAATTACATCCTTCACCATATAGTTCACCCCTTTAACCTGATTTAACTACCTCCTCCACTTCGGGTAGTCACTAATTTGGTCTTATACTCTAAAATTTTATTTTTTTTTATTTACTTCATTCATTTTGTTTCCTTTGCACAATATGGGTAAAACTATACAGTGTGTTTATCTAACTAATTTCAGTAAGTATAACCTTTCTAGGTCCATCCACATTGCTGCAAATGACAGGATTTCATCTTTATAGCTGAGCAGTATTCCACTGTGTATATAGACCATGAAAATGAAATCATCTATTGATGAGCATTAGGTAGTTTCCAAGCCTTGGCTATTGTAAATAAAGATGTGATTAACAAGGGGGTGGCATGTATCTCTTCAAATTAATGTTTATGTATTCTGGGTTACATGGAATTTCAATTTTTAATTTTCTGAGTTCTATCCATACTGCTTTCCATGATGGTAGAACCAATTTATATTCCCAATATTCCAATTTTCTCAAGTGGATTCACTCTTGCCTCAAAATGACACTGAACACAGCACATGCTTTATATTTTACCACACCTTTATTAGTCTATACATCTCCTTCTGGAATTATCCATTTTCATCCCTCAGACTGAGCTAAATGTAGTTCTGACATGCTCCTGAACAACCAAAAAATTAACTCTAGTTTAGCACTTATCAAAATGTATGTAATTGCTTGCCTATGAACTCCATATGGCTTAGTGTATGTTCACCAGTATATTCTATGTGCCCAGTATCCAATACGTATTCAGTAAATATTTGTTAAATGGTAATAAGTAACGGCCAAGAATAAATACTTTTCCTAGTCTGTATTGTACCTGTGAATTACTCAAAATATTTGCCCAGGAAAAAACGCTATTTACATGGTGGGTATGCTGTAAAAGTTCATGACCTGCTTGGATAAAATGGGATTAAATGACAAGGTTAAGTTTGTCTTCTAATGAATGTAGACAGCAGCCATCAGACTGACTAAATTACTGAGAAAGAAACTAGCTCTCCTGCCAACACTATAGTCTTCCTCCCTAAACTGGGATGAAACTGTGTATATGCTTGCCTATCTTCATCTAAAGCTCTTATCTCCAGGAGGGAGGGATTCAATGCAGGTTTATTTAGTAAAGAAATGTGTCTTACCGGTGACCGTAAAAACCATTTGCCTGCATTCAAAGTTGACAGGAAATTCCAAGTGAAGCTGGAACCAGATAGGAAGGCAGCATTTGGCAAGACCTCCATGATATTGGTTGTTCTTCTCAGGTCATAGTCATGCATGAGAAAAGGCACCCCATCGTAACTGCAGGCAGAGGGAGGAAAGCAAGGAAAGGATCGATAGTCTGAATTCAGCCACATTGGCAGACAGGGTTCTCAGAATACCCCCAAAAGTCACAAATTTTACTCAGGTTCCTTACTCCCTCCTAAAAGTCACAAAGGACTAAGTACCAGTCATTTATACTTTGATGTCAGTATTTTTGTCCTAGAGATCAATCTTTTGTGACATGAGATGCTCAGATTAATGATGGCTTAAGAGTTTCTTCTCTATTGAGGGCCTCTCTGGCATCAGGAACACAGTAGTAGATACAGTAATGACCTAAGAGTTAGGGAAGGAGGGTGGAAAAGAGGCAAGGTCTTAAAGTCCTCAGAACCATACTAAGCAGGCATCCATGCAATCTTCTTATTTTTTTTGACTCATTTTCCTTCTAGGCACCTGCTCTCAGTATTTATGATGCTAGTTCCTTCACAATAGATAGTATAAGTAGAGACGTTTCTGTTCTATTATCTGCTATTTGGTTTGAAAAATCTTGACTTTTATGAAAATTTCTTCTTTTCTCATTATAGTATCTATGAAAAGAACTCAGTAATGGTCATGAGGAAGCCACAGAGGTGAGGCAATCTGCTGCCCAGAAATAGATAACTGGACAAAATAAGGAAAATAACTTTTTCACTCAATGGAGAACAGGGAGTGTAATATTATAATCTCTGAGGGAAAGCAAACAAGTGAAATAAACTCTACTATTACCCAGGCTTCCTCCTTACAGGTGAACAATGGATTGTGGAATGGGAAGGGGGACCTAAAAGGGATTCAGCTCTATCATGCTGAAGGAGAAAGAAATCAGATTGAGGATAGCCCTAGAAAGCTAGAATTTGTGGGCTAGAGTCAAACAGGTGATAGAGAGAGAGGTGAGAGGGGGGAGAAGAGAGGAAGAGAGAGAAACAGAGGGAGAGGGAGAGACTGGTACATGCGCAGTGTAAAATTCTATGAAGCTGGCCAAGAACAACTTCTAAGCAAAGAAAAATTACCAGAAAATTTTAATACAAACAATTGGAAGAACTTACACACAAGTGTGAACCATTCAAGTTCCATCCAGCAAGAGTGAATAAAACTCAACAATTACATGGGCATTCTTTAGAGACTGCAGAGGGCCACCCCTTAGAAATGGGGTAACTTAAAACTAGGTCCTCAAATATGACAGCCAAAATGTTAGATTTATAGGTAGAATAAGCTTTATAAGCTAAACTTACTAGTTTATATAGAATCGGGGATTTAACTTTAATAAACTGAATACTTATTTTGAGCTCATACAAAACAAAATCCTTCTTGCACACAAAAAAATCCCCCCCTCCCCAGGCACAAAAATAAACTTATATTTAACAGAAAAAAATGAAGGGAAAATGAAAACATTTTCATATAAACAAAAGACACATAATTCATTTCCAGCAGTCCTGTGCTGTAAGAAAAATAAAAGATATTCTTACACAAAAGTAGATACTAATTGGAAACTTGAATCTACACAGAAGAATGAAGAGTACCAGAAATAATAGATGAGTAAATATTTCAATGTTTTTCTCATTTTTTAATTTTTTTAAATATTGACTAAAGCAAAACTTGATATGAGATTCATGACAGTAACAGATCAAATGATAGGTGAGGAGAAATGGAACATACTGTTGAAAGACTTGTTTTTTTAAATAAAAAATGTGTAATATTTGTGGAACAGGTGATAAGGGAAAGCTCATATTACTTCCAGTTCAATCACCAAAAAAAGAAATACAGTTAAATAAGTCAACATTGCAGATAAAGTCCTAAAAAGTACTCCATTAATATAAAGGCAGTAGGAAATGAGAAAACAAATAGCAAAACAGTAGTGCACTTGCCTCATATAAAAACTTAACGGAAATTCAATTAAAAAATCAGCAATCACAAGAAATACTATCAATGAAATATTTTAAAAGATTAAAAGTAGGGGCGGAGCAACATGGCGGCGAGGAGACGCTGCGAGTAAGATCTCCCATTAAAAAAAGTTAATAGGGAGGAAAAGCGGCAGGTCCCAGTGAGAACTGGGACACGGAAGATAAACGGGTGACTCCAGCAAACTACCCGAAGAAGAAAGTGGCCATAAAAGAGGACTAGAAGGGAGGGAAGCGCAGAACCCTGCTCCCCTCCCCCGCCCACAGAGGCTGCACTCTCCGACCGGCAGAGAGGAGGAAACAACAAACTAAAACGACCAACAAGAACAAACAAGAACAAACGACGCAGCAAGCGGGACTGTGAGTGGAAAGGAACTATTGCAGCCACCACACCCCGTGAACGGGAGCTGAGGCGAACCCTGCAGGATCCGCCGCGGCGGTGAGCGAACGGCTCTGGGCGCCAATAGAGAAGAACAAAGACCCCGGGAGACGCGCACACAGCCCGGGCTGCCGGTAAGCTGGCGCAGAAACGCAGCGCACTCGGGGAGCTTGAAAAGCAAGTGCAGACCTGAATCGCGGCTGCCCAGGTACCCGGTACCCGCGCCTGCGACCTAGGCTTGCGGGGAGACGCGCGGAGGTCCTCACTGAGGTGAAGGTCCCTCCCTGAGTGAGCAGGAACCAGGCACCCCGGCACGGGAGCAGTGCAAAAGACGCCATTCCCGCGCCACTGAACTGGGCTACAGCCCGCGTCCTGGAACTGAGGGCTTTGAACTGAGACCCGGGGCACGAAAATTCGGGGCGTGGGTTCTCCACGACGGTGGGGCACAAGGCAGACACAGCACCCCAAAGCTGTTGAGGTGTACCCTACCATTCCCGCTCTGCTCCCTGTCCCACGGGGTTGGGGGGACGAAAAACAGCCCCCCAAGGACACTAGGAGAGATCTCTGGCGCCACCTAGTGACCAGGAAAAAAAAAGTCACTAACACCCCATAGAACAGGAAATTTCTTAAGACTGCTTGAAAAGGGCAGAAGGCTTCTGCAGTGGCCAGCTGGGAAGTTATTCCATGCCAGGCCCCTTCCGACCAGCAGTCTGAGCCCACAGAGGGAGCAGGCACTCACGTCCGGGGCAGACCGGGGGCGCAGAAGAGTGTGCCTGAAACCGGAGGCGCAGGGACTGCATCCCGCTTCGCCATTTGAGAACAGGGACATTTCTTCAGTAAAAACTGCCTAAAACCAGCAGAAAGCTCCCCCAGAAGGCAGAGATGGCTCCTGGAAGAGCCAGAGGGGAGCAGAGAAGTTCACCCAAGATGCCAGTCAGTCCGAGCATCACAGTGTCCCAACGCATACGACAAATTAGAAAACAGACAGTAGGGAGTAGAAGAACCACACGCAACCTAACAACTCCTCAGGAAAGAAGCACACCACAAAAAGAAAACCACTCCCCAGATTGCAACGACAGCAACTTGGAAGAACTTCTGAGCCTTCCAGAAAGAGAATTAAAATTGCCATGATTAAAAAAGTGATAGATCAGAAGAAGGAAATTGAGTCCCTAAGGAGGGAAAACAATGGTCAGAAGAATGAAATTGAGTCCCTAAAGAGGGAAGTAAAAGAAATGCAGGAGATCAAAGAATTAATGGAGGAACTAAAGAACTCCGGGAAAAGCAAGGAAAGCAGAATAGATGAAATGGAAGAACGAATAAGTTCTCTTGAAGACACAGAAATAAAAAGAACCAAAACAGAAAAGGAAAGAGAAGTACGAAGGAAAAAGAATGAAGAAAGACTTCGAGAACTATCTGACTCCATGAGGAAAGGAAATATAAGAGTTACAGGAATTCCAGAAGGAGAGGAGAGAGATGTAGGACAGAGAGAAAATATTCCAGGAGATAATTGAAGAGAACTTCCCAAATGCGAAGAAGGAGCTGAAAATTGATATACAAGAAGCAAGAAGAACACCAAACTTCCACGACGAAAGGAAAAACACAGCAAGACACATAATAGTAAAGCTCCAAGAATCCAGGACAAGGAAAAAATAATGAAGCTGACAAGAGGAAAGAAACAGATAACATTCAAAGGAAAACCAATCAGGCTGACATCAGACTTCTCTGAAGAAACACTACGGGCAAGGAGAGAGTGGAGGGACATAGTCAACAGACTCCAAGAAAACAGATGCCAACCAAGAATACTCTATCCCGCAAAGCTCTCTTTCCTCCATGAAGAAAGAATATGGACCTTCCCAGACAAAGAGAAACTCCGGAATTTCATTACGAATAAACCCCCACTCCAAAAAATACTACAAGGATCCTAAAGCCAGAACCTCAGAGGGACGAATAACAACGAAAGAAGACCAAAAAAAAAAAAAAAAGTTATTTAAAGAATAAATAAAATCAAAGGAAAGACAAACATAATGGCAAATACAGATGCTAACATATCAATATTAACTCTAAATGTAAATGGACTAAACTCTTCAATAAAAAGACACAGAGTTGCAGCCTGGATTAAGAAACAAAACCCAACCTTTTGCTGTCTCCAGGAAACACATTTAGCTACAAAAGATAAAAATAGGCTCAAAGTCAAAGGATGGAAAACAATCCTACAAGCAAATGGGCCAAAAAAGAAAGCAGGAACAGCTATACTTATATCAGATAAAACAGACTTCAAACTCAAAAAAAATAAAAAGAGACCCCAATGGTCACTACATTATGATTAAGGGGACAATACTTCAAGAAGAAATAACACTCATTAACATATACTCACCAAACGAAAGAGCACCAAAATATATCAGACAACTGTTGTCCTCTCTGAAAAACAGACATCAGAGAAAAACACATACGTAGTGGGAACTTCAACACACCACTATCAACAATGGATAGATCAACAAGACAAAAAATAAGTAAAGAAACTAAAGCTCTAAATAAGGACCTAGAGCATTTGGGCTTAACAGACATCTATAGAACACTAAACCCAAAAAAAACGGAGTACACATTTTTCTCAAGTGCACACGGATCATTCTCCAGGATCGATCACATACTGGGGCACAAGACAAACATCAACAGATACACCAAGATTGAAATCATACCAACCATCTTTTCTGACCACGAAGGCATCAAAC